GTTATGATACAGATCATCTTAAGATTTTTTAAACTGATATTTCTTCACGTGTTCTCTAATTTGCTTCAGTTTCTTTCAAAAGTAGGGAATATTTAGGTGTGCCAAAGCTTTTATTGATTGTGTTCTGGGGAAATCCAATTTCTGTAGGACAGTCTTATACTTGCATTAATCAATATTATTGATTACATTCGATGGGCTTAGTTTGCAGAATAAGTTTGTTATATCTATGTCCATGTTTATGTTTGTGTAATTAGCCTAAGAATGTAGAACCTAATATCCAAGGCAAGACAGACAGTGAGAAAGTTAAAAACATTAAATAAAAAAACAAACAAACAAAAAGTGTACAAACGGAATGCGGAGCTGTGGATCTGCAGCAACAACTGGGGGGAGGCAGGGCACCACCCCTCACAGGCCCTCTAGTTTAGGGGGAGAAAAACAGATAAGTGACCACGGTAATCTGATGGAAGATTATTATCCAGGTGAGTCACTTACCTGGTTTAACAGTTCAGTCCATCCTCACCGAGTGAAGCATGGGTCCCATGAACTGACAGAGCGTTCAGGCAGGTTAAGGGTTCCACAAGTCCAACAGCGAGTTCAGGTAGAAACATTCAGATCCAAGCAGGCATGCTCAGTTGTTGAGAGGGAGAACTAGACATGACATCAGGAAAACTATGGAACTTTAAACTAGCTCCGTCCACCGAGCCAACACAGGAGCAAGGCACAATCAGGAAACAACAAGACAAACACTAACAACCCTCTCTAACAACTGGCTTCCAAGAATGAAAATATGACCCTAGAAATCAGCCATGATCTCCAACTAAAAACTCTGGCCCTGATAGCTGTGCTGAGCCGTGTAAAAAGCAGCAGGAGCAGGTGGATAAGATGAATGACCATTAGTAACCGGGGAGACTTAGGCAGGTAAGTAAACTGAACAATCAGGTCAGCTATCAGGGCAGCGATCATGACAGTTTGATACAGGCGGGTTATTTTAATCACAGATTCAATTTTAGAGTGGATGACTTATGTCAGCGTTTAGCTGCATGTGATTCTCGTATTTTCTTCGCTGGTCATTTCTGTTTAAAATTTGGCCCCTGATATAACCCTTGCCTCCTGCTATTATTCCATCTGTTCCAATATTCTCTTCTAAATCTTCTTTCTCATCTTTTTTTCTGTCAGGGGTTACCTGGTTACCGCCCCCTCTGTTTTCCGAGCCGGAGTGGAAGAGAGTGTGAGCGTCACCATCTTTAATGCAAAGGCAGAAACCCGCGTCCAGGTGCAGCTGTCGGTGAAAGGACAAACAGTCGCCCACAGCCACAGCTCAGTTTATGGTGAGGACAAAATCTCTAAGATTTAAGGGAAAACCTGTAGATTTTTGTGTGTTGCTGGATCTCATTTTAACACAAGCAAAATCCCTGTAGGGAAAATCAACCATATGACTGCAGCTCTTATACCTGATGAATACATTACTTAAATGTACAAGTAACACAATGTTAACAAACTCTAGTTGACTTTGAATTTTCTCCACTTCTGCTCCTCTTACAGATAAAGGCACCATCAAATTGAAGGTGAGTACAGCAATGTGTGAGCCAGCTGAACTGTTGCCCTGGTTGTATGCATTCCTAAGGCAGCATGCACATCAACACTTGCATAATTTGTAGTGCAACATCTGTGCCTGCTCATTCATTGACAATAAGGTAACAGCCCCTTTGTAATATGCAACAGCTGTTGACGTATATGTTTGTTCCGCTGCTCTTGACGGCAGGATTCTATCTACCCCACTGGGACTTCATCTCTGATTCTCATTTGTTTAACAGCCTAACTTTAATCTTTTAACACACCTCAGTGTTCATCTGTTTCCTCTGTTCTTTCAACAGTCAATAAATACATTAAAATAAACAGAAAAACTTAAGATTATATAATGCTATATATACTTGAGTCAGGGTTTTAGAGATATTTAACTATTTTTTCTTATTTGGATTTGATCTACATGGACTTTGCTTTTAAGCTTTCGTCTTCACTCCATTAGGTTCCATCTGGGCTGAGAGGGCAGGCCCTTCTGACGGTCTGGGGAAACCGTCAGCTCACAGAGAGAGGCTACATTTTCCATAACTATACCACCATCACTTTGGAGAGCAAGGGTTCAGCCGTCTTCATCCAGACCGACAAACCCATCTACAAACCCAAGCATAAAGGTTCCCTTGTAAAGCCGCTGGTAGTTAATTAGTTAAAATTGCTCAGAAATGTAGAGCACATAAGTGCCCTTTGAGCACTTTGCTTTATTATTTATATACCTTGAAGCTCTTTACAGTTTGCCTTGTTACGATGAAAAACTTTTTTTTTGTCTTTTACTTATGACAGAAAGGTTTCCCACTTTTTTGAGGAGGAAACCTGAGTAGGGTGATGCTGATCTGAATTAAGTCCTTTATACTCTGTTACACTAAATATTATCCAGCTGCTTCCAAGAGACACATAACTAGTAGAATAATTGCTCCTGGGTGTCATTTAATCCTGGTAAAAATATATTTATATTTAAGCCCTCATAAGTTTTTCAGAGAAAATGTATGACAGAAAAATATCAATAATCTAAGCTATAAACATCTAATGGATTGTTATTCAATTCTTCATTTGAAAATAGAAAGGATGTGGCATGACTACAAACCTTCAAACATTTAGCCATCTACCTGTATGTAAAGTAATTATTAACACAAGCCTTCGATGCAATAATAACCATAATCTCCCCATAATCTAGATTCTATAGAGGAGTGGCAAGAGAAAAACTATTATTGAAATGAATCAAGCTAGTAATAGGAAGTCCTACTTGCATTTTTGAAACAAAAAAAAAAAAAAGATTGAGTGGTTAGATCAGACTAAAATGTCCCTGCTTGGCTATAGTAAAATAATGCCACATAGAAATATTAATATGCTTCACAATTAACACAAAATCCCTATGGTGAAGCATGGTAGGGCAACATGATGCTACGGGAAAGGTTTTCATTAGAATTCACACAAAAACTGATCTGAATTTTTGGGCCAGTCTTGGTAGAAAACTTTCTGGTTGCTGCCGAAGAACAAACACTGAAGCTATGTTTCACCCTCTGGCAGGAAAACAAACCTAAACCTAAAGCCAGATCAGCGCAATCCGTTTAGCACTTTCATTCTGCCTTTCAAGCTGAGAAAATTTGAAGAGTTATGAGTACATTTGCTTTGTTTCATAGATTCTGGATCATAGAGAATAAAAATAGAGAGGCAATAATCATCTTTTCTTGGTGTTAGGATAATTATCATTGATGATGTGAGAGTGTATTACACCTTAATATTAGCTGCCTGTAACATTGTTAAGCATTCCTAGTGAAATGTCACATATTGCTATTTTGGATGGGAAAATGTTTTTACAGTTTTTGTTTTGTTTTCAGTGCTAATTAATGTCTACACTGTGACGCCTGATATGAGACCCATAAATGAAAAGGTAATGGTCTATTTAAGCCTAATCAAATTCAAAACTGCTGACTCTATTAGACGTTTTTTGCCCTTGTAAGTAAAGATGAGAGACATGATTTGGTCTGTGTGCGTTGAAATGAACAGTCACATATTTTCAGAGGTCAAGTTAGAATCATTTTATGTGGAATGTTTGCAGTGGATGCACTATGTACTTTGTGTTACGTTGTTGAAACTGAGTTTATTGATGTTTGCGGCTATGAAAGTGTCTCAGTTACTAGGCAGGACCTACTTCTACAGATAAATAAATGCCAAGTAAAATAAAGCATGGGGATGAGGACGTGGGATACAGCATACCTACTTGCAAATAGCTTGTTTTTTCTTTCATTTTTTAAACACATTTTCAAAGAATGTGTTTTTAATTTCTTTTTCTTTTTTTTCAGGTTGAAGCATATATTTTGGTGAGTAGAAAGAGTTACCGGACCACCCAGAGTTGGTAGAGCTGTGCTTAGAAGGGGACAGTGGCAATTTTCAGTTTCCAACTTGATTTAAGATGAAAGAGTTGAAATAGCAGAAGGGAGCTCACCTAGATAACAGGGTGCTCTTTGAAACAGGAAAAGGATAAACAACATGAAAGGAACATTTAGGAACTTCTCTTCTCTTCTGAAAAGTTAGAAACAAGAACACTGGGGCTTTGTTCGGGAAGATATTTGTTTAAAAATTTGTCTAAAAGTTTATTTTATCCATCTCTATAGTTCTAGTTTCTTTGAATCTTTCTGTGATAAAATTGTATGACATATGCCACTGCACATTAAATCTTAGACCCACATGTATCTCAACTGACTCTTTCAGGATCCAAGAGGATCTAGGATGATCCAATGGAAGGGTCTTAAATCTCTCTGCTGTGGTAAGCCGCACTTCTTGCAAAATAGTAAACCAATCATTTTTGGAAGTTTTGCATATAAGTTTTTTTTGTGAATATTGTATATAAAACAGAAGTTTAACAGAAAGGTTTCTTTAAGTTACTTTAAGTGCAATCAGAGGGAGAAGAGGTATGACAAATATGTTTTACTTCTTCATACCCCTTTTCAGACAATTTACATAAATCAGTGTCAATTCTTTGGCTATATATACTGTCAAGTTTATTTATCGGAAAATTGTGTTTCTATTTATGTACAAATTAATTTAATTGGAATTTTAATTTAATTTAATGTTAACCAATCTCTTTTTGTGTGGATTTGGTTGTTCGCTTCTTTGAAGTATTTTTTTTTATTAATTTATTTATTTATTTATTATTATTCATCAAATTATCTGAAATAAATTCCTTTTCATTCATTCAGTCATTGTTTCCCCCCATCATAGGCATCGTGAACATGAGTTTCCCTCTATCTGACCAGCCTGTGTTTGGAGAGTGGTTGGTCTTTGTGGAAGTGCAGGGCCAAACCTACAACAAGTCATTTGAAGTGCAGAAATATGGTGAGTCTATCAATCTAATAATGCATTCATAGCTACACCCATTCATAAACCCCTGTCTATTCTTTAAAGTCATAAAACAGCTGGTTCTTAATCATACTGATCTTTGGGATGAGCGAGAGCATGCACCAGCCCACTTCTGCTCATGCACGCTCTGTTTAAAAGTTTCTGTTCTCATTGCTCATACAGGCTTACTGTGTCCGAATGTCCGCCCTTACCCCTAAATCAGGGATCGGCAATCCAAACTGCTCAATAAGCCATATTGGACCCAAAAAACAAATCTGTCTGAGGCCACAAAAATGTAAAAGTTTTATATAAGCCTCATTTGGCAGCACGGGCTCTAAGTGTATAAGCCCACTTTAAAAAAGGACTACGTGGGCTTAAATATATAATAAGCATTCATAATTACATTTTATCTGGAGCAAATGTCACATAGTAGCATGAGGTGAGGAAGGAGCAGTGAACGCTCTCACCACGTGAAATTCACCACGCAGTGCTTCACCGCCCTTCACCGCACGGTTTAGGTTTTGTTGCATTGATGAAATTATATAAACACGATAAAGGAATCTTTCTATGGTGGACATGTTTCTGCTGGAAGGAGTTGAATGAGTCATAAGGAACCAAGCAGAAACTGACATCCATCAGAGCTGTGTTCTCTAACCCAGGGGCGTTGCTAGGCACAAAGCTTTACTGGGGCACTGGCCCCCTACCGCATATGCCCCTCCTTCCATACACAAATACAGACAAGGACACTGCCCCACCCTGATATTTTCCTACCAAAATTACCAGTTAAGATATTAATGAGTGTAAGAGCATATTTGTTTTAACAAACATGAACATTTTCAACATTGCAGCTATAAAAAATAAGATATTACCAACTCTGACTGAAATAAAAAGTTTCCTTATACACATTCTGAAGTAATCATTAAATCCTAGGTTTCCGAGTTTTAGTTCAGGGTAAAGTTTAACTCAACATGAACTAAGTTTTTCTCTTATTTATTGAGCATTAAAGTGTACCTCCTATTTTTCACTTTTGCAAAGCGGTCAATCACTAGACTGTGACTCAGCTTAGAAAGTTCTTCCTTTTCAACTGATAAAATAGCAAGATGATGGAGCCTGTCTTGTCCCATTGTGCACCTCAGCCAAGTGTGGATCCTTCTCAACACACTGAATGACCTTTCACAACTCCATCTGTAGACTGGGATGGTGAGAGAGATCTGGATGACCTGCGTTAGTGTGGGGAACATGATGTTATCAAGCAAGTTGAAAACACACTGCATATCCTTGATGACAAGGCTTTCTTTTTCAACCAGGAAAAGCTCAAACCATTTTGAATTGAATGAAAGTTTTTTTTACTCCAAATTTGTCGTGGGGATAGTGGGACAACTTCACTTGTCTAGGACCATCATGCTTTCCCCCTAAGTCACTAATGTCCCCTTCTTGTTTGTGGACGCTGGTTGTTGCTCCCTCATCACCTTCATGGTCCTGTCTCTCCTGTCTCTCTCCTGTCTCTTGCCTGTCAGTCTCACCTCCTCCTCCCTTTCTTACTCCAGCACCTGCATTCTCATTCTCTACAGCAAACATTAAAAAACTTAAATTTATAATTATGTAAATATCTATCATATTGCTTATAACGTCCCTAATGTAACTGCTTAGCTTAAATCACTAATTCATTACGGGACCTTACCTCCCTCTCTCTCATTTTGTTTTACTGCTTCCCTGTCTCTGCTTCGTGTGAGGAATTTCCTGATATCCATCTACAAACCAATGCAGTAATTTTCAGTTAGTAGCCTATAAATCATGTGGTTTCACTGGGAAAATAATAAAATTGACAGGTAAGAAACGTTACCAGAACTAAAAATGCGTCGCGGCCGCACAGTGTCCCATCCAACTCAGTTGAGAGCAGCGCGTTAATTTACCTGCAGTTCATGCAGTGACATGCGCTGACGTGGGGGCGCTAATTAGTGTTGCACCGATACCGATACCAGTATCGGACGGGGCCCCGATACTGCCCTAAAATGGTGGTATCGGCGAGTACCAACAAATAGGGCACCGATACCATTTTGAGCGCCATAAGTTTATTCAACTATTGTCACCCATTCCTGGTAGGCAATAAAAAGTTCTACTGGATTCACTTTCCATTAGTCTTCCTGCTTCACAAAGGTAGGCAGCAGCTTGACAAAGCCATGATGGTGATTATTTTACATTATTATGGTATCGGTATCGACCGATACTGCACAGCCAGGTATCGGGTATCGGTATCGGGGCCAAAAAATGGCATCGGCGCAACACTAGCGCTAATACATCCTCAATTTGGAGTTAACAGCACACTTGCTGCGCATTTGAGTAGAAATATGCGTCTCCTTCCGTTGGAATTATCTAAATTGATGCATTAAAAAAATGTATCACTGTTGCAAATATTCATGAGATTTATACTGGGGCACAGCTCATTTATACTGGGGCACGTGCCCCAGTAAATGGGGTCTGGCGACGCCGATGCTCTAACCCGTTATTTTTATTTTGAGGATTTGGAAGTAAAAAGTGAAAAAAATTTACATCCCTGCATCAGAGCGCTACCTGTTTGATCTGTTGACGTTTTTTTCATGCTTGAAACACAAACTAGTAGCGGTATTGGAGTTTGGAGATGCAATCCATTTCTTAAATCTATCTTTGCTCTCCTCTAATTTATCCAGAAGTTCTGCAATCGCAGAACTGGAAATGCCTTTCCAAATTACTATTTTTATTATTTGAAAAATTCTCGTGACAAATCAAAAATGCAGGAGATGCTTCCGCATTGATAATGAAAGTCAGTGATTTGGTCTATTCTTCTTGGAATCCTCTGTTCTCATCGGTTATCTTTCTTTTTTTCCCCTTTGGGATCCATGGCCCAAGACACACCCACCGCTTTCTTTGCCTGGCACCACGCCACGCTGAGACATGTGTTGCAGGCTTTGACCACTGATCTCTATGGCTATGACGCAAATTTTCATTTAAATAAATGTTTACATATATTGTTTAAATTTATTTATTATACAAATGTTAACAGCATTGGAAAGCATGATGAATGTCTGTCTGATCTTCTGCGCAAAAAAAGCAAATTAATTTAAATAAAGCAAAAAAATGAGGGAGCCGCTAGGGGGGCGCTAAAGAGCCGCATGCCGACCTCTGCCCTAAATCCATCAATAGTGACAGCGGGCCACTGTGACAACAAATCCTAAAATGCTTTGTGAGGACAGCTCTCAACGCAAAGCATTCTGGGATATATCTGCCTCTTCTGAGGCCTTTATTTTCTTCTTATACAGTTCAGACACTTTTTCTCTTACGACCCTCTGCTATTCTCAAAGAACCACGGTGAGAAAGATGAGCTTCAACAACTGTCTAACTCACCACAGATTTATGCCGGAAAGTGCGCATGCGCAGAAAAATGAAGCTAACTGGCAACGAGCATGTAGGACGGCCTCACGTAAATATATCACCAGAATGATTGACAATTGGGAGGACCACTTATTTAGATGATCCACCCTGAAATAAAAGATTGTCCTCTATACCTTTAAACTCTTTGAAGTTTTTTTTTTTATTATTTTGTAGAATAGATGGTGTAGATTTTGTTGTTGCTAAATGCTTGCATGCATATTTGCTCTATCAAAGCTAAGAAGCTACATTTTTTTTAAGTTTACATCCTCCTAGCAGACCCTACCGCTAGCACAATATGAACATGTTTTTTATCACCCCAGCACAGTTCAGTATGTAGGAAAAAAATTGCACAAGACAGCAGAAAGGAAAATGTTTTCTTTTTTCTCTCACAGTGATGCCAAAATTTGAACTGGTTATAGTTCCACCTCCTTACATTCGTGATCTCAGCTCATGCGAGCAGGCAAGTGTCACAGCCAGGTATGTTACATTTAGTGTTATTTTATTTGCACCTGATTTAAGTATTCTTAACCAAACTACAATTGTCAATTTATTTTATTTTGCTTTTTATGTGATAGACCAGCAAAGATTGGCCAATCATTGGTAATTGGAGGAAAAATAATACTTGACCATTTGTGTGCATATTTGACAAAATTTTAAAACAGAAACTCAAGGGATATAAATACTTACTGATGCTAACTGTCCATTATTTGGGTTAGTCACAATGATAACACATTGTTTTTATTGCACACTGCAATTCGAGTTACAATTTTCTAGAAGTTTGTTACAGATTAGTGAAGAATAAAAAATGAAAGCCTATGGTACATGTTTGATTCTTGTTCTAGGTATGCATAGTAGGCTTGAGCCAGAAGACCTGAGAGATCTGGGCGATTGATACACTGACAACATATCTATGAAATATTTTGGTGCTAAGCTGTTCTGTGATTTATAGAATAAGAAAATAATTTCAAAGTCCATTCTCTGAGATACAGGGATCCATTGTACCAACTTTAGAACTGGGATGATATGCTCCAGTTTCTTAGTCTAACGAAAATGAACCAAATTATTATTTTTTGAGGTCGGATTTAATATTCTAATTTTAAATGCTGTGATGTTAATAATGTAAATTCATCATAACATAAATAAAGATGTTAAAGTTTCCATCTGTTCAGGAATAAAGTTGCTAAAAAAAAGTTTCAATAATTTTGTATTTTATTGAGTGGATATGTATGACTTGCTCTGATTATGATGGACTAATTCATGTTATATGTTAACCTCTGACATGTCACTTTTAAACAGATACACCTTCGGAAAACCGGTAACAGGAAAGCTGACAGTAAATATGACTATAAACGGAGTTGGATACTACCGTCATGAGATGGGCCAACCTGTAATTAAAATAATGGAGGTCAGCTTTATGAGCAGCTGTGGAGTGTTTTTCTTATAACAAACAAGATGTAATAATTATTTATAAACAAGTTTTTTTTCATTCCTTATCATTTTTGTTTTATTACAATTTTCTCTCTCTTTCTATATTAGGCCTGCAGCTAACGATTTTTTAACATTGATTAATCTTTGATTATATTTTAAATTAATTGATCGATATTCGAATGGGCAAAGGTTTACGAAATTAAACCAGGTGAAACATTTTCCCACTTGAGGAGCTCTGGATAGAACATATTGACAGACAAAACTTTTTTTTTTTATCTTAAAATGTTCTCAAAATGCTTACATATTTCTTTCACAATTTTGGTATACCATTGCTTGAAGTGGCTTAATCATTGCTCTGTGAGCTAAAGGCATGTTTTAGAGTCTCTACAATCCAGTTAGTGATTAAGCGATTGCTAAATTAGTTGACAATTACTTAAATAATCGATTAATCACAATTAATCTGATTAATTGTCTCTCTCTCTCTCTCTCTCTCTCTCTCTCTCTCTCTCTCTCTCTCTATATATATATATATATATATATATATATATATATATATATATATATATATATATATATATATATATATATATATACACACACATCCTCTTTTACCGGAAAAGAAAAACAGCTGAGATTTTTTTGTTACCATCCAAGATGGAGAAAATGAATCAAACTTTACCTGTTTATGGGTTTTATCTTCCATTTCAGATTAAAGGCTCTGCAAATTTCAGTCTGTGCGTGAGAGACATGATGCCGCTGGACGTGGCTGATCACTTCAGGGGTACAGTTAGTATTTGGGCATCAGTGACCAGCATTGATGGCAGCCGGCAAACCACATTTGATGATTCGACGGCGGTCCATAAACAACTGATTGACATCAAGTACTCTAAAGATACGCACAAACAGTTCAAGCCAGGTCTGCCTTACAAAGGGAAGGTGAGATTTTAAAGAGTGATGATTGGCACTATGGCTAAAATGATGTTAGTGTTGGACCCTGTTGGATTTTTCACTCTCTCTTGTTCTCTCCTTATTTTAGATCGAGGTTACTTATCCAGATGGGAGCCCAGCTGATGGAGTGACAGTCCGTGTTAAGGCAGAGTTGACGCCCAAGGACAACATCTACACCAGCGAACTGGTTTCCAAGGATGGCAAAGTGTTGTTTGAAATCCCCTCCATCCCTATAGCTGCTCAGTATGTCTGGATTGAGGTCAGTTGCTTCCTATAAAAAGGACGAGTCATTGGGGGGGGGAAAAATAGACATGTTTCTTTAATATTTTGTTATTTTTATTTAACAGACAGAAGTGATGTCTATTGATGGAAAGACAGTGGGAGACCAGTACTTGCCTAGCTACTTATCCATTAGCAGTTGGTACTCTCCAAGTAGGTGTCACATCCAGATCCAGAGTCCTAGCTCCCCTCTTAAGGTACGGTTTGCTTTATTTGTGTCTTTGACGGTTTATGTTGAATTCAGATATTCTTTGGATTGGACCATTACAAATAACCATCATTATCTGGGTTATTAATGCGGCAGTTCATTAGGATTTGATTAACGCTGTCTTCAAAGGTTGGCCAAGAGGCTGAAGTGGCTTTAAAATCTACCTGTCCCTGTAACTTCACTCTGCACTACGAGGTGGTTTCCAGGGGAAACATCGTCCTGTCAGGCAAAGAACCCGCCAACCTGACAGCATCACACAGAGGAAAAAGGGCCACGGTGACTTTTGATAAGAACGTTCATGCCACCCAGCTCCCTTCCTCTGCTTCTGGTAGTCTTTGTTTATGTTCTAAATTTGAAAGCTGCACTTATCCAATTTCTTAAATTAAAAGATATATAGAAAATGTTTTTGACTGATTCATCACAATAGGCTCACTTTTCTGTCATTGTCATATGTTGCAGGGGGTTTGTCCCAGGATGAGATGGAAACCTGTATGTCTTATCTTCGTTTTCCTGTTAGTCACACCATGGCGCCTCTCAGCCGTCTGCTGGTGTACTACGTCAGGGAAAACGGCGAGGGCGTAACAGACAGTCTGCAAATCTCTGTTTTGCCGGAGTTTGAGAACAAGGTCTGCTAGTATTATTGTTTGTACTGTGATATTATTGTTTGTCCAGTAAAAGTATTGTTGGTGTATGAATCATACATTCTGAACCATTTTAGTTTGATCCTTTTAAAAACCAGGAAATAATGAAATCATCCACTCTATACAGGGTGAAATATATAAAGGTTAAGTTGATAAAAAAAAAAAACATGCACCAGATTTACAGTAGCAATACTTTAAAGAAGCCTTGCTTTGCATGCAATTATTAGTATCTCACATAGATATGAAGGAGCTTTGTCCCTTTTATGTTTGGTTTGAAAAAAGCAAAGCTTTAGCTGTCAGATGGTCTCATATTTGGCTCTTGAGCATTTTGGTATACAGGCTGTCCAGATCATTTATTAGAGCAAGCCCAAAATCATCAACCCTCCACCCCTGTGTTTGACAGTTGGCATGAAGTGTTTGCGGTTATGTTCCGGTTTTGGTATGTTCCTTTCAAAATCTAACCCTTGCTGATTTGCTCATTTTAAACCTCCTACCAGCAGCTTCCAAAACTAAGTGTGGCCTGTCGAATTGGAAATGGAGATTCTTTATTTACATCCACCTTATGGAAGATGTATTGGTAGCTGGCCTAAGGGTTTACAACCTGGCAATAATTTTGATCCTACTAGAATAATAATCTTCAAACTCTTTAGCAATTACATCTTCATAGACTGATTGGCAGGAGATTTTGCAATTTTTTTGATAATTGCTGGTGTTTTCTGCCATGCGTCATGGTAACACACACCCCTATGCTCAACATCGGCAAACTGCTGACACCTACCCTTGATAAAGTTGGTAGCAATGGCAATAATCAATTTGATTAACTTTGTTAAACTCTATTGAACTAGCTACTTTTGACTGTATAATGTTGGTATTAACTAGCTTGTGGTTCGTATACATTATTTTTTTCAATTACGGAATTTGTTTTCGTTAAGGACATTGTGCTGATGAAGGATTTAAACCATTTTTAAACTCTAATTTACAGAGGGTATATTTTGGTTTTACAATAACCGTTAACATAATAATCAGTGTGTTGGAAGATTCTGCTTTAAAAGAATGCAGGGGGATTTGTACAGTATTTAGCAAATGGTAAAAAAAAATGGGTGGAGTGAGTGTATACATTTTGGACTGGAGCCTAAATATCCATGCATCAGCCATTACACCAGTGTAATGTCAGTAAACAAACAGCTGCGTTGACCTAATGGCGCTTCCCAGTTCCTGCTTGAGTTAGGTGGAGTTAACTCCCTGAAGTATTTACAGCTCTCTGGTATGCCCTTACAACACTGCGTGGGTGGATGGGTGGTTGTTTGTGTATATTTGCGTGTGTTAGTATGCTGGAGGAGGGGGTCACATGGATATGATGAGAAGACAACCGTGCAGGCCACAAGCAGATAAGTAAGGTCATGACATGAGTGGATGACAGGTGCCGATGGTAAATAGAGGAAAGCAGCTAAGAGATTAACGAGGCTAATTTGTGACTATGTGTGGGTGGGAAAATAGTGTTGATGTGTGAAAGTTTATGGCTGACCCTCTCCAGCCCGCCCTCCGTAAATTCCTGGCTTTTCCACTCCATGTTATGTTACGTCTAATTATATCTTCCTCCCTAAAATGTAATTACTGGTTCATTACTGATATATAGGCTAAAGAAAAAAAATTGGATCAAAAGTTTTGAATGTAGTTTTGTTTTTACAATTGTTGAATATTTATTTCTTGTTTTGCATAAGTCAGTTGCAGGTTCTTTGCTGTTTGTGTTGCAGCTCTCTGTTTCTTTTTCATCCAATGAGTCCATACCGGGAGATCCAGTGAGCCTGCACGTTCGGGGTGAGAGGGGCTCATGCGTTTGTTTGGCCACTGTGGATAAAAGTCTTTACTTGTTAAAGCCCAACTTCCAGCTTAGTCCCAACAAGGTCCGTTATTTTATGATTATTGTTCTAAATCTTTGTTATACTTTAACTTCATGTATACTTTGGATTATCAGTGAAAACCTAATAACCTGAGTTGTATTTAAATATGCAAAAAATGTTTTCTATTCGCAGGTGTTCAAAGAGATGGCTGATTTCGATGTTTCAGACGTATTTGGTGTTGGTAAGGATGATGGACACATGTGGTGGCCTGGACTGTCCTCAAAGAGACGAAGACGTTCATCTGTGTTCCCCTGGCACTGGGACATCACTAAAGATGCACGCTTTGCTTTTACAGTAAGAATGCTGAGATGAAGTGCCAACAACAATGTTAAAAAATAAAAAGCTAGACTATATGATTTTCAAGTGTTTATTCTCCGGTTTTTAATAACAGGAAACAGGGCTGGTAGTGATGACAGATATGGTGAGCTTAAACCACCGGCAGAGCGGAGGGATGTACACTGATGAAGCTGTTCCAGCTTTTCAGCCACACACATCGACTTTAGTGACTGCGATTCATCCCCGACCGACTATAAGGTAGAACATGGTTTTGGGATTGTTGAACTGCCCTGGCGCTGTTTCCCTTGCAGACTTAGCCGAGCTTCTACTTCACTCTGCTCTCCTTCTGAGCTGCCTTGTCTCCTTGCTCTTTCATGTTGTCTGCCCAGGGAAATCCTCTGATCTACAGTATCGCTGTGGTTCCTTAGTTCCAGAGGGGGCACGGCTGGTCCATCGTCCTGGTTATGGTGCTCTCTCTCCCGGTGTTCTCACACTATTTCCTCACAGCTTCTGTCTGAGCTCAGAATGTTTCGCCTCACCTCTGTTATCTGAGTGATTCTTCCCCTCTATTCTTGGCACTCTGACCAAAACAAATATGAACCAAGCATAGGAGAAAGATGCATGTCTAATCGGAGAAAAACTCATCAACAGCAGAAAGACTGCGTCTAAAGTTGATGGTCTTCAAAAGGACTGGCAGGTTGCCAATCGTGGCCAGTTTTCAAGCACTGCTTATTAAGTGGTTCAGGTCTAATTTAACAGAAATATTTTTTTACCTTGATATTTCCCTGTAGGCATTTGGTGGGAATGGGGATTTCCCTTTTTCTTGGTGTTTTGATATGAGGCTCTTGGGAAAATACACTAGAACTAGTTGCTGTAGATCAGCTTATTTGATTAATATCAGTGGTTCGTCACCACCCTTTTACTATGAGGCATTATGGGACGGTCGGGCTCGATCAGGCTCTATTAAGTAGCTGTGATCACAACCCTTTGGCTTTGTAGTAGTGCTGCAGTACTGCTGGCAGATGACACAACGTCTGTTTATGTCTGCTCATCTCGCCAGTGCTGAAATTCTATTTAGTCTCAGAAAGAACTATCAGCATTATCAGGACAGGGACTGGATGTTTATCTATATTTTATGATGATCAAAGGATTTTCAGTCTTTTTGTATTGGCATAGAACATGACTATGCCCCTTTAAAGCAGTTATGTAATTTTGAATAACTGTTCTGCCTGAATTATGTTAATGTGGCAGAGTTTGAATAGACTGTTTTGCACCAAAATTGCTTAAGTGGTTGCCTATCTCTCCCTTATCCTTCTTACCAGGTTAAGCACCCATGAGCTAAAGAAAGCAATGAGAACAGAGGACTGCAAAACCACTGAAAATAAACTGTTTTAAAATTTAAAATTACTTTAAAATTTGTATGAATCAATTTGTTGTAGGACTGAAAAGCGGAGACGGACGTTTTTCCCTGAAACTTGGGTGTGGCGCTGCTTTAATGTCAGGTATGTCAATCTTTTAACTGTAAACATCTAGCTATGTCTTAACAAAGACAAAAACTGAGAATAAAAGGGCACTGCTAATGGGACTCAGCAGAAACAAGAAAAAGGTACAACAGCAAAGATAATTTTAGAAATTTGCATTCATCAAGGGCATGATATTTAAGCTTTAAAAAAATCCTTGACACCTATTAAATGTGTGCAAAAACATGCAGGAGCCCATTTCTCCTCGTGCACGCACTGTTTAAAATTAGGTGCTTGCATCACCTTTACAAGCTTACTTTCCAAAAGAAAACTTTAAATTTTTCCCTATGTCGGACACACCACCGGTAAGTAAAAATAGGGAAGAGCACGTAGGATGGCCTTATGTAAACGTATCCCCAGAATGATTAGGAGGACCACTTATTTTGATGATCCACCCGGTAAAAGAACATCTTCCACTATACCTTAAAGTTGAATGAATTTGTATTCTGGTATAGACCAAGTTTTAGGTAATATTTGTGAATTCTCAGTATTGTTCATGTCAAATCTCAGTGAATGCCATTTCAGAAGCTTAGAGTTAGACTGATTTTTTTTTTTTTTAACTATTGTTTTTATTTGTTATTGTCAGGAAGACTGTAGAGATGTTTATTGGAGGTGAAGTTGAAGAAGAATTTAGCTACTTTCTTCAATATTCCACCTATTTAATGCTGTGTTCTGCAAGCTGCACAACAGCCTCACGGCATGATGCCGCCACTACCATGCTGTATAAACTGAGCAGTGTTCTTCGGTTTCAAAGTCCAACCTTGAGTCCCTTAACAAACTTTTTGTTCTTGAAATTATAGCTTTGAATTTGGAGAATTAGGTGGTTGTCTTTTATTTAAATTTCTTTGATCCACATGCGGCGAAGAATATGTTCCTCACAGCCGCACAGTGATATTAACACCACCTGCTTGACAATTTGTACAGTGTTTAGCATTTTAGAGCCATACCTGGACTCTTCTTCATATGCTTGTTATCATTGTGGCCAAATTGCTCAATCTTTGTTTTTGTTTTTTTTTCTGAATATGCATTTGGCTTCTTAAACCCTATCATGCATGAATTATGAGAAACCCTGTCATGATGATTTTTTTTAGGAAGTTTTTTCATACATCCTTAGGAATATAAAACTGAAGAAAATGTTTTTAAAAAATCTATTTTTTCTATGTTTATCTGTCCACTGAAGTGTACTAAGCATGCATTTCACACTGTAAAACAGATCAATATTCCAACAAAGTAGTTGCATAGATATAGTTGTAATTTAGTTCACTTTAGTGATCACTGTGCATGAAAGGCTTAAATTAGAGGGACCTATCAGTGTGGAATCGGATTTTGCTAAAAGGGTTTTTTTTACAGTCAGTACTTGCTCTATAAATCCTGCCTCATTCTGTATAGTTACATTGACCCATCTCCTAAATTCTATATAAGCAACACCATATTCTTTTCCATGTGATACAATCCAGCACTGTATCCTGAGGAATATTTTCCTTATTTTTAGAGAAACTTCTTAAGTTGACTAAGCTCTGCACGGCCCTTTTTTATTTTGTATTCAGTTACAGAAAATTTCTAATATCTATAAAAATGGCCAATGGATTTCCACAGCTTTAAAGTGGACCGCATTCCTCTCTTATTTCCTGTAAACTTCAATCCTCCAAAAATGTTTTTTTTGTTTTTTGGATTCTTGCCAATTTTGATCAAAAGCGGGAGTGTGATGCAGCCTTTTGAAGTTAAATATGTCATTGGATTTCGCCAAGACCAACATGAAATACATGCTGCCAGGAATTACCTCAGGTTATTCCAGTCAGAGGAACAGATTAGGTCAACATCCAAGTGTCCCTTACAACCATGCGATTTGAAATGTTTGCTGTAGTTACATTTGTGGAGATGTTAGTGTTGACACAGGTGTTAGCAATGTAAAAATGTCCAATTAAATGCACTGTTATCAATCAAATGTGGCTTTTCATTGCCCGTGTTAACTGACTTCATTAATAATTTTAAAATGTTACAATTTCATGTTGTTGAACTGTTTCTCCTTGGGTCTTTTGCAGCTCTGAAACTGGGGAGGCTATCCTCCAGTTGGATGTCCCTGATTCAATCACCACATGGGTCACCGAAGCTGTTGGACTCTCCGAGAAGAAGGGTCTGGGTTTGGCAGAGAGGATAGAGCTTCGGACCTTTAAGCCCTTCTTCGTCGACTTCACGCTGCCTTACAGTTTAATCCGAGGGGAGCAGACCAAAGTACCTCTTACGGTTTACAACTACCTTCCCACTTGTTCTGAGGTAAAGATTGATGGTTCTTAATTAGACACTTTTGCACAGCACACAATGCTGATTGGCTTTCACATAATGCAACCAGAATTATGCCAATATATCTTTTTTTAGGTAGGTAAAAGCAGAGTGGATCGTCCTCCATTTATGAATTTTTTCCCTAACGGCTCATTCGTTTAGTTTTTCCAAACAGGGAACTCAGAAAATATGTATGATAAGAACCTAAACTGTGCCATTAGGTCCACCACACCTCAACATCAACTGCTTTTAATTAGAAAGTAAGAGATCCCGAAGTAGTTAAAAGTAGTTAAAAGTATCGAGTAGTAAACGATTCACTTAAAAAAAGTTAGTGTGTTTTCTCTGTGGTACTCTTTACTCCCAGTCAAAAGTAGCTCCATCAAAGATTTCAACTTATTAAAAAATAAACTATTATTTCAACTTATTATTATGTAAGTTTTTTTTCTAATGTTTTATACCAAAAAGCATGTACACACCGTGTGCATGCAAAGTGGACCTTTAATGTATTTCAACATTTATGAAAATATCTAGATAGTTGGAATGCACTTATACACAACAAAGAAATGTTTTATTGAAATATCAACTTTAGAAATCAGGTTAGAAAATGGCTGTTATTGTTTCAATTGCATGTCAAAGAGAGGAGGTAAAAGCTAATACTATACAAAGTAGCACTGGTAGAAAAAAAATTAAATCAGTTGCTGGCTGTATATTTAGAAATAACATTTGCCTTTTTAATATAAACAAGCTATTTCATATTAAATAAGCAGGAAACTGAGTCTCTAATCAGAAGAAAGGCAGATACAGCTCCTGCATAAGGGGATGCACAATTAAAAAATCTATCTATTAATCTACTAATCTATTATTAAACCAACTAAATTAGATTTCAAAGAAATTACTCAACATTTTAATTGCTCCCTTATCAAGTCTTCCTTGATAAAAGGAAAGTAAAATAAGAAAGCAAGCACAAAAACCAACAAACTGATGAGCTCCATTCCATAGCAGATAAATATTTCAGAAGAGGTATTTGAAATTCCTTAGGATTTTAAAATGCCAAGATGTGATTTTGGCTCCAAAATAGTTTGTAGCTCTCCCTTTGAAGAGCTGTTCAAGCTCCTTCCTGGCCTTAAATGGGTCCATCCTGCGCTCCATTCACATGACATCATGATTTGTGCAGATGAGCCTGTTAAATGATCTGTGCGTGTGCTGCCCTGATGTCATGTTTGGTGGATATACAAACCAGAATCACCCTTCTTTGATGTCCACCCCTGCAACATGTGATTCCCATGCTTCTCAGTTATTTATGACTCGTGGCATGCAGATAAAGAAAGGTTAAAAGACCCTGCTTGCTTTACCACACCCTGTGAAAACTGGACGACAAGCACCCTTAAATCCTTCAGGAAGGCTGAGAGGCCTTAAGTCAAGCAGCATGAAAATGGGCTTGACTTAATGTGATTTAAAAAAAACAAAAAAACTTGATGGTTTGGGGAAACACGCAATATGGGGGAGATCAAACTAAGATGATATCATTTTTTGCCATAAGAGGTCAAGTAGTGCTTATTTGTCTTTTTCTCTCTTAGGTACATGTAAAAGTGTCAGTCCCAAAAGGCATCAAATTTATTGGCCATCCTGGAAAGCACCATCTTACCAGAAAGAAACGTGTGGCTCCTGGAGAGGCTATTCCAATATCTATTGTGTTGTCTTTCACTGAACTGGGATCTGCAAACATCACAGGTACTCCCAGCCGAGCAATGGAAATATATCTGGTAGACTCTTGTAAAGTTTGTGATAATTAAATGTGTGTACTATATCAAAGATGCATATAGTTACTTGATAAGGTCAGATTAACTTTTCCATACTGAAAATATCCATACTTCCTTGCAGTATTAAGTAAGCTCTTAGTTCTTGACAGATGTTGGCACAGCATCAGATCGACATTTCTGATCATGTAAATCAGATTATTCACGATTACATATCATAATCAGCTTATCAACAGGTGCCCAAAGTGTGAGTACCGATAAAAAAGGCAGCCTTTGACTAAGGACTGTGGGCCAAGGGGCTGCGCTGTGTGTGATCCGGTCACCCACACAGGTTACAAGCAACCCCCTCCTGAGCGCATGTGAAAACAAAGTCAACCGGCAGTGAGGGAGAGTAACCAGAGCTGCACTATGACACTCAGTGGCATGTTGATGAGTTTTCAGGTCACAAGCAGTCAATGGGCCCCCCATGGGCCCACTCATAGTTCCCCTGTCTCCTGTGTTTCCTTTTCACTACACACATACAAAGAAGCTCTGCCTGGCACTGTGCCACATGCCAATGTCCTCAACATGAAGAGAACTGGGTGTCCATCTACAGAAATGTTTGACCCTACTACTCTCCCCAGATAATTAGGGATATGGCCTGTTCTGTGTATTGTTGTATTTGTTTTGGCTTCTGAAATAATTTCTCAGAGGTGTTGTATGTCTTTGTAGTTTAGATTAAGTATGACATGTGCATTTGAAGAGAGAATTTCATGCCTGTGCTGTGTAGTCAAAGTGAGACAGTCTCAGCTGCTCTTAAATGGTGCTTATTTAAGGCCGGCATCAATCCATATTGGACAACTTTAATACCTCAAACTAGGAACTACAGTTCACCAAATTGCTGTACACATGGACTAACAGCCAAGAGTAGTAATTATGCAGGACAAGAGGATGGTCCCAGCTAGCATATACTGTGTTTACAGAACTGCCTTGTTGAAGGTAAAAGAACAAACCTTTTTTTGTTATCAGAGACCAAGTCAAAATAAAATAAATCCTGAAAAAGAAGTCTACAGCCCTTTAGGATCCTGATTCATTCCCAAAAAAGCAGCATAAGGTAAGTGGTCCATACCCTTCATGAAGACCATCATGTGAGGTTGAGGAACAACTTAATCTGCAGCTGTAGAGCATTATCGGGTATGGACAGCAAATCACTAGCCTTGACAGTCCCATGGTCCAAAAGAAGTATCTTTGTGAGGATTCTCGTCAGCTGTTCAGGGGTGCTGTTGAAAATAACACCAATCCAGGCACTAAAACCTAAGGCGACACAGAAGCACAGAAGTACAGGGTCCTACCTATTTATAACACTCCAAGGAGACCATTACCTCTAAATGAGGGCAAGCCATCCTCCATCATATGACAGTTTGCCAGTTTCCCTACCTCACCATTGGAGTGAATCTAATTTTTGTACTTAAGTTTCATGAAACTGCCTTGGTCTCAGATTCAATAACAGGAGTCATTTTGTCTCCGAAGAAAACATTACTAAAAGATGTTTACACTATGTTCCTATAAAAACAGACAGTGCAGGAAATGGGAAGTTCTTTCCTGTTAAACATATGGGTATGGCATTCTTAGAACTCTTGAATTATTCAATCCACTGGACATCAGTGGAGAGTTTAAAACCAGAGATATTGGCAGTACCAGAGGAACAGTTCTCAAATCAGCATTGCCTATTATATTGCTCAATTTAGGCCAAACACGTTTTGATCACCAAAAAGTTGTCCCAATGCTTCAACTGGACGTTTGTGCACATTAAAGACAGACGCTAATGCTGTTGACATGGGTCAAGCAAAGTGTGCCTCAGGCCTGCGTTGGAAAAAGCTATCCTGTTGTTTTCCCTTGTCAGTATGGATCATATTCTTTGATACAAAGGGGCTTACAATGTAGTTCACCATAAAGTTCTTTAGGTTTAGGTATGAGTCCTGTGTAGTTATGTTGACTAGACAGAAGACTGGTAAGGAAAGTCTACAACCCTACCCCCTTGGATCACAATATATGATGAATCACAGAATACTGTGTAATGAGTCTCTTGTACAGTGGCATTTGTAAAAAAGAGAGTGGCTTGGCTTTATTTGCTGTAATAACTGAGAAAAAGTAGATGTTTTAAAGCAAGAAAGTACACCTTAAAATGTCATCTGTGCAGCCAAATCATCAGCATTGTGGTTGCCACTCCTAATATATTGTTTTAGTCGTTCTGAGTGTCAGGACGCTGCATAAGGGTGGTTACCACTGCCAGGTTTACTAATAGAGAGCCGCCTCATTGTGGACTATTGCTAGGGGATTTTGCTTTATTTTTTGTAGCGGCTGGAAGTTACTGTGTTTTTTAGGTATTTGGATAAACACTGCTGGTACAAGAATATAAAACTGAATATATTTGATTGCATCGAATGATTATGACTAGAAGTACACAGACAAATAAAAGGTGAGGCAACACTCCACATGGCCCCCCACCTCTATGAATGATGAATCTGACATTGCTTTACAGCACACCCCAAACACTCCTCTGGGAGACTCGACTGACTCCACAGGTGTACTAAAATAATCTAACCAGACACAAGAAAATGTATTGATGCCAGGAGTTTTTCCCAAAGCAGAAACAAGGTCTATAGTTGTCTACTATTATAATTTCTGACTGTCCTTTATTGCTTTTTCCCCCCTGTCAGTCATTCATAGTTGGATAATCCAAGTCCGGAAAGTAAAAAGCCTGTATAGAAACTGAATCCATTTACATTTCCAGATCCACACTACAAACTTGAGGGCTAATCAGCTGTTTAATAGAACAGGATCAAGGAGAACTAGGCATGTTTATTACCCTCTGACCTGGATCCGCCTATGCTATCTTTGTACCTTTGCCTCCTTCTTGCCTCATAGATCACAAAAATATTTGTATGTGAGTTTGAATGGGACTTTTACATGGGATAGATGTATATCCAAAAACTGCACCCTCAGTCTGCTTTAGGTCTGAGATATTGCATTACAGGTATTAAGTATTTACGTTTGCATGTCATCCCAGTATAGTCCATGTTTCAATAATCATAGACGCAATTCTGGCTGCAGTTGGTTACTGGATCAGCTTTGTGCACCCTGTCAGGTAGGTTTGCATGTGTTTTTATACACCCCATTTTTTTCTTTTGTAAATCATGGTCTTAATGTGTCTGGAAACATTAATAAAAAGTTTCCTAAATTAGCTTCCCTTATTTTAGTGGTTGGTTTCTACTTTTTGCTGGGCAGTCTCTTTGATGGTTCATTGCCGAGTTTCATTTTTTACTTTGAAACTATGAATGTCTGCTGTAAAGTTCTTTTGATCCTAGGAAGCTCATTGACTTAATATCATTTTTTAACTTTATTTTTGCAATTTTTTTTTTGTTATTTGTTTATTTTCTTAACTCACTGTCCCTTATTCTGTTATTTTTATAGACTTTCCTAAGGTCCACATTTGGGTGACGACTTTTGTTATAACCTTTGGCTGCTGCTGTAACATCACAATTTCCCCATTGTGGAACAATAAAGGGATTTTCTATTCTATTCTATTCTTTTCTATTTCTATTCTTAGGCCTGGGTTATACTCTACTTTTGGTTAAGATATTTTGCTTATATAGGCACTTTCTATTCACTTGGAGTCTCTGGTATTCTAAAATTATAATTTTGTGTAAACAAAAGTGGCTGAATTGTAGCAGTTAAAGTGCATTTCTGGAACGGGTGCAAAAAAAAAAAGTTCTCTGTTTGTTTAAAAGAAAATATTTTAGGATGATTACAATAGACATGTTTCGAGTAAATTGATAAAATCAGAAAACATTGGGGTTGATAATTATGATCGTCTTTTTGCACTGTCCCAAAAGCCCGAGCCATTGCCTACAGTTCATCAAGTTGCTGTTCAGATGGAGGAGTGACAGGCAAGACTAGTAATCATGCAGATGAAAAGAGAATCCCCACTGGTCTAGACTACGTTCGCAGGACTGTTCTGGTCGAGGTAACAGAGCAAACTTTAGTTTTAAAATGTTATTGTCAATTATTTCTATGTATATCTAAATTTTAATCGTAAACTGTATGTCTTTCTTTTTCTTTGACTAATAATCTGCTTGTAGCCGGAAGGGCTATCAAGAGAGTACACCTACAGTGTTTTCTTCTGTCCAAATGGTAAGAGCAAATATGATTCAATTATCATTACTAAGAAAAAAAAAATGTTCAAGAAATAAATGCATGATAGTTCCTCTAAAAATATTAATTATTTTCTTGAAATATAATTATTAAGAATTCAAAATGCATGTTCAAAGTTCTCTAAGGTAAAAATCTGTTTTGTATTTTGACTTGTAGAGAGAATTCACATTTCAACCCCTAATAAGTACGAGTATCAGTATGTCAAAAAGCCATCCAAGATGAAGCAGTTTGATGTGGCTGTGAAGACACACAATGATGCCCACATTGCCCTCTCTGCCAGTCCACATGACAGTGCAGAGATGTTTGAGATTGTACTCGGTGGGAAGCAGAATACACGCTCCTGGATATCTTTAGGAAAAATGGGGGACCCCCTGGTCAGCGTTTCCACACCAGGGCTGCTGTCCTGGAATGAGTTCCGAAGTTTTTGGATCAGTTGGAAAGGAGGTGTGATAAAGGTAGGAGAAACAATATGTCTTTATATTATTTATGGAGAAATTAGAACAATGTGGTGTGACACCATAAATGTTTGTCTGGTAATAACAATATATGGTTCTTTTTCCCTAGCCCCAATATTAGCTTGTCATTCAGCAAAGGTCCTAATTAAAATTCTTCCATATTTATCTTCTTTGAAAATAGCATAATTTTAGGGTCCAATTACTGTTGCATGTGTTTTGGTTCTGTAGGATAATGAAATTACATTTTGTGATTTATAGCCTTCCTTATGCTATCAAATATCTATGTTACTCCTAGTGGTATCACCGAAGGTTTGTAATAATCCCTTTAATTATCATTTGTTATCCTTAAGCAGATCTCTTGTACTGTAAAGTGTTTTTGACTGATAAGAAGTTTTGCTAAATACTCAAAGCAGTATCAATAAATGTTTTACTTTAATTTTACTGCATTGTTTCATCTCTAGGTGGGGCATGGTTTACATTCATCCAACGAATCTATCATTTTAGAGTGGGCAGGCCAAATCCCAGGACAGGTTTGACTTTTTTTGGGGATTATTTTGAAATTGTTGTTATTTTGTGCTTGTGAAAATTCTTAAATATGTTTATGTATTTTATATTCCTTCTACTGTAGGTGCAACACATTGGGTTCTCAACTGGGTGGGGCTCTGTAGGAGAGTTTAAAATCTGGAGGAAGGAAGACTCTGATGACGACCACAATGAGGCCTTCACTCTTGGTGTGCCGAGCAATATGGTGCCTGGATCGGAAAGGGCCACTGCATATATGATCGGTATGTTAGTTAATAGTTGGAGGTTTTTCAAAAGTATTCACACACCTAAAAAATTGTCACAATTTTACTGTGTTTTGTTAGGATTGCATTCCTTAAATTGAGAGCTTCCTTCCACATGTGGATGGTAAAGGGCTTTTAAACATTCTCAGAAATCCAGACATTTAAATTCAGCCCCATGTCTGGGTTGTTGTTTTTTTTTTTATTTAAGGGTTTCAGACAGTATTGCGGCCTGAATGGAAATTACCTCGACTGTTTTTGAATAATTTTTAAAACATTGTTTAATTTCTATTTCACCTATGTGATGCACTGGTTTGTAAGTCTCAGCACGCACAAAACACACGCCAAAAACATGGGCTGTGAATACTTTTACAAGGTGCATTGCTTATTACAATATCTTGGGACCTCTTAATTTTACTGGTTCTGAAATACGGCTCCTTTCCTATTGTAAGAAACAAAAACCTATTTGTATGCATGTCTGTATTCCTATAACAGGGGATGTAATGGGACCAACTCTAAACAACCTGGATAAGCTGCTGAGGCTACCCTTTGGGTGTGGAGAGCAGAACATGATTCACTTTGCACCAAATGTCTTTGTTCTGAAATACCTTCAGAAGACCGGGCAGCTGAGTCCAGAGGTTGAAACTGAAGCCACAGACTATCTGCTTCAAGGTAAAGAACAGGGGGCAAGGCTTCAACTGTTAGACTGTATTTTTATAGCAAAACAGCAATTTTAGCTCCCTTTTACACTTTTCAAATACTTTTTGAAATCAGGCTGGTAAGAACCTCTTTAAAACTACTAAACAAAAAATTGATTTACAGGTAATTTTTTTACAGGTAAGTCAGTCGTTTTCCGTCCTACGCTGTGAGTTATTGCTAATTGAAAGGAATTGCAAGCTAGTTGTATATTACAGGTTTTTAAGTATGTGGAATATAGTGAAAAGGATCAGTATTTTTAGTAATAATTTTAAAAATGTGAAGCCTCTATATCAGGTTTTCTTAATTAAGTCCTCAAGGTGCTTTTCTCTCTGCTTCAGCATACTTTAGTCAAAAATCAAGTCTTTTAATCATTTCATAGAGACACATTTCTAGGTGTCATTTCCTGTCATGACGTTGATTATTACAGTCACACTGTTGGCTCTGCTGTACCTTATTATCCGCAGCAGCAGAAGCCAAAGGGAAAAGCTTTAACTTCCCTCTGTACCCTTCCACTCAATTGCCAAATGAAATAGAGACTTTAATTAAAAAAAACGATTTTAGACCGCTGAGCATAAAATTTCTTATTTTTTTACTTTAGTCTAGGTAAGATGCTTCTAACAACATCTGCAGTTCAAGATTACAAAAGGAATGCAATACTTCTAGTCTACATGTTGGAATTTTCTGTTCTTAATGGCTCTTGATGTTTCCACTATATCCTCTAGCCACTCTTTGTGAAGCTGCATCTAATGAATGGATATTGCTGGTGCACCATTGCCTCCCAAGCTTTTTTCCTTCCAGTCAATACTCTATAACTAGGATTGGGTACAACACTCTCTAGACAAGCAAGGATTTCTTGCGGCTTACCCTCCTTAGGGAGGATGCAAAGGACTCTTTCTGCAATACATCATTATCACAGTATCAGTGCAAGCTATTTCCGTATTACATAGCTCTGTTCGGAGTGCAGAAACACTTGGCAATTGTATTATGAGAAACAAATATTTAGCCAGTCAGATAGTCCTGAGGTGTCAGAGGCTGACATCAGACATTGATGACTAATTAGCAGTTTGATTGTGTGTAACCTTCCTGTCCAAAATGAAAGACCTTTTATAGCATCAGTGCGCATGCGCTGGCAGACAGAAAAAAAAAAGCAGAACCGCGGACGGACGTAAAACTGGGAAAAACAGTGCAATCATCACTTATTCATGTCTCTAATTACATTGCTTGCTGTTTTATATCTTAGGGTTAGGGTTAGGGTCAGGGTTAGGGCTAATTGTAATTTAGATTCTATATTCGTGAATGGTGCGTCAGATGCGCATGTGCATACGACAAAAAAAAACGTCCAAAACGTACATACGTAAATTACGGTGCATAACTTTTCGTACGATTTCATACGCACTCATAATGAGAATAGGTTGTTTATAGATGTTGAGTTATTTACTCTGGATTTTCAGGGTTTGACACCATAAGTCAATATTCAACTTTTTCGCAATATTCTAAGACAAAGGATGTTGGATATTCATTTTCTGTAGGTGAGACTCATAATAAGAAATCAAAGTGTAATGTAGGTGTAATTAATAAAAAGTTCTACTAGATTTACTTTGAATTAGTCTTTTTTCCTGCTTCACAAAGGTAGGCAACAGCTTGACAAAGCCATGATGGCAACTATGTTATATCCAAGTAGTATGCAGTTGTTAATATATACACACACAAACCAATTTCAAACAGATGGTATCGATGCGGTATCGGTATCTGCCAATACTGCTTAGCCAGGTATCGAGTATCGGTATCAGGGCCAAAAAATGGCATCGGGGCAATACTAGTATTTATTCTCATTTTAATATTGTTGAGCAGCATGAAAGTCATTTTGGATTGCATTTCCTTCTTCTGTTTTAACCACAGTTCTTTACAGTAAATCTGCTTTCGGTTGTCATACAGGTTACCAGAGACAGCTGACCTATAAACGGCAGGATGGATCCTATAGTGCATTTGGCGAGAGGGATTCCTCAGGCAGTATGTGGTGAGTGATTACACACTTCATAACATTTCAGGTATGTTTAACAGCAACAGAGCTGTTCAGCTTTTCCCAGGATACAGGTATCCCAGAAGATAGAAGAAATTTTAATACATTTATTTTTTTCAACTTGATGGAAATGGATATTCATGTATTATTATTCATGTAGAATTTATTATTCAGTTATTTTCCTTGTGTAAATGAAATAGTTTTCTATGTTGAAACGGCTAGTTAACTTTTTAGCAGAAATGTACCCCTGCGGTGTGAAGCTGCTGTGCTTCTAATTTAAGGTGTCGTTCTTATTGTGCATTCCTCCTGTTGATTTATGAGGTCAGGTGGGTACCGTGATGTTTAATAGAGCTGAGACTGTAAAACAGCAAGTTTTATAAATGACAGATGATTTAAAGAAAACATTATGATTGGCTCCCTGAGGCAAGTAGAATTTATTCTCACTTATGTGGAGAGTAAATTTTATGATTTTTTTCCTAATGACTCATTATGCTCGGTGTAATTGTGGACGTTAAACTGTTGCGGTAGAATTTTATTATTCTTAATGAGAACAAGAGCATGTTAAGGATGTGACAAACAGTAGTTTGTGGTTTTCTTTTGTTGCTCGGGGCAACAACTGTGGTTTTGTGGGCACTACATGAATGGTGAAGTATGAGTAATTCTGCAACAGGCACTTTATAAATCAATCGGCAACACATTAACCTCCAAATGAAGCCGGGCTTTTGTAGTTGTTCCAGAGTTCCTGTGTGGAGCAGGCCTTAATTGTCCGCTGTAATGTTGTGTTAAAGTGTCCCAACATTTAAAAAACATTTCACAGGGGAAATTGATGGAATATAGTAATTCAGAATAAATGACAGCAGCTGGTAGCAACTTCCATGCCAGGGCTTTTAGAAGTTCACAAACTAATCCTAAACCTAAATGACTGGCAGTAGGAGAACTCTTAAAATAGAGGAAAGAGCTCTGTTTTGTTTTTGTATCATAATTGTAAGGATTATCTATCTATCTATCTATCTATCTATCTATCTATCTATCTATCTATCTATCTGTCTATCTATCTATCTATCTGTCTGTCTGTCTGTCTGTCTGTCTGTCTGTCTGTCTGTCTGTCTGTCTGTCTGTCTGAAAGTTTTCACTTCGATGGTTGCTGTATTAGGGCTGCTCAGTGGTGCAGTGGGTAGAACTGCTGCCTTAAAGCAACAGGGTTGCAGATTCGATTCCCGGCACAGGGTCTCTCTGCATGGAGTTTGCATGTTCTACCTGTGCATCGTGGGTTCTCTCCGGATACTCCGGATTCCTCCCACAGTCCAAAAACATGACTGGTCGGTTAATTGGCTTCTCTAAATTTTCCTTAGGTGTCAGTGTGTGGGAGAATGGTTGTTTGTCCTGTTTGTCTCTGTGTTGCAATGTGATTGGACTGGCGAGCTGTCCTGGGCGTACCGTCTCAAAAGTTTAACACCAAAAAAGGGGGCTATCTACTTTTGCTAAAATATTATTTCATGGCGTTTTGATAAAGGCACTCGAATGGATGTATTTTGAGGTAATGCCTCAAGGAACAGCTTTTTTTGGAAATCATGAGTGAATTTCAACTGCAATCAACTAAGATTTCACAAAGAGAATTAAGGACCTCACCCTGTTTTTTTTTTACCCCTGAATGCAATTTCCAAATGACAGAGGTGTACATAACCCAAGTACATTTAGTCTGTTACAGTATTCAAGTAAATCTTTTGAACATCTGTACTTTACTGTTTTTTTAAACTGAGACTTTAACTTTTATTTCGTTGCATTAGAAATATAAAAATTGTACTTTACTTCTTTACTTGAAGTCTGAGGCATGGTTACTTGTTGCAAATTAAAATATGACCATCATTTATGATTAAAGAATTTGTTTATGTGGAATTAACATATTAAATAGGAGAACTTTGCCCTTTTTGTCCACGTTGGGCTGGTTGGTGGTGATAATGCAACACATTATTGTTTGCAAAAAATGTTTGCAGTATGTCTATTTAAAAACAAATACCATTTTCCTTTATTCCTCTAGGGGAAAGAGGAAGTTGTTTATAGTGCTACATTTCACCCTACTTATTGCCCTAAAAGCTGATAAACCCAAGTCACTGCTAAACTATTTTGCAACTTTAGAGGTAAAATCTAGATAAACTTCTTTTGTGTTGATTGACACAATGCACTTTAGTTTTCTTTTTTTTTTGAGTGGACAAAGATGTTTTTATTCTTAGAGAGCGCTCTTTTAGTTTTCTCAGGGAGACAGCAGAGTTGTGGATGCATGTCATTCTACACTATGGCTTTTGTGTTTCTATGGACAGCACAGTTTGAACATCATGTTTTTTTAGGGTTAAAGCAGGTTTTCAACAAATTCTACCTCAACTGTTTTTAGTGAAGTAAAGTGACTACATTTTTTGCTGCTTCTTGTTATGTACAAATATACTTAGTACGTTTATCTTTGCAAATATTATTAACAATTCTCTAAATTTTTCTTGACTAGCTTTTTAGTAGTGACTTTTACTTTTACCAGGGTAAAAGATATTCTTATGTTAAGATATTTTTACTATTACTATTACTTTTTTTTTGTTATTTTGAGTAGTGTATTTATACATCGCTGCAGGAATATGAAATGTCCTTCTTGTCAAACAATTATATGCAAGTATAAAGCCACTATATTTTGTCATTATCCGCAGCAAGCCAAACCATGTACTGACAAGAAAGTCCACTAAAAGAGAAGAACGTTTCTTAGAGAAACAAACTGGAAAAAAAAATTACTTTTGTGAAATACACTTTGACTCCTGTGGTCCTGAAAAGATTTATCTGTTTTACTATGATGACCTTTGATATATTTGGAGAAGCAAATCAGCAGCCATGATAATATTCATACTGTAAGGGTATTTTGCTGCAGGACTAAGTTTTGCACTTCACAAAATAGATCAAAATACTGATACTGTATGTCGAAAGATTGCTTTAAGTTAAAGTTCGGATACAAATTAGTCTTTCAAATGGAAAATGACATCAAGCAATGACAATGACATAAGGTTGCTAAATACCAACTGTTTACTCTACTGCTTAGTTCACAATCTGTTTGGTAAATCAAGTATTTCCAGAAATTGTCATCCAGAGAGAGTCTTGAAGGTTTTAAGTCCAAATTAAAACTTTCAAAATAAAAGCTCATCCAATTTGCCTTTATCATAAAGCCTCTTTTCAAAAGAGGGCAAAGCTGTAGAAGACCAATTTGCTAGTAGCAAAGAAGAAAATAGTAGAATAGAAAGGGGATGGGGAAAATCAGGTACTCAACCTGGGGGGTTAAGTAGTGGAAGTCAGCTTCCTTTGTGGTTCCTTCCTTTCCCAAACCACTTCGCATTTGCACTTTCCAGAACTTTTCCCTGAGGGTGGAATTTTAAAGCCTGAGCACCAGTGCTGTGGCATCAGTTTTGTCTCATGAGTGGAATAATCTACTTCCATTCAGGAAAGGTTTTATGTTTTGGTTTATGAGAGTACGTACCATTCTTTTTTCCTACTTATTCCCATGTTGCTATTTTCTCGGACTATGACCTCACTTATGGGCTGCGTTAGGAAAGTAATGTGTGATCTGTTTGTGTTTCCCTTCCTTTCCATCTCATTTGTCTTTCTTTGCTTAGTAAACAGCTTACCTCACCTAAAGCTAACCAACTCTGGTCAGGGTTGCTGTAATGGAAGACTTGCTGTCACATCAGTTATTGGCCAAAGAAAGCAGCTTCCACTCACGACCAGGAGGTCTGTTGTTTATGTGTATTCATGAGCTCAGTCATGTACCCACGACTGACCTTGGCTGTCCTTCACTGACTCTTCTCAACTGTAGCCCACTAAAACCGTGGCTCATAAACTTTCATTAGCACACCTGGGCTGACTTTAAGCCTAGGGTCGGTGTTTTTGTAAGTTCAGGGATGATTTTTTTTTTTTGTGCAAATATTTTACTCCGTATCATAAACTTTCCCTATTGTCTCATGTTAAGTTTCACATTCTCAAGAGCCCAGCTGTCGCATCCGGTTGCAGTGATCAAACTGTGCTGCGCCCATCTGCTGTTCTGCTCCCCTCGTCATTCCTTTTTTCTTTGTTCCTTTTCATCATATTATCTATACATTCCTTTCCTCTGATGACGAATTGAAAACGTGTGGCTTGTTAAAAACATTGCTAAATCCAGTTGTTGTCTTGCAAAGGGTGATACTTGATTACAGATGTTTATTTGGACATGCTTTAAAGTACCCTTAAGGGTTTTCATTTTTCTTCCTCCTACCTGAACTTTCAACCCCATCCATCTTTCCTCTAGGTTAACAGCGTTTGTTCTGAAGTCTTTTGCTCAGTCTCGGGGGTTTATCTTTATTGACCCTGAAGAGCTTCATGCAGCTAAGTCTTGGCTCATCAAACATCAGCGAGAGGATGGTTCCTTTCCTGCAATGGGACGCATTCTCAACAAAGACCTGCAGGTAGGTCTATGTTTGATTATGTTTAAAGCACTTTTGCCTTCTCTACCTGACCTGACTGGCCTGATGTGCTCTCTTCGTCCTCTGACGTGGGGGCGGGCTCAGAGTTTGTCTGCCTGGCTGTGTGTTTCCTGGACGGGATCGCCTGTGGAGCTGCCTGACATTTGCCTTTTTGTATCTCTGCTTCTTTCTTTATGTCTGCTTCTGTCTCCTTGAACCCCAGTCGGCCTCAGCAGATGGCCGCTCACACTGAGCCTGATTCTGCTGGAGGTTTCTTCCTGTTAAAAGGGAAATTTTCCTCTCTACTGTCGCTACAAGGAAGCTTGGTGTGAGGGATTGCCTTCGAGTCAATGAGTCGATGCAATAAACTGGTTTCCCTGAGATAGAAAACTTTGAACCAATTTGACTGTATGAATGGTTGAATTGTATAGCTCCTAGAGATGACGTGTTTTGAATTGGCACTATAAAAATAAACTGAATTTAATTTAATTGAACAGCCATCTGGTAGTATTGTCCTACAAACCTTGGCTAGTCTCTGGCTTTGGACAGGGTGAGGTAACCTTGTGTCCTCTTGTTGAGCTGTCCATTTGGGTTGCCACTGATGTGTGCAACTTAGGCTCACTCCAAACAATGGGGCAACTTAGGTTTGAAGAAACAACAGCTTAAAGTCACCCAATGACAGGAGTCGCACTAACATAATTCATCAATGGCATGATTGAAGCTCCAGCCATCTGACTGCTCTAGCATAGCCTATGCTAACTGTTCCTGTTAATAAGGCACCAGATTCTCCTGACTTAGTGTAACAGAAGCTTAAATAAAGATACAAATAAGCTGTTTGGCAGGCTCTTATGGGCTCAACTCTGCTGTTTAAACCGCAAATTCAGTTTCTTTACAAATGTGGCAAATTAACTAACTAAAGAAAAAAAACATTTTAGCAACATTTTAGCAGTTATTAATGGGAAACATTGTTTCTGTTCGTCCATCCGTCCATCCATCCATCCATCCATCCATCCATCCATCCATCCATCCATCCATCCATCCATCCATCCATCCATCCATCCATCCATCCATCCATTGCTGTAATATCTTAAAAACACAAAGACAGAACCACAATTGATATGAAGATACCTAATAATGACCTTGGTAATGGATCTGTTACAACATATTTTAGGTAAACAGATGAAGAGAAAAGTTTTTCGAGAATGTCCAGGATTATATATTTGGCTATACCTATTATATGGTGTCATTGACAGGGAGGGATCCATGGCAAGATATCTCTAACAGCTTATGTGGTTGCAGCTCTTTTGGAGACGGGGATAATCACAGAGGTAAGTCCAAAAGCATGTACCTTTTTATATAATAGTTATTTCTCAGAGAAGGGATTTGAAAGGGGGAAGTGAGTAAAGCTTAGAGGTAGCTTGGAATTAAGTGATATGCTGAATGATTTCAATGATTTTTTTAGTTTGGATTTCTACGGTTTTTTTTATCATATAAATTAACAAACAAGGTAATTTCTGTCCCTCTCAGAGAAGTGTGTCCCATCCAATCGGACTGTTTCATGTATGAACGTATTGCTGCATTCCAAAAAATTGTGAAGATGGATGTGCTGGCAGTCGGCCCACTCAAATTTGTTATGCCCCAGCACTCTTAATGTACCTACTTCAAAACATTCAGGCTGACATGTAGAGACAGTTTTTGGCCTCATGAAACACACCTCTTCTGCTACTCTCTCTCTTCCTTCCACGCTTCACTAGACATTTACCATCTTAAACAGTTTTTTTTTTTTTCAATAAAAGAAACTGGGCATTCAGAGTATGTATTCCTGGCTCATAAAAGCTTTTTGTTTCTCCACCAGATTTTTTAAATAGTTAAATTTTATTTGGTATTTCATCTCCTTGGAAATGTTCCATCCATCTGTCTTCCCCGTTCACGCTGCTGTCTATCCCCAGAGGGATTCTTCTTAGAATTTGCTCTTTTACAACTGACAAAAAAAGAAGAAAAGGTACTTCTCAGTTCAAAGCTAAACCTTGATCTCCTTTCCAATTTCCATTCATTAAAAGGCAAAGGTGGCAATTAAAGCAAGATGGCTGTCGAAGACTATAATCGATGAGACGGAAGATCACATCTGCATGGAAGAGCGTAGACTTATCTTTTAAGGAATAAAATATTGTTTATGCAACTACAGAGTTTGGACTGAAAAAATAAAGATGTTGCGCCATTGTATGTGGTGGCACACATTGTGGTGAGGGTATGTTCACAAAATAAACACAAAACAGAAAAGAAACTGCTTAAACTATTATGACATTTATGCACTGAGGTCTACAGTTGCAGCTAAAAATGAAGAATCTTATTAAATTAAAACAAGTATTGAATTCATGCACGATTACCATTAGCTCTAAATAGGAATCAATGAGTCACAGTTTTCCCGGGAAAAACTGAAGATGAGAAGATGCTGAATATGATACGGAAAAATATATAAGAGAATGAAACAAAACATCTTCAGGCTTTTACATCATTACAGCTTGGCGTCACTAAGTCTCTCAACCAAACACCAAACGGTACATGCCAACTTGTTGTTTATGAGACTTCAAGGGCAGACTTACCATTTAAGCACAGTAGGCAACCACCTGGGGCTTCCAGCCAGCAAGGGCTCCCTGACAAGGTTGTCAGTCGGCCTGCCTCATTCATTACACAAAAAATTACACGTACCGCCTCAAACAGGGCTCCAGCAAGGGGACACGACTTATTTCAGAGCAGCAGTAGTGCACAGAGTTGAAGCATGGTGTGCTTTTCAGACAAGATAGGAAGAAGTGAAATAACCCCAGGCTTAGGTTATGATCAAACCAGAATAATGGCTCAGTTAAGTTCCAACTAATTATCTATCAACCCATCATGACATGAGGTGGAGGTTTACTCTAGTAAGCATCACTGAGGCCATCGTAAGGAACAGACTTTAAGGTAGAACCAACAGAAGTATAAAATTCACCTTACTGGAAAAAATGTATTTGCATGAGGTATGCCTGTTGTGAAAAATAAAAGTTAATAATAAAATTCATTCAATTTTATATGTTTTCAAAAGAATAAAGAGCAATTAAAAGTTTCATTTTTCAATGGAAGATAATAAAAGATTACTTTTTTTCAAGGCTGATAATATTCCACTTTACTGGGGCGGCCAGTAAACATCGCAACTGCAAAAATATTAAAATGGGAAACAGATAACACCTAATAATTAGCTCAAAAATTGTCAGTGGCATTGTTTCCTGAAACAACACCACATTTTTTTTTCTTTTTGACTCCACTATTGTGTACAGGAAGAGAAGGTCGCAGTGGCTAGAGCCAAGGATTTCCTCGAAAGCAACACTTATTCTGCCAATGACCCTTACACCACAGCTCTGTCTGCATATGCCCTGTCTTTGCTCCGCAGCCTTTATGCTCCGCTGGCTCTGCGTCGCCTCAACCACATGGCCATCACTAAAGGTACTGCTACCTCTTTCACTCGTTAAAGCTCATTACCCTGGACCACATGTGTACGAACTAGTTAGTGTGTTTGGAGAAAAAAAAAAAGTGAATCTCTTGTAATATTCTCACTGTGTCAATGTTATCAATTAAATGCCACTTCAAAGAAAAAAGAAAGATTCCTTCCTATAAATGCAATTGTGTAGTGAAAAAAAAAAAAATGCATTATTAACATCAGAAACAAGAGTTGTATTAAACGAGAAAGTAAGGTGTTCTTATTAAGGCACCTTTAAATTTAGACATGGATATAGATGTGACTGTTAAAACAACCTTTTTCACTTCAGCACCTTTATTGTTGCAGATGGGCTCACCCACTGGAGCCTTACTGGCAGCACTGTGACCGATGAAGATACTTTCATGGGCTTCAGCGATGGTTTCTCTCACTCAGGTGCCAGTTGGAAAATATCTGAGAAACAAGTGCTATCGGAATCTACAATAGTTTTATTTTCTATGAAAGAAATATTTTTAAATTGGACAAACCTATAATTTTAATTCCTGCAAATATAACAACCCAGAGAATTGTCTCTAAATGTAGTCTGTTGCTCCCAGTTGTGTCAGCAGAGGTGGAGATGACAGCCTATGGCCTTCTGACCTACACCATCATGGGTGATGTTGCTTCTGCGCTGCCTATTGTCAAATGGCTCTCCCAGCAAAGAAATGCTTTGGGTGGTTTCTCTTCCACACAAGTAATTTTTTAAAGTTATTTCTTGAGTATTTTGTTGTATTGTAGTTTTATAGATTTTATATCGTATTGAAATCGGGCATTTACCATTACAAGGTAATTATTCCTCCTGAAAATTTTACCAGGATTGAGAGTATTGTATTTAGGAGGACTCGTATAAGTGAATAACAACATGTTGAGTGTAATTGTAGAATGTAAGAAAAGAAATGCATGATTTTACTGACTTTTCTGTAATGGTTACATGCCACATTTTTGTTACTTTTAAGTGTGCTACTGTACAGTGCTGTCAAGAAGTAATTAATTATTCTCAGATTTCTTCCTTTTGGCTTTTTTGTCAGACTTTCAGGTAGCTGTATTCCAGTAATTATAGATAGAAAGACAAAAATGAGCTATTCAAAACAATGGCCCTTTGTGGATACAAAAATAACCCCACTCCTTAGATGAAACATAATCTGAAATAGGAGGGAACTTTCAGGTATGTTTTGGATCCTCTCCCTGCTTGAGAACTCAAATATACCTGAGCTCAAGGCCACAAACTGTAGAGAGCTGGATTCAGGGTTTCATCAAATAAACTAAAGCAATAAAGCAGACCTAGCCCATGTTGGCTTCTTTTTCTGAAGCGCTAAAACATTTTCCCCATATATAATAGGACACACATCTTCTAAAAAAACATGGATTTATTTTTACTGATTCATATTTAGCAATATTCAAACGGAATATATTCCCAAGATCCGGAGAGATCCTTAATGGTTTGGGGAGCTAACCTTTTTTTTGTTTTGCTTTTTGCGAGTTGTGGTTATATGTCTTTGAGGAAGCTTAGGTCCTAGTCTGTTAACTAAATGAAGAACATTATGGACAATGCTGTGGATCCTCTTCAGAAAAGTTTTTAACAACAACACTTTCTTCAGTCAGAGGCTTCTTCAGACCCGCTGTAACAGACAGACCTCTACAGAAAATCCTTCCTGCCATCAGCTATCAACATATACATCCCTTAAAAAAAACACAAAAAACTAACACTACATCTAATTTCCCTCTTTCATTGATAAAGTATTTTTTGATCAAACAAATATTACCTTGGATGCTTTCATGGATAACATTCATCCACATCTTTTTCTTATTTTTAGATCATGAACAAGAAAATATAGTTCATAGGAGAAACGTTTTTTTCATTTAAAAACCAAGGGTTACATTGTTGTCAGCAGTTTATAGTGCTACTGCACACAAATTCTTACCTGTTGGTAGCTTGAATATTCTTCCCATGCATTTTTTAGAATCCCTCCAGGTTCTCTGGCTTCCTCTAACAGTCCAAAACCATGACCCTTAGGTAAATGTTCTCTATTATTTGGCCTTAGGTATTACTGTATTACTGTCTGTTCTTTGAGTTGTCCTGTCATAGACTGGCAACCTGTCTCTGCCTCTCCAATGGTTGCTTAAGATACAATAGGCATCAACACCTAACTAACCTGCAAGAATAAAGAGTTAGAAAATAGTGGTTTAATGTATGATTTGGAAACGCTTATTTGTATTTACTTAGGTAATCTGAGTTTGGTATAAAAAAAACACCTGAAACATTTAAGTGACAAAAAAGAACAAAAGAATAAAGAAGAAATACTTTTTTTTAAATGCAAAGCCTTCAAAATCAGATCTTAAAACTCCACCGTCTCATTTGACCCTCCTGTTTAGGATACATGCGTGGCTCTGCACGCCCTGTCGGAGTACGCCATCCTTTCATACGTAGGAGGGGTAAACCTCACCATCTCTCTTGCCTCCACCAACCTCGACTTCCAGGAGGCCTTTGAGCTCAACCGAGACAACAAGAAACTCCTTCAGAGGGCCAAGGTGACTGCGGATTAGAACAAATCCTCTACTGTTTGATTGCTTGTTTTGCTACTTCAAGGCTGCTCGGTCTTCTTCCGTACCGATGTAATGGAAACACCAGTTTGGCATTCCGATTCTTAATATCAGTTCATCACATTTACTTATTAGTTCCAGATGTCATAACCAAGATGGATTGGACATTTTATCCAGTTAAGCTCCAATTTATATATGCACTTATTCGGTGATTAATGAGCTGCTATGTATCAGAGTGAAATTCCTCTGAACTGTAATCTCTGCATACTGCAGCCAAGACCTTTTTACTTGGAGCCAAGTCAAACCAAGCTGGATTTCTCAAACACACCTTGTATTATGATTAAGAAAATGTGTTTTACTGACCTGTTTACCCACACATTAAACAAACTTGACAGTGAGGGGCTTATCTCCCCTTTGCTAGATCTCCTTTCAGGTGAGAATGCAAGCAAGTCCTACCAGGCATGTTTGTTACTGCTATGATTAGGGGTGTCAACTTAATTAGGGGCAATTTAGGGCTGTTGGTAAGTAGCCAGGGAGCCACAGCAGCAGTACAAGGGCCTACAGCATTCACTCACTTGATAAATGACTCAGTCACCTCTCCCTGCCCCCTCTGATTCTCTTTGTTTCTCCTCCTTTTTTCCCCCCTTGTAGATACCAAGTATCCCCACAGGCCTTTTTGTCAGCGCTAAAGGTGAAGGCTGCTGTCTCATGCAGGTATTAGATGCTCTCAAACTTGTGTTACTGCCTGTTTGTAGTCTTGGAAAACTACCTTAAATGAAAATCTAATGCTTTGTCTTACAATGATTTCCAATAAAAAGGTGTGTTGAATGCTGCCTGAGTATCGTATATAAAAAATTTCATTCTTTTTTGTTTTTTGGGTAATTTGATTTACAGATTATATTTTCAGACGTGGGGTTTTAACAGTTTTTTTTTTTTATATCATGAGTGTTTAAATAATCATCCAGAAATGAAATAGCTTGCCTGGTTATATGTATTCATATAAATGTAACTCATAGAGTTCAGCTGGTTCAGTCAATTTCAGTGATGGTTTTACAGGATAAAATAAATATCACAGACTTATTTTACTTCACTGTTTTCACAGACGCAAGTTTTACAGATCCCTGCTTTTTAATGCTTCAACACTCCTCTTTGACAGCCCCTCAGGCAAGCAGCACCTGGGCCATAATTAGATACAAGAGCTGGGCAATCAAAGCGTCCCTGTCTGTGTATGTGTTTATAGGCAGACAGTTGGGATTACCATTTAATACTTTGTGAAAATTTCTTTGAACTAAACTTGATTTATCTTGGATGAAAATACATTTAAGATTCAAATGTATTAAAAAGCTGAGTTGTCTCTACTCTAAGATAGTACTCCCACCCAATGTATGTTTCTAGTCCTAAGAAATGGTTAGTTTCTAATTTGTATCTACTTTAGTTAATAGATTATAGACAGTATGAGGTTAATAATTCATTAGTATTTTAAAGCAACGAGCAATATATTTTATATTGTGTTAAGTGTTAATTTTCTTCATCATTGTTTTCCATATTAAGTTCATTCAGTTTATTTATATAGCGCCATTTCACAACACTTGTCATCTCAAGGCACTTTAGAGAGACAATTCAGCCAGATCACACAGTCAGATTGGTTCTAAGTTTTTATCTAAGACTCGAAAGCAATCCCACACACCAAGCATGCTTGTAGCGACAGTGGGGAGCAAATAACTCATTTATAACAGAAAGAAACCTCCAGCAGAACCAGGCTCATTGTGAGCGGCAATCTGCTAAGGCCGACTGCAGTTCAAGGAGACAGAAGCAGAGATACAAAAGGCAACTGTCAACCAGCTCCAAAGGTGGCCCCGTCCAGGAAACACACAACATAGCAGACAAGCTCCTAATCAGCTCCCATCTAAGAGGATGAAATTCAATACAGTTATAATTTATCGCCAATTCCCAACACATGTCATATCAAGGCACTTTACAGTTCACCAAACCATACAGTCAAACTGATTAAAAGTTTTCTATCTAAGTTTATTGCATCGACTCATTGACTCAAAGGCAATCCCTCACAATAAGCATGCTTGTAGTGACAGTGGAGTGGAAAAACTCCCTTTTAACACAAAGAAACCTTCAGCAGAACCAGGCTCAGTGTAAGCGGCCATCTGCCGAGGCCGACTGGGGTTCAAGGAGACATAAGCAGAGAGGCAGTTATCTAAGGCACCCAGCCCTGTCCAGGAAACACACACAGCCAGGCAGTCGAGCCAGCTCCCATGTCAGACAATGAAGAGGGCACATCCAGACAGTCACAGTCAGCGAAACAGGACTACACTGAAAAACAGGCCAATCTCCAACATCTAAAAACAAGGGTGTTGATTGCAGCAGCACAGCTGATGTTTCTCTCTTTGATGGTGTCAGCCAAACAGGAACAGACCAGATGAAGCTACTATGAGAAAAAAGCAGAGAGAGCATAACGTTAGAGTTTAAACTAACAAATTCTGCTGAGTGGGAGAATAGAGATACAATGAAGCAGAATGGTAAAAAACAGGTCCCTATGTCCTCCAGCAGTCTAAGCCTATAGCAGTTAAACTATAGAGATAGCCCTGAATAACCTGAACTCTAATTAGTGAGATTATATTAACAACTCATGAAATTGAGGCTGCTGAGGTTTGACTGAATATCCCCCAACTCTTATCTGTCCATCTGATGCTGTCTCAAAGAATCGTCAGCAGTCAACACCACCTCCTTCACTTCATTGCGTTCTTATTGTTGCGGACCAAATTTTTTAATTGGATCATATTCCAAAATTGATCTCTTACATTAGGGGTAACTCTAGAGCAGCTTGGGTATTAGATTAGATGGGGGAATTTCATCAACAGTACAGTTTCCTCCAAAATACACATCTTGTGTAACAACTCTATATGCTCCGATCTCACTTCGCCAAAATAAATAGGCTGCAACCAAAGGGTCCATCGCTGGACACACAGATTTGCGAGATAGTGTTGCTGCTGTGAAGAAAGGCAAGTGGTCTCTGAGGTCTCATTTTCTTTTATGTCTTTGTATTCCCACAGACATCATAGGTCCCGTTTTTTGTCAGATAATCTGCCAAATCAGATTCATTGTTGCATGCCATCCAAGAAGGAACCCAGAGTGAAAAGAAAAACATTAAAAGTGTTGTTTACTACAAGGAATTTATGAGATACTGCAAACACGTATGAAGGTGCTCTGATCAAATGAGACAGAGCTAAGCTTTTTGGGAAAGTCATGCTGTAGGATTATTCTCTACTACAGAGGTAAGTATAGGACGAGCCTGGAGGACAAGCTCGTAGATCTTGTTAGGGGGAGTTTTTCCTCTCCACTGTCGCTATAAGTGTGTTGGTTGTGAGGGATTGCCTTTAAGTCAATGAGTCGATAGATAGATAGAAAACTTTCAATCAGTTTGACTGTATGATCTGGTGGAATTGTCTCTATAAAGCCCCTTGAGATGATATGTGTCGTGAATTGGCGCTATATAAATAAACTGAATTGAATTGAATAAATTGGACAAAGACTTGAGGCTTATGCAGACAAAAACTCCATCCAAACTTACTGAGTGGACCAAATTTACATACAACAGTAGGGACACATTTCAAAATATAGATGGCATAAAGCTGATATAGAGATACCCAAAACAATTGCAGCTAAAAATGGAATTTAAAGAAGTTAAAAAAATTTAAAGAGCTAAATTCAGTTAAAGATCATGCATTTTAGTTTTCTCAAAAAATTCTTGAACATAAATATTTGTGGTTTTAACGTAACATACTGTGAAAACGTTTCAGGTAAGTGAATACTTAAGCAATGCACTAAAGGAATCATTTAAAAAAGAGATGCTTACTTAAAAGATGTAATTTGTTTGAAGCATATGAGTAATAGCTTGAAACCCCGACTACTGAGTGTTTTTTTTGTCTTCTTTCTTTCATTTCTGTAGATCGATGTGTCCTATAATGTTCCTGATCCAATAGCAAAGCCAGCTTTCCAACTCAAGGTGGATCTGAGAGAACCGCTACAGGAGCGACGCCTACAGCCCTCCTCCGCATCTTCTACTTCCAAGCACTCTGCGTCACGTTCCCGGAGCCGAGTCGACAACCGCTCTGAGCTCAGTCGGAGGCGCAGAGCTCCCATTGAAGATGATGACCCAGCAGCCCACCAGGACAAGCTAAACTTCCACATCTCTTTAGAAGTGTGCGCTAGGTAGAGATTCATGGTACTCCTGTTTAAAGATCTAGATAAATATAAAATAAAAACATATATTTTGTTGATTGTTTTTTTCCAACCTTTTCGTCTAGGTGGCTCCATTCAGGTTCATCCAACATGGCAGTCATAGAGGTTCCCATGATTTCTGGCTTCAGAGCAGATTTCGAAAGCCTGGAGAGAGTATGTAATCACTGTGCCACACATTCACATCTTATATATATATATATATATATATATTTATATGCATATACACTGCACATACATTCAGCATATGAATCGCATGGTGATTTTATTGTGAAGAAAGGAAATCAAATCAAAATCTAGCTGGAAGCAGTAACTTTTTAAAATATGTTTTTATGAGATGTGGAAGGAGTAAAATAAAGCATTATTAGACATTGGTTGCATTGGTATATTGAGGAATGTCCGTAATTATAAAGGTGGCGGTTAGCATGAAGTAACTTTTGGGGCTGAATCCAGGTCAGCTCCCCAGTCACCCATCAAAAGCATGTCCCTCATTACTGGGCTGTAACAGGGCCTCAGTCTGCAGGCTTCTATTACTACAGAGCCACCTCTGTGGCTACTTGGAGCAATGTAAAACATTTGCACATACACACACACATAGTCCGCTGTCAGTATGTCACTGGAGGCTGACCTGAGATGTGGTGCCTAACAAGCTTGAGTTTAACCCCCTGCTGGCTTCCCTTGGGTTTTTACTGCTGCCTGCCTGACTACCGTTCACATTCCTCAAGTTTACAGTGGCAACCGTGGCTTCAGTTTGGCCTCCTCCTGTTGCTTTCATAGATGCTGAGGACATAAATGATTAGTCCGGTAACTAGAGAGAGCCCCTGTCACCCCAATATAATGAGCTGCGATAGCTGCTCTGAGGACGCTGTGGGGGTAGCTGTTTGTGCAGAGGAATTTCATGAGCAGCGTGCATTACTGTATAGAAAAACAATGCTTTTTAGAGACTAATTGAGCCTTGGTGTGTCAACGTATGAGTGTCTCTGTGGCGCCAGCTCCAGGTGAGCACCTCATAAACCCCCTACTGCCCCAAGACTGAAGCCATTGACGTATTGAAAGTTCCCTTGGGGGGGGGAATTCAGCCTATGGGGGTTTTATTTTCCTACAGATTCACATTAGTGTTCTCATTCCTCTTTTCATTTAGCTGTCATTTTCTAAGCAGAGTGCCTGCAGTCGCTTTTTTGTTGTTTCCCACCTAGAAACTGCAGATCATGACTCCAACAAAAAGGTGATGTAATGATGAAACGTGTTGACCTTGAGAGGTACAGAAGTTAAAGTGCTTTTCTGTACAGTTGCAGGATTTTACAGAATAGGCGCTTCTTGATTACATGTTTATTTGATATGCAGATGCAAAAGGAAGTTCTGAAAGGTTTGGTTGTTAATATAATATATATTGAATAATATAAAAAAAATTGAATTAATATAAAATATATTGAATCAAAATACATTTACTTCTTTGTGAGAAGAAGCACAAGAGTTAGGGTGAGATGGAGCTGTCCAGTTCACTGTGGTGCTGATCACTTCATTTATAATTATAAATATCCCCTTATTTATAATAATACATTTTTGAAAGTTTTTATGTCTTAACACTTTGATTTAAAAACTGCAGGGGAGCCAAACATGTAACATATGCACAACTCTATCAGCATCTTAACAGAATGCTCTATGACAAAGCATGAATATGACAAAATTATACCTTATTATTATTATAAATGATGGCAGCTCCATGATGCTATAGCCTGTCTCACTTTTGAAGAGCTTGATAAAACTCAGAATATAGCATGACGGTGCTCTTTCAAGTATTTGAAGACCTTAAATAAAAATCTGTTGAGCTTTGACAGAAAAAGGATAATTGATTGATTGACTGATTGATTTTATTGATCTCACAGTGGAGAAATTTACTCTTTGCATCAGCTCAATAGTCAAAAAGACGGTAACAAAAGGAGGAAAAGGTGCACAGGGTATATATAGTATATACAGTTAAACAGTGCATCCACATATATATATATATATATATATATATATATATATATATATATATATATATATATATATATATATATATATATATATATATATATATATATATATATATATATATATATATATATATATATATACACATAACAGTTGAAGTCTCTTATTTAACAGGATTATTACAAAGGGTTATTGCACAGGGTGTTAAATTGGTGTTTATGTAAATATGTATTTATATATATAGTCATTGCACTTAAATACCCTATTGCATAGGGTATTTAATAGTTATTGCACATTAGCTATTGCACAAGTTATTGCAGTTATAGTGCCACATTGTAAAGTCTGATGGCAGCTGGGATGAATGACCTAGAGTAGCACTCCTTTTTACAAACACGGTCTATAAGTTTTTCACCAGATGAGCTCATAATCCAAAAAATGTGATCACATGAACACAATAATGGGGTAGATTGCAATAAAGACAGTATGGAAAAGGTTTAGAGATTGTGGAGAGAATAGTCAGATTCTTCCCCCTGTAAGTTACAATTGAGCAAAATGTTACAAATGTGCGTTATATTTACCTTATTTGAAGGTATTCTATAAAAAAAAGTACATTACAATTATCCTTCAGTTCACAAATAGTTTATATAGATACACTTTATGCCAAAATGACCAGGGTTTTTCACTCAGAAATGCATAGGAGCCCCACATGTTTGACCTTATTTCCTGTCTCTCCATAGCTGATGATGGATAAAAGAGTTGGGCTGAAGAGATACGAGGTGAACGGCAGGAAAGTCTTATTCTACTTTGATGAGGTTTGTAAAATCAAGGTTGTAGATGGTTCAGATGTTTGATTAACATTTTGTATTGTGAGATTCCAGAGGTTTTTTTACAGCTGTGCTCATATGTACTTGAGCCACTTTTTGTCATAGATTTCCAGTCAGTGTATGACATGTGTGGCCTTCCAAGCTATCAGAGAATACATCGTAGGCAAGATGGCGCCTGTTCCGGTCAAGATCTATGACTACTATGAACCAGGTATGCTTCCGATTTTCTCTATGCAGCGTAAACTATTGGCTTAAGTTATTTTTTACTCTGCGCTAAGAAAAATGAAATATGTTCTGCAATTAGAAGTTTTCACAAGCAGCATATGTGGGGATGCTTTGTGCTTGTCCTGCAGCTTTTGAGGCCACCAGGTTCTACAATGTTAGTGAGAGCAGTCCACTTGCACGGGAGCTGTGTGATGGACCCACCTGTAATGAAGTGGAGAGTTCAACAAATCATTGGACAGGTAGGAAACGTCACAAATATACTATGGTCTCCACAAAAATCAGTTCTCAATAAGTCACCTATTGAGAACCATGTCTTATAGGTTTTGTGCAGGCAAACCAGTGCAACAATGTGTTGGGCTGCGTGGAGGAGGAGCAAATGGAACGATGCACGTGTTACAGGGACTGTGGCTATGATGGGGAGCCTGTTTGTGGATCAGATGGGCAGCTCTACCAGAACCAGTGTCAGATGGAGGTATCGTCTTGTCGAAATGGGACTCACATCAAACAAGTTCACCTGTCCCAATGTTTTCATAGTAAGTGCTCAAAGTTTATTCATATAGACCTTTCAATTGTCCCCTTTCAAGCATATATATTATTACAAGTAAAAGAGCTTAGCATTTGAGATACTACCAGTTAGTAATTTATTTTCTAATCAGCGAGAACACAAGTAGGATTAAAAATTGTACTTTATCTTAACTAGTAAGGATAAAAAAATGGCTTAAGGTCAAAGAGGGTTGAGTCACAGGAACAAGAAAAAAAATACATCTGAAGAATTAAAACCGAGATAAAAATGCCAAATATGTTAAAGTCATCCTGTTTAGAATAGGATTCCTCTGAGAAAAATGCCCAACTCCCCTATTTCCTGAACTTCAGCCAGCTCCTTTGTTTCCTGCCTTTCATTACTAGACAGACTGATTAATCCAGGTGTGTCTGGCCTCAGTAACCATGACAACATTGGCCAGACACACCTGGATTAATCAGTCTGTCTAGTAATGAAAGACAGGAAACAAAGGAGCTGGCTGAAGTTGAGGAAATATTGGAGTTGGGCATATAACTCATTAGCCTCCACTTGTCTTATGAAGCCTCAGAGGTCATCATTTGAAAAAATAAGAGAATTACAGAACAGTAAACTTTCTAAGACATGATGTCCCCAGAAATTGAAATGCCAGCCAAAGAAATATGTTAGTTCCAGTGGGGATGGCAGGATTCTCTGTGTTTCTCATTCTATAAATCTTGCCTTTGGGAAATAGTGAAATCAATGTCATTGTTCAAAGAAAGCTACTACATAGCTGTTTGTCACAAACCATGGAGATACAGCAGTAATTCAATGGAAGCCACTTGGGTCAGATGAGACCAAAAATAAACTGCTTATAACAAAAGACAATCTACTGAGAATGAAATCCAGGAAGACATTCCAACATTTTAAGAAAACACTCAAGGCCGTATGTTTGGTGTTCATCTTCTCCAGCAGAACAACCCAAAATATACATCCAGAGCTACCATAGTTAAGGTCAAATCTTTAGATTTGATGTAAGTTTACGTGACTAAGACATTCAGAGAAAAATCTGAGCTTGCAGAGAAAGATTCTCTAAAGTTATTGTGACCTAAACTATTTCCTTCGGCTTTATAAATATACACTACTTTGGTTTATGAGATGAATTTTTATATTATATATATTATTATATTACAAATAATATTTGTAATATAGTATTAAGTATCAAAACATTCAAAGAGCATGAATGCTTTTTTTGTAGCTTGCATATTTAGTCCGTCTGAGACTGCTAATGTATACACACACTTAAACAGGATCTTGAAATTGTTTTGTACTTATCTTAACATACCAAGTTAAATGGAATGGAAGACTCAGCTTTTGCCTGTTGCTGTGTATATGTATATGCTGTATTGCAGCTTATTAGGTTGCTGTATAACTTAGTCTTACTCTGTCAATATCTGAGAGTGTATCTGAACCTCAATCTGAGCTCAGGAAACAGCTGTTCAGGTGCTGAGCCGATTACTGGATGAGTCCTCAGGGATAATAAAAAAAAGTCCTACCCAACCCCCCGAGCCCTCGCTTACTCTCTGTCGTATTACAGGGCTCTCTCCAAATGACAGAGTGCTTTTGTCCTGCTTCAGAAATCCTCGTCACATTCCTTTCCGACGCACAGCCCAACAACAAAGGGGCCTTCATGTTGTGGTGCAGATTGAGGAAAAGGCATAGACAAAACTTTGATGGGAAAAGTCCTGAGTTTGTGCCAAGTGTTTCATGCTGTAAATGATCAAAAGGACTGAAGCACATCCTGGCCTTGTTTGTTTGTTTATGCTTCAATAGCGGCAGATTTGTTTCACGGATTCTTCATTTTGAAGAAAGAAAGGGAGGCAGTGATTGTTTCCCCACATGGCCCCGACAGATTTTTTTAAACATAAAACTTTGTTAGAACTAAGTAGATATCGCTGTTTATCAGTATGAAGTGATGCTCCTGGGCAGTAGATGAAGCTAGTGTTACACATTCATTCTTTATTTTGGGAAAAATCTATAAGTCACAATTTTGGTAATATAATCTCCATCCGTGTGTGTTTCTACAGATAAAACCATTGAAAAAAGTCAGCCAGAGGCAAGCCAGGAAATCGAACAACCTTCAGTGCCCATACATGCAGGTAACCACATCTACCACAGCTTTCCCATACAATTTATGCTCAGTTGTCACCTGTTTATACAAATGCATGTTCAAAACAATCAGCTGCTGTGTTTTCCAAACAGCGCCATTAGTCTCCTTTTGCAAAAATTATTTATCAGTCCCCACGTGTTATGTCACATAAATGTCCTTAACCTTTACAGCATATTTCTGGCATTTAACATGCAAAATCAGCTAGAAGGAAACACTTTTCCTGCTATGATGTGGAAGAAAAAATATGTTTTCATTTACAAATAAAAATCCAATCCAGTCTTTTAGACCAGGAGAATTAGTAAACAGTACATGTCCAACTGTTTCATAAATACTTCATCATGAAAACAAAGCAACATGAATGACTTTGTGTAGAGGTTTAAAGCAGAGCTAAGTTATTGTAAGCAAACAAAACAACACGTTGAATGAAATTGAACAAAATGTTGAATGAAAAATGAGAACTAAACAAGAGAAAAAAGAAAAGGGGTAAGGGAAGTAAGATTAACCTGGTGTGTGGCAGCACATTCACCTACCACCACATCATGTCTACAATCAGTGTGATGAATGGGAGGATAAGTTTCACGCAGCAGGCTTGCTTGCTGCTGTCAGGAGCGTAGCCTCTTCCTAAGAGGCTGCCAGGGGATTCCTGATGGGAAGTTTGGCTCTGTCCTAAGGTAGATATAACTGTGTTTCTGTATGCAATGCAAGCAGAAAAATACAAACTGTTCAAGTGTCATGTCCTAACCCTGTAATGTCATATCATTTTAGCATATAACATTAAAACCTGGCTGCTGTCTCTGAGTGGTATCCAGGTGTGTGCGTGTGCATGCATGTTTGATGTGGTGTGACCTGCTCTGACTTGCTTCCCAGCTTGTAACTCCCAGTAGCTGCTCCTCACAAAGCCGCTCCTCGTCAAAGGTCTCCCTTAGTACAAAAGCTAAATGCTTCACTTTCGACACAAGAATGCAATTCCTCACACTCACACAGATGTCTCTGCATGCAGGTGTACGCCTGTTTCTTGCAAGCAAAAGGAAATATGCACCAGATTAATTAATGTTCAATGTGTTTTATGTAGTTTTGAGCCATGCCAACACAAGCATTCAGCTACAGTAACAATGTAGGATTATTATTTAAAAAAACATTAAAATCCCTGGTACTGTAAAACACTCAAATACAGACAATGTTCCCTGCAGAGTGCATCAAGAATGTAAAAGGTAAAGATAAGTTCAGCCAAGGAAATGAGAGACACTAAAGGAAGCTGAAGCTCTGGAATTAGCTTCCGTGTGCAGACTTGTCTTATTAGTGAACCTGCTGCAGCGGTCGACACATAGATACAGACACAGGCTTGAAGACTTCATTTCAACTGCTCTAAGTCTATCATCAAACCAATTTTTTTTAGTACTAGTTCTAATGTTATTGTTCAGTTTGTTCCATTTATATTTATGAAAATATAATGCCTCTTTTCCAAAGGAAAAAAAAAAAATTTAAATTTGCAGTTATGGTCTGACTATGTAACATTTGAATGAAGGTTGCCCCCAACTGGCGAGTGTTGTGTACTCCAACTTATGAAGTTGTCACATGCAGGGTACAAAAAAATTTTTATTTTTTTAATTTCCATTCTTTTTTGCACAAACAGTAGTTTTAGCCTAGTCTTTGATTCAGTTTGGCTGCTACTCTAAACAATAGGAAATAAATAAATAAAAATATCCCTATACCAATCTCTGTATTTCCTGCAGATGGTGAGTCCCTCCTTGATTTTTTTTTTTTGATTTTTGATTTTTTTTTTAAAGAGGCATGAAGGTTGCTTTTTTCTGTCCTTCTAGGTCTTGACCTTACTGTTTTGTTGAAAAACATGACTCTCTGGCAGATTTGTCAGTAGGAGATGATCCATGCACTCACGTGACACTCTTTGACAACGTGAAGCCTTTTTTATTGAAAGTAAACCTCAGTACTTTTAGCAGTAGCTTACTGCACTGTTATACACTACAATGCTACGACATTGTCAATGTAACCATTGACAACATTAAAGGAGAATTCCGGTTTTTAACACTTTTAGCCCATTTTCTGTAGTGTCCAGGATGAAATCGAATGATCGACACCAAAATTTTGACAATTGGTCCTGTCTCTGCTTTTTGGCTCATGCAGAATCCCCCTCTGGCTGCTTCAGAATGGCTTCCATTGTGCATGTCCGATAATGTCCTTAAAACAACCTTAACCGTTCTTTTTTTAAAATATGCTACTCACCGGGTCGTCAGCGCTGTTCAATGACGTTCCAAAAAAAGTTTCGTAAAGAAAAAACGTTCCTGTAGTGTTTTATTTAGCATTTTGTAAATCCCATTGAGTTCTGTTGGAATAGTCAATATTCCCCTGCCACCGGAAATGGAAATGGGGCCTGTTTACACAGTTGTAGTCTTTTCGCAAGGCCCAAGTGTTTATGCTTCACTCTGTGTACTCCGACGTCGAGGTGCTAACGTCTCTGTTAAACACTTTAAAAAACTCTGAAAATGGAATACGAAAGGTGGATTCTTGAGGAGGACATATTGGACTTTGAGTTTGACGGTAGAGGATACCGTCGCCAACTAGTGGTCTGGAGTGTACTTCAGATTCGAACGGGAAGCGGAAGTTTATAAGCGGTTGTGATGTATCGGAAAAAATAGTTCTGGGATTTACAAAATGCTAAATAAAACAAGACAGGAACAGTTTTTCTTCACGAAACTTTTTTTGGAACGTCATTGAACAGCGCTGACGACCCGGTGAGTAGCATATTTTAAAAAAAGAACGTTTAAGGTTGTTTTAAGGACATTATCGGACATGCACAATGGAAGCCATTCTGAAGCAGCCAGGGGGGGATTCTGCATGAGCCAAAAAGCAGAGACAGGACCAATTGTCAAAATTTTGGTGTCGATCATTCGATTTCATCCTGGACACTACAGAAAATGGGCTAAAAGTGTTAAAAACCGGAATTCTCCTTTAAAATCCAATGATATGGCCGATATGTACAAAATAATAGTCAGGTAGTCCTAACAAAGGGGATATTACACCCACCATGCATTGAACTTTCACCAGCTTTCATTTGATTAAATAAGTCTTTCCCCCCTCCCCTCCAGGTGAAGAGGAACAGGGCTCCATGATGACAGAGGTGTCCTACTACTCCTATGAATATGACTCAGATTCTGGGGCTTTCCTTGCTGATGCAGAGGGAGGGGACCATTCCGACATACCTGAAGGTGGTGGTGTTGTGCAGCATAACGTGCCCCTACCAGCTAACAGCCAGCTGCCCACGGCTGACACAAAGAGCACCCCTGAGCGATGGTACGTGGGTTTGTAAATTTAAAATTGTAACAACGTGTAGTGTTTGGCCCTTCAGCGATTCTCTCAACACTAAAGTCTGTCCCTTCTTTCTTGTCGTCCACAGAAATGTAAAGTGAAACCATATGGCCACCCCAAAATTGTACCATATTTGTGAATATGCTTGTGAATGGAAAGAAAACAGAGAGTTTGCAGACTTGCTTCAACAAAAAATCGGTGCGGTTTGGAAACAACTTTTTTTAGTTGTTTGGTGAATTGAGTTGGAGTGGATGCTTTTATTGTGTATGTCTGTTTTTTGTGCGTGGTAGGAAGTGAAGGAGAAAGATTTTGAAGCTCAAATCCTCTAGTTCATTTGCTTCCTGTAGACTCATCAGTAGACACCATAGCATCTTAATCCAGTTTGCTGCTTTTATAATCACTAGAAAAAAAAACAGACAAGCAATTTTTTTTTATATTTGTAATTACACTCAATGTTAAGCAATATATTTTTATTATATTTTCTATCTGTGGTATTTATTTGTAGCTAGAAATATTTTTCTTTCTTTTTTTTTAAAGTCAAGGCCTGCCCACACAGACTACATTTTCCCCATTGTAGTTCTTGATGTGCTCATTCAAAGCACTTTTTGGCTTAAACACCAATAACTGAAAGGTCTACTTAAAACGACTGTGCTGGTTTGCTGCTGAAGAAAGACATGCTAATCGTATGCTTTACAGAAACATAAGCTGAAGTTCTTTTTCATCGTCAGACATTTTCTTCATTTTTTTTATTCACTGTACCACTTCAAAGAGATTGGAGGGTAATGAGCAGAGAGAGAAATGTAACAAAGGTCTTGTCAGAACCCGGTTGGCGGATATTTCTGAATTTTGCTGCGTTTGGACTCTGCATCTGTCTCTGAAACTACTCAACCATCATCTGCTCACCATTCACCTTACATACCAGCAAATTTGATTGTACAGTTTATAAGCTATTTTGTTTTTATGTTCACGCAAGTGATGTTTAGGAAATCCATTGATGTAAATGTGCCAGATTTGACCAAATGTAATCCTGATTTATATCAAACATTGTTTATAAAACAAATGAGAATAAAGTTTATACACAAACCAGTCTTTTGTCTTTAAATAAAATCAATTAGATGGTTACAAAATATTGGTAATTTGAACATTTCATCTTTAGGCCTTGCTAAGGAACATGTTAATGTTTGTCTTTGACCCTTTGGGAAAAATTGGAACTTTTCCATGTTTACTTTCAAATGCTACAAACAAGCATTCCAGCATTGTCCCAACACTTCTTATAAAGTGAATTTAAACTAAATGTTTTCTTAGCTTGTGTCTGGTTTTAAAAGAAAACCCAGGGTGGGGGTGGATCGGACGCTTAATATTTGTCACTTTATTGCTTCCAAAATGTTGTCTCTATGATTCTATCCGTGTTGCTTAAACAACAAATGTGGCAATAAAACAGACCCCTAGCATGATGCTACCACCACCATGCTTGGCATTAAGTACATGGTCCATTTTTTACTCTTTTTTTTTTTTTTTGTCTCTCTCTAGTTACTGACAACAATCACCTGTCTATTAAAGGGGTCATATAATGATTATATAGGGTATTTGGTGCTGGTCCTTAAGGTCTCTGAATAGGGTGTGTAATATTGGTTGGGCTGAAAATGCCATATTTGCTGTTCTATGCTCACTAATGCAAGTCTGGTTATAAGCCCCAGAATGAAACGACAGGTTTTCTTCCTATTATGGTATGCTCATGAATATTTAGATGAGCTGTGTGCTGATTGGTTGGTTTACAACGAGCGAAGCTGCTGAGCAAGACGCGTCATAGCAACAAGCACTCACTCACTGAAACATCAAATTGTTGATATGGTAGGGTGACCAGACGTCCTCGTTTTCCGGGACATATCCTACTTTTCATACCTAAAAAAACATCTGAGGGGAATTTCAAAATCGCCCCGAAAAAAAAAAAAAAAGTGTCCTCCTTTTCAGAAACCCAAATGCTTAGCGACAAAATAATACTCACAGCTTGCGGATGTGATTGCCTTACAGCCCCTCGTTTCAGTAAAAGAAGTTTAGCAAATCCTGCTTGGAACTGTCCAAAATTTTGTAAGCTGTGTTCGGTAAAAAGCTTAGATGCAGGGGTCTCAAATCTGTTCCAGAAATGGCCATGTGGCTGCAGGTTTTCTTTTCAACCAATTTCTTGGTTGAAAAAAAGACCTGCAGCCACACAGTGCTTTCTGGAGACAATTTGAGACCCTTGGCTAAGAGCAAATGAACAGCTGAGCATCAAACTTTGCAGGGATCTTCTAAAACACAAAAATAATCCATGCCTGTCGAATCTTCTGATCCTAGGGAAGACTGTGAAAATGTTCCCCTTTCTCCGTGCAGCCTGGAACACTGCATTTACGCCCGTGGTTCCTACTCATTTTCAACAGAGAAACTGCCTGCTTTGTATTTCTTGTAGAAGTAAACCCAACTGTAGGCTAAACAGCTAAACTGGTGTCTTACATCTAGCTCTATTCATGTTCTTGTGCCAGTGAACCAGTGGGCTGGTGTGTATGTCAATTTTGGGGCGTGAAAAAACTACAGGCCAGAACCAAATAAGGCAACATCCCCAAATTGAATTTGTCGGTTTTATGGTGGAAGTTTAGAATTGTGAGCATGAATTTGCAGAGAAAGAAGGTGTCGATGGGATTTGAACTTCTCTGTACGTCTATTTCACCCACTGAACAATCCTTTTTCATCTATAACAATGTAAACTCGGTTTTGCATTGTTTTACCTCTTTAAAGCTTTCTCCAGAGGGTAAGGGTCTATTAGGTTGTGCAAATTTCATTAAAATCTAAGCTGTTCATTTTACAGCACAGACATCTCTCCTGACCTGCTCCATCTCAGTCCAAATTATCGTCAAATTATCTTGCTTGTGGAGAGGGATACTGGTGTTATAGCATCTAGGATTGATTCTAGGTGATTACCAGGCTGTCTTCGAAAGTCCTAAGCAGTCTGACCATTTGTCAGATGTTTGAAACATGAACAACGAGCCCAAACACAACGCATTTTTAAAAATAGATAAAGGAGGCTAACGTTAAGCTGCATGAATATCCTTAATGCTGATAGCTTAATGGACCAATTTAGCTTCTGTTTTTTGCGTTTGTTTTTTTTCAGATTGCCATAAACTTATTTTTCTCAGGTTTCTCCTTTTTATGAATGGCCTTAGTCCTAATCACACATCAAATATAGGGAGGAGGGGCAAAAAATAGCTGCAGAAATGATTTATAATAGATTTTTAATTTTGCTAAATTACTGATAAGTAATCACAAAGTTGATTTTCATTCATCCCATTTGTAAATTTGTGTATTTAGAAAACAAGTTACATAAATGAATGTCATCTAAGACAATAATGAGCATATCTAAACTTTTGAGCGGAACTGTTTACCTCTAAATCTGGATGAACATCATATTTGGTTTGGTTTCCAAAGATGAGGTTTCCAAAGTAACAGGTGGGAGAGAGTTAAAGATTGTTAAAGTTTAATGTTTTGCCATTGCACTTGTCACTTCATGGTCCCTTCTGTTACCTTGACCTCCAGCAGACTGCTGATCAGTCCTCCGTCACTAGGATTAGAGACAAGGGCTAGCATGTAGCCGCTTCAAATAAGACAGTATAACCAATAGCTTAAGATGAACCTAGATGCTTCTGGTTCATCATGCAAGTGTGCATGTCTAATACACCAATATGCATATGTCTGATGTTGGATTAAGCAAACCATCTAATAAAAGCTAAAAGAAATGACTCCTACTGAGGCAAGCGGCCAACACTGCAGGGGGGCTGACTGCAACAAGCTACCCATTTCAGTCTCTGGGGAAACTGCATGCCTGGCTGAAGAGTGATGTTGCGTGTCCATTCTCCAATGAGCAGAAAGAGTGAAAGAAGGAAGGGACAGACGGGGATCTTGGTTTCATGCTTTGCAGGGGACATCTACCATTACATGAGAGTGAATCAGAGCGATGACATTGTTTCTAAGTAGCAGCTCACTGCTCCTATATATGACCACCCCTTTTTGAAGAGAGGCTATTCACCTGTCTGTGGGACAAAAGGGGAAACTGACAGCGGGATAAAACTTGAGTTAGTCCGGGGTGGTGTTGACATTTCAGGTCACAGGAAATTAGGGATTAATCCTGGATGGTCGCTAAAGGGCAATCCAACATGGTGGGATAGAAAAGGGAGAATGATGCAACTCTGACGCATATCCTGCTTTATCTTGGCTGACATGAGGATTTGAACTTCACTGAGGTGGTTTTCTTGCTTTTTAGTTGTTTCTTATTTATTTTACATATTTCCCAAATCCATATAGTTGACATGTCATGTAAATTTCTCTGTAGTGCTGATTACTGTTTGAAATCCTGAAATATTTCATCACAATCCCATGTCCAATGGAGAACAAACACCCAGCCATTGCAGGGAAAGAGAGAGGTGAGTGCACAACTGAAATAATATATTGCATTCTTGTTACTGATTAATATAGTGTTAATTGAGGTGTTGGGTATAAACATTAGCCGTTAATCTTGTAGCAACTTTTTTTTACTTGACTAAATGGATAAAGGAGAATATTAAAAGTCTGTCCACCGGCCAGGACTCGCTGTGTTCTGTGAAACCTGCTGCTCTAGAGCACACATAATGCTGAACACTTGGATGCTGATACCGGATCATTTCTATAGGTTGTTTACATGTTCATCTGTAGAACTGGCCTGGGAAACTTGATGGCTCAGTTTGATTTTAGGGGAATTGCTCGACAAGAATTGGCTCTGAGAGTCAATCATTAAATATGTTAAAGGTGAAAAGAAAAAAAAAGTTATAAATGTGCTTATCTCGTAAAGTGGTTGCTTCCACCCCGCCCCACATGTTGTGTAATAAGATACTGGTGGCAGTTTTTATTTATGTCTGTGTATTTTAATGTTTATACTGTGGATGCAGTACACAAAGACTATGTGAGGTCATGCATGAGCAAATTCTTATGTCACCTGTCTCCAGGACCAGGACCCGGGCGCTATAGACTCCCTCCCACCATTGGATTTATTGGGCATGACTTCACAAAACCAGCCTGTCCAGCCTACTCTTTCCATGGCAGGATTAATAATAGCAGTAAGTTACATCATGATAATGTATTTTTTACTTGGATGGGTAAACACAAAGAAGCAGATTGTAGTTTAAGATGAAGGAACATGATTCACAGCTTAGAAAACAGTTCATATAATAAAACATCTAAAGTCTGTATGCATTATTAGGAATCCTTTAAGTCTGGCGGTTCTGAATGAAATCCAGGGCAACCATTACAGTATCGTTATGTTACATGCAGGAGTGTACAAAACAATATCCCAGTGACTGATAATCTCACAGATCACATTAAAATCCATTATTCAAAGGAGTATACTACAACTGGATCTTGGTGAAAATCTAACAGAGGCAGGTTTTTGAAAGAAAGCCAAGATACAGGAACCATGTGGAAGGTGCTGTTATCAAACTAAATGTCAAAGTGTAACTTTTCTGCCTATTTGATAAAAAGGCCAAGTTTAACTGAAAACTAACATTGTATATGTAACACATGGTGGTGGCACCATCATGATGCAGAGCTATTTTATTTTCTTTTTACTGACACTCTCCATCCAATCTGAATGAGCTCGATCTTAAAAAAGTCATCCAAAAGGATTTTGGACATTTGATACTAATGATATATATATGATATATTATCTTTAAGTTGATCTGAAAAACATATTTAGATGATTCTAGTACCACCACGTTTTTAACAATAATTTCATCTTCCAAAGGGCATCCAGAATGGCAAATAGAATTTCATTGTGATGTGATGCTTAGTCTGTAACACTAGGGGGAGACAAAACTTGATAATTCTATAGCTCACCACATTAAACCAGCCTTAAATGTATTATTCCAGTGCTTTCTGTTGACTCCAGTCCTGGACCTCTATATAATGTCGATGCAAAAATGACCCGCTTTGGAAAGGATGGCACACCTGCATATTCAATGAGGACAAGAATAAAAGCACAAAGTAAGTTTTTGCTCCTTTTTTTATGCATACATCTACATTTTCAACATTATTTTTGTTTTTATTTAGACCTTTCTGGATTTAAAGTGTAATTGGTTTCCTCTGAACTGTATGAGCAACACCATTATTAATGTTTCTGTCCTCATATTTTAATCTGCTGTGATCAGTAGAAGAGTTATTCAGCACTCCTGGACCTGGTGCATACAGTCCTGAGAAAGCACCACCTTGCAACCTGCAGCGCAGACCTCCATGCTACACCATGGGCTCTCGCACCCGCTACCGCAGCGCAGACCCAGTCCCCGCTCCCAACAAGTACAGCCTGCCCCCACTCATCGGCTCTCATATCCCCAACAAGAGAGCCAGCGCAAGTTACACCATCCCAGGTGCTTTCAGCATCGGGGGACCGTCTGTTGATTTAGCAAAGACCCCTGGACCCTGCAGATACAACAGTACGGACCCAAGTGTTTATCTGCGTCGGCAGCCTGCGTTTTCCATGCTGGGGCGTCAAAACTTACCAAAAGACAAGAGCAAAAAACCTGGTCCAGGGGCTTATAATCCTGAGAACGTCACAGCTCACAAGACCAAAGCACCTGCATACTCAATGGGCGTCAGACACTCTGAATTCGTAACGCCATTAGTGGTTGCTTTTTCTGACTGACATTAAAATAGTCAAAGAAATTGCAAAACAGCAACTCTACATTACATTGAACTTTTTATTTTGTTCTTCACATAACAAGGTATTTGCTGGCAACATTTCAAACATATAATAGTAAATTCTTATGATGCAAACAAATGTTTAACAGGAAATCCCCTCAGTACATATACCAATTCCAAAGCCCAAGGGGGAAAAAATGTTTAAAGTGAAAAAATGACAAGTAAACATTCCCCTTCATAATATACCATATACAAGGTTCTATTCACAGTGAACAAAAGGTGCTTGCTTTTTATTACAAGCAATAGAAAAAAAAACAACAAAACGACAGGAAATTTTAAAGAAAAAAAGATTTTCCTCACAAAACACTATAACACATATAAAGATGTAAATGTAGAAGAGATGTCCAGCTGAATGCCAATAAAGATGAGCTACAAGGCGGGAGGACGGTTTCTGTTCATTCCTTAGGAAGAGGCCTTCTGAAAAGGAGTATGTGTGGTTCTGCAGAGCAAAGCAAGAGAAGATGGAAACATCAGCATCATTTGAAAGCAGAATACTTGCAGACTGTTCTGGTTTGTCTTTACAAAGCTAGACGTAAGGCTCATTGATACTCATAGGCAATGTTACAGAATATATTGATGTTTTCCTGTTTGTGTAAAAAAACGTTTCTGACAACAAAGGAAGGGATTTGTCCTGATGGCTAACCAGTACGCCACCCCCACACACACAGAAAATTTTTTCAACCAATGTTTGTATATATAAACTATAATTTCACCTTTGTTTGTGTTGGATTAATAAGCCTAATTGTCTAGAAAAAGGATCAAACATTTATTCTTATAAAGTTACAAAGAAAAAATGTCCATCTTCATGAGTCTTTTAAAAGTAAAAGAGGGCGATCTTTTATTTCCGGGTGGATCATCTAAACAAGTCTTCCTCCTATTTGTTAATCATTCTGGTGATACATTTACGTAAGGTTTTCCTACGTGCTCATTCCCGGTTAGCTATATTTTTTCTGCACATGCGCACTTTCATGCGTATATCTGTGGTGAACTACGCTTCCAGACAGTCATTGAAGCTCGCCTTTTTTACTGTGGTTCTTTGAAAATGGCCAAGGGTCGTAACAGAAAAAGTGCCTACGAAGTGTATGAGAAGAAAAGAAAGGCCTCAGAAGAGGCCTTACTACCCTACAGCAGCGTATAATAACAAAGATGGTGCAGGCACTGCATGGTGGAGGAGGAGTTACGTGACCAATGGGGAGAAAAAAGTAGTGATCATCTGTCCAAACTGTAAGGTTACAGAGTTCACTATAAAGTCCACTATATAGTCCCTATAAAAGGCATTCCCTCTCAGGAGCAGGTACAGGGTTGTGCAGGCGCATTTTTTTAAAGTGGAGAGGGTGGGTCTTTTAAGGTTTTCTTTAGGAAAAACATTTGGGTTTTTTTTTCACCTTCCTCACCAAGTTAGTAAAGTTGAAATGTCAAGAATAAAGACGTAATATAGTATTGAGAATAAAGTCAAACTTTCAATAAAACAAGTTTAAAAATTATTTCAAAATGGTGACATTTGCCCTACATTCTCCGAAATTGAGCTTTAAATTAACAGTTGGACTTTATTCTCGATACTATATTTTGACTTTATTCTCGACATTTCTACTAAGGGAATTAAAAAGGCCTGATAAAACTAAACCGAATTGTGGCTCTTAATTTTAAAGAAAAGGCCTGTGAATATTCCCCCCACCCTCCCAAAAAAGTACTGAGAAGAAATTAGGGATGCACTATTTTGGGATTTTGGCCGATATCCGATATGCCGATATTTTAAAACTCATGTAGCCGATAACCGATATCGATACAGATGTTAGGCTGGACAAAAATAAGTAGTCATTGAAAATAGCAGTTTTGTTATCCATTTCTGACACTTTGAAAAAGAATATACTGAAATATATTTTAATATGCTGATATCAAATTGATTTTTAAAAACGCGGTATCGATCTATTTTAATTTCAAAATCTTGTGAAATTTCATCGTTCTGTTACAAACTCTCGTGATATTTTGCAAATTCTTGTGAGATTTTGTTAGTAAAATAGATCGATACCACGTCAATATATCAACATATAAAAATATGGCAAAATTTCGTGAATTTTAGGGGGATTTCGTAGCATAACGATGACATATAGCAATATTTCATTAGTAAAAGAGATTGATATGGTGTTTTTAAATGGCAATATATCAGCATATGAAGATATTGTGATATTTTAATGTATCAATATTTTTTCCCTCGTCTTTAGAAGTTTTAAAGTCTGTAAAAAAGAAGTTTTTGAGGAAGAAGAAGAAATAGTATTTTTTTTTTTTTAGACTTTAGAAACTCAGAAGCTGATTAAATATCGGTGGGGTGGCCGATGTCCGATATTCAGTTTTAAGGCCGATACCGATAGGGGGCCGATTATATCGTGCATCCCTGTAATAGTAAAAATTACAGAACAGTCTAATGGTACTATGTAACATCATTTCCCCCTCATAGTTTGGAAGAGTCCGACATACGCAGTCCAGTATGAAGTTTTGGATTTGGAACGACTACAGAAGATAACTTCCAGAAATATAGGGTGAAAAAAAAGCCTATAGCAGAATGCTACTGCAAGATCTTAGCTAGAATGTGTGGGTTTAGGACATAATTTGGTTTTAATAGCCAATATATAAATATTATATCTCCACAGCTAGATCAAGCATAGCTTTATACTGAAAAGTATAAGGAATGCGAGCAGAGATGCACAAGTCAATCTGGCTAACGCTAGTTTTTGGGCTTCTTTGAAATACTGGGACAGATATTGGAATGGCTCAGGTTTCCTTAAATAGGTTTAGATTAATTAGCTTAGTTTTATAAGTTTGATAGGAACATTTGAAAGAGAGATATTTGGTACATGAACCAAGATAAACTATTAGCTTATGTAAGCTTACCTAAAAGGGATTAATTGGTCAAAAAAAACAAAAAAAAACACATGTTGTTGAATTCAGTGTCACATTTAGATTTTACTAAAAGTCTCATAACAAAAAACCCATGCTTCCTTTGAGATCCAGAGATACATGTAAGAAATTACATTTTTTGTTTTCTTTTAATGGAAGATTGCATTAATATAAAAATGAAATTCAATGCCAGTAACCTTGCATTATGAGGCTCTATTCCTGCAGCACGTCCTTGTGAGCTTTGAGGTAGATTTAACACATTTCAGAAAACAAACAGTCCTGACCTGGTTTGTGGATCATGTAGTGGATCCAGCCAACACTCTGCTGCACCCCCAGTCCCCTCCACTCCTCTTCTTTCATCAGATGGGAGGAAGGCACCAGTTTAGAGAGCTGCTTCGGGAGCACAACGTGCCTGTGGGGGTAATCAAAAACATATTTCATTAACATGCCACTTCCAAAGCCAAACATTTTCAGGTTATTACACTTAAGGTTTAAAAAATATATAGATATACATGATTTGAGGTTTGCCATGTGATGTTTTGATACATCTAAAGGAAAACGTTGATCAATATATAAACAAACGTAATTTAAACATGAGTGCTCTAAAATGTTGCTTTCAATTTTTAATTACTATTTTAATTCATATGCGAGCCAAACAGCGAGAAAACGCAAAAATGGTGACCTAATTTTGACGTTGAATAGCTTGCTTATAAAGCAACACAGGACACTGTGTGAGTACCTGTACTCGAACTCGTCGTCGTTGTACTTGTCAGAATAGAAAATCTGTTTCTTCGACATGTTTTTCAGCTTGATATAATCCTTTTTTCGGGGTAACACAAATTAGCTTGCGATATATACGAGCGTAGCTAGGTCTGCTGTCATCTGCCGCTGTTTTCCAACTACAATTCAAACACTGACCGTTACCCGCTTCTTCCTGATTGGCCAAACGGCAGCACGCGGACGCAGCGAGCTCGTCTAGACATGACAGGAGGAAGCACTCTAACATTTAAAAACAAAACCGGAAGGAAGGACAGGTTGCAAACAGCAGTTTTTCTCGAACGATATATTCATAGGTATGGTATTTGAGCGTTTTTATATCTCGTATTATTAATAATCAGCATAGATTTTCCAAATACCTATCTTTAATTTAAAAAAAAGAGAAAAAAAGGAATTCATAAGTGTGTTCGCGTAAAAGTTGACGCAGTGACAGCTCTTTCGTTTTTATCAATCTCTGTTTGACAAAAGTTGGGGGGAAACAACCTTACGCTAGTAAACAAGAATGATAAAAATGCTGTACGTCTACATTTCGCACTGATGTACGAAACCAAAGTAAAATTGCTGACTGATCTTTTAAAGCGCACTGGACACAAAATCCTTAAGTAAAAATAGGCAAAATATTATGTGTTATTTAAGTGCAAACATTATAAAAAGAGGTAAATAAGATTTATCAAATATATTCATCTTAACTCATATTACTCATACTCTATAAATATTTTGGGTATAAAAATAAAAAGGTGAATGTTGCATTCCGACGACTGAACTAAATAGCACTCTATGTCGGGTCCTGCTGAATTTAGTTGAAATAAAATATACTGGTCTACTTTCTGTTTTTGTAGTGATATTTCTTTTTTTCTTGGAAGAGTGGGACAAAACATACGGGGAATTGTTTGCTTTTCCACATCTGTCAACATATATCGATTAAATCTGGTTTATCAGTAACTTTTTGCCTAAGAAGTAAACAAAAAAGAAGTGACTGGCCCTTAAGTGAAAGGTGACCTGTTAGAGCCATCATGGAGCTGAAAGTTACGCACCATAAACAGAAGTTGTTCTTTACTTAAAGAAAGGAATTGCTCTTGGATGCTGAAGAACATATTGCAAACTCACTGGAAAATAACAACCCTTCCTCTTGTTTCATCCTAAGGTAAATGTTTCAGACAGTGGGGCTATGTTGAAATACTCTCTTCTTTTTATGCGTTGTGGAGAAAGAGTATTTGCTCCCATGCAGGTTTCTTTTGCCCTTTGTCAACTTAAATGTTTCTCATCACTACATAAATTTGTCCTGCAAAGATAGCCTTATCCAATTCTTGTAGGCAAAATTTGTCTGATTGTGGTTTCCATGTTTTGTGTCTCTTTGCCCCACTTTTCTTTGCAGATGTTTAATTTAACAATTGTCTGTTTATGGTGATGCATAGCATCTCAACTGGATTTAACTCTAGATTTTGACTTGGCCACCCCAAAACCTTTATTTTGAGTAAATCAGAGGAGGACTTGCTGGTGCGATCATGATCATTGTCCTGCCAAATAACCTAACTGCATTCAGGCATAGGGTCACAATTTAATGAACAGATATTCCTCAATTTTTTTTTTAGCTTGAGAAAAAACACAAATATCGTACAAAAATAATGATGAATTAATTGAACTGCTTATGAAAATCGTTAGGGTCCTGACATTTTTGGGACAGATTTTACCAGCACAACCAAGGGTGATTAGTGCCTTAGCTAAGGAAACCCATAGTAGCATCTGGATGACAACATGATTATTATTGTAAATGAATGCAGGTTTTACTTTCTGATATTAAAGTTTGTTTAAAGATCTGAAACATTAAAGACTGACAAGTCAATAATAGATCATTGGAAAGAGCCAGCTGTAGTGGTTAAACCACAATCTCACATGTGTTCCTCACTTTTGATGGTGTTGGGGAAATGTTACTGAGAGGTGACGCCTGACCATACAGAGATCTCAATATCGTGGGACTTTATACTCCTATAAGCCACTGTAGAATTTCCAAAATATACTTGAAAGGCTTGTTGGAGAGGGATGGCTGAGTTTTCCTCCTGGACCTGTTACTGCTCTCATCCAATCTTGGATAAACAGAAAAAAAGGATGGATAGAAATTTTGTCAGTGGAAAAACCCATTTAGATGGAATTGTATGTACGTTGAATGCATTGACACATTTTTTGTTTGGTATTGATCTAAATGTATTTGATGGTTTATTTAGAGAAAATATTCATAATTATATCCTAAATGACAGAATATATGGTTTTAGATGTCAAACAGTTTGTGACTTGTTTGAACAACATAAACAGAACAATTATTTGACTTCAGTGCTGATGCTTACTTGATATACAGATTATACATCTATTTAAGTGATCAGCAAGTCTAACTAGTCATAGAATTGTACGTAAGTATTAATATACCCCCCTAAGCTTTATCTGGTTAAAAATAAAAAGAATATAAGAAAAAAGTGATGACGGTTTAATATTTGAATAACATTTGGGTGTGTAAAACTCTGACATTTTTATTTTAAAATTGTAAGAGTCTTCATTTGTTTACGAATTTGCTGAAAAACTGGTAATTGTTGCATCAAATTAGAATCATAATCTGATCCAGGGAAAATATTCGCTGCTCATAACATTGAAACAGAATCCCAACTCCAAAAAGTGATAGAAGAGGATTAAATTACAAGAAGTAGAAAGTAATGCACTTTGAAAAACTTTTTCCCCCTGTTTTTTTTCTATCAAGAAAATCATCTGAAAGATGCAAACATATTACATAAGATCATAGTAATATATCAAAAGAGAACATGTGAACGTCTTGTGTAACGTCTGTAACTGTTTGTATAGCCTCTGTTCCCTGCATTACAGGGAGCCATCTGATTTTGATTTCAGATTAACCTTTTTGCTATGTCTCTGCAAACAAAACAACCAACATAACATTAAAATAACTGACAGATAATGTAAGCAACATTCATTTTGTTATTTTGCCCCTTCATTCAGATTTTCCACACATTTCACTCACAACTTTAACCTTAATACTAGAGCTGGGCAATGAATTGCAATTCTCAGTTTTATTCACATTCCACTTAACAAGAGAAAAACTAAGGTTCTAACTGCAGCCCATTAAGTGGAAGTAAATGAGGTGGGATTGGTGCCACGTAGAAGGTAAGAGAGAGTTGCAGCTAGCAGGCAGAGGCATGCATGATAGTAGATGCAAGATCTTTTTCACTGAATGGTTACAGTAAAGTCCTGCATCAATAGATTCCGGAAAAGCAAGCTTTCTAGGTCATAAATAAACTGAAACCCTTGATGGAAACATCTGCATGCTTGCGCTTAGTGCAAAGGAAAATAGCAATGAAATCGTAATATTGGTTGAAAATAATTACAAATTTGATTTTTGGCTAAATTGTTCTGCCCTACTTATTACAGAAGTTGCTTCCCCCAGTTACATCATTAGAAGGGCAGTAGTGTGCCAACTAGGGTTATAGGATATAGTTTACCTCAAATAACATTTTGTGTGATGATTTTTTTTATTATTAAAAAAAACAACTATCCAGAAATATGCCTAATTTCATCATGAAAGCTAAGATATCCCAATAAGCACACCCTGGTAGACACTCTTTTTCCTTTGGCCATCCCTTGACTGGACATAATGTTATGGTTAATTAAGTTAATCTCTGCTCGATATGAAAGAGTAGAAAAGAGAGTAGAAATGGCAGGGAATTAGAGAAACACACAGGGGAGGGTGCAAGCGAAGAGCTAAAAGGGTCACGCTGAGATGGCTGATTGCTCCCCAGAGAGGTAGAGGAGAGGGGTGGGGGCAATCCAAGCAGATGGAAAAGGGTGGATGCTGTCAGATGTGTGGTCCTTTTAGGTGGTGACTGCATTGTTCCTTTTGTTAGGTTTTTCTCTATAGCTTATGTGAAATAAGATCATGCTGTCTCATGCAAAATTCACTTCAACTAATTGGATGAATCTTATTCTGATATCTAGACCACACATGTAAGAGTTTATATTTACTATAATTTAAAAACAGGCTAGCATAGCTATTTTCTTTGTTTGAATATTTAGGTTACTTCATTATAATTTAAAATTTTATTAAATGCAGGATATCCCACTAAATAACTATGTATAATTATACTTCAACCTCTGTACTATAAGAGTAGCAGGAATTATTTTATAAACTCATTGCTTTTTTTGGTTGAATCCTATGATATAATTCCACCTCTAAATAACCCTTAAAGTTTCTTAATATTCTTTTATGTAGAGGAGCAGGTAATCTGCAGAATGCGTGTGTTTGTGTCTTGGAGGAGGGCGGTTAAAGCATGTGTGTTTCAGCGAGTAGTCTGGGAGCAGCTGGGCAGGGCAGGGCTCTCGGGCCAATGACATCATCCACCACGGAGGAGAGACAGTCAAAAGCACATCTATCCCCAGGCAGGGAGAGGAAGCGGGCCCATTTAGATCAGGAGGAGGAGGAGAGCAGCAGCAGCATGAGAGCGGGACAGTGTCATAGCGGCGGAGGTGCACACAGCACTAAAGTGTCTTTGACAAGGATATAGGACTCAGCTGGGGAAATTGTTTTCTTTTGGTTTCTCCTCTGCTTCCATTGCTCCGTCCCTCCCCCCTCCCCTTACCCTTCTCCCCTCTATCTTCTGAAAGTTATCCTCTCTCTCAGCTTCTGCTTCAGGCGGCTCCTCCGGGCATGCTCCTTAAGCCAAAGTATGACCGCTTTCGCAATGAGTCTGTAACCTCCTCCGATGACCTGATGCAGAGCTTAGCCATGAGCAGCAAAGTAGTGGCCACACCGGTGGTCTCCTCCTCCGCACAGAGTCTGCCTCTGCCTCCTTTGCCTCCTTTGGATCCCAGTGCTCGGTCCTCCTCATCTGCAGGGGCTGCAGCCCTGGCAGACTCCCCCTGCCTAGATGGGGAACAAGAGGTCACCACAACCTTCTGCATGCTCATCCCCAGGATGCCCCAATGGAAGTTCTCCAATTCCTTGCTCAGCAGGAGCCCATCCAGCTCTAGCAAGGACTCAACCAAGACAGCTTCCTCCCAGGGCTCAGTCTCCTCATCATCAAGCAGGATCAGCGGGGCAAGCTCAGCCAGTGGCCCCGTGGCCAGCCTTGCGGCCGTACTAAACTCTTGTGACCCTGTCTGTGTCACCCCCTGTTCCTTACAGGCCATCCGAGGGCAGCGGGCAGTAGCAGCAGCTGCACCCTCTGGCAGTCCAGGAGGACAAGGCTTTGGGGTCGCAGCAGAGGTCATGGTGAGCCCCAGTGTTTCCAGCAGCTCCAGATCAGGAATGAATCGCAGGACAAGGGTTGAAGGCATGTGGCTGGGGGGAGAGGACCTCCATACGAAGGGTAGCTTCATCCACAAACCCTCTCAGGGTTGGCTGCACCCTGACAAGAAAATTGTGGGGCAAGGAGCTTCTTACATTGTCAGGGTAAGTACATATGAAATAAAAAAATAAATAAAAATAAATATCTAGTTTAGCAGATATAGGAATGATTATTGTAGTGATGATCTAATCTGTTTCTACCTGGCTGATGTAAATGTTTCTCATTTATGCATCAAAGCATGCCACCCTAACCATCACCCATTGATGTGCTTATACACAAAAAGTAATGCAAGTGTTTAAAAAAAAATCAAAAGAAAATTTACTAATTCACTTAAAAAAATAAAAAAATAAAATTGGATGATTTTGAAGCAAAAAACAAAATTCGATCTTTAAAGTAACACTCCCCTGGGAAAAAATTTAAATCTAGGCTGCAAGCCTTTAGGTTTTATTCCTCCGAATGTGAAAAACAAAAAACAAAAGCATCACAACAGCAGGCAGTTTGTTATGCAGCTCATGTGGCAGTGCCGAGGGAATAGATAATTTCATCCAAATAGACGGCTGGTGTTGCTGGTTAAGAGGCTGGATCATGACTGCACTCAGGCGTCAGGGAGGGGAAAAATAAACCATAAAATGATGTGTCCTAACTGTGGAAACTATTGTTATTCAGCCACACTTCACTTTGTTCAGCCAGTAAATATGGTGTTTGTCACACTGTATTTAAAACAAAATATGTTTATGGAGCTTACAATCTGACTGACTGTGATCAGACACTGTGGAAGAGGTTCTCTTTGAATTTGTTTTCATTTATTTGTATGTGTGCTGGGAATGTAAAGATTTCATACCGGAATTTTTTTCTCTAATCATCTGAAATATGAGTCTCCTTATTTGTTTAGGAAGGGGGATAATGTATACCTTAAAGAATAAAAAACGTTCTAGTTTTAATAACAATGAGCGAAATCAGCTACATGAAGTAATTGCCAGATGATAAATCTCATAAATCCGATGGTTCTGAATGCATTATCAGTTGCTTATGTTTATTATTCAGTGATGCCCATGGCGTCCTCCTTGATGACTCTTCACCTCTGCTCTCTCCCCCTCATCCTCAAACTTAATGACACGGCTCTTGATTACTGCAGTCTGGAGCCCCAAGCGCATTTTCTAATGACATTATGTGAGCACCATTCAGTCCTATATTCAATTACATGTAATCACAGTCATTTGCCTCATGTGACGAGGATGAGGCAGTTGGATCAGTTGCAGAGGAGGTCTGAATGTTTTATAGAAGGAATTTCTCATCCCAATGCTCTGCTTTCTGAGCCTGGTATGGAGGGCTCTTCTTATCTCTGATCGACGTCTCTGTTGATGATCCAAGAGTGTTTCTAAGAGCTTGTTGTTGTCACTCATTAGCGTGATGTGATCCTGACGGAGGACATATAAGAGGCAATTTAGAAAATAGGAGGATTTATTACCTACTATATGCATTTCAATTCATGCATAAGTGTCAGAGTGACAACAAATCTGTTTTTCTCTTTAACCGCCGCAGTTAGCATCTTTCTCTCGGTTTCTGTTCCTAAATATTGAGTTGTTCATTCATATGCGGATGTCCAGCCTTTTTCTTGGCAGACATTTGGGTTTTCTTAGTAATGTGTTTATATCTTCCTGGTGTCCACTTAGATATGCCACGTGCTTTGTCTCCCCTGCATCTGCCATCTCTGTTAGCCAGAGCACTGCAGCAGCCATTAAAACAAGCACTGCAGCTGCCAGAGCGGCTATCATCAATACACATGTATCAAACTGTTTTTATGCTGTTTCATTACAATTTTTTTCTTAGCTGTCATATTATGCACAAGAGTCGCATTTAAAGCGACCTATGCAGTGTAAAAAAATATTTTACCCCCCACTCAGAAGAAACAAAAAATGCTTGTTTATCTGACATTATGCAACAGATATTGTTGTTCTTGTTGTTGCACTGCCTCAGCATATGAATTATGACTTCCTGGCTTAACAAACAATACAGCTACAAGGATGTATCTCAAAGGGAAGACAGCTACAACAGAATTTAACAAGAGGATGCTTGTATTGTTACATTTCAAAGCAATGCATCTTGAAAACCTTGCATACCTTGTACATTTTTGCTTTACCCCGGAACGACAACATGAGGATGATAGAGAAAGGTTGGGGGGTGTGGAGACTGTTGCATCAGCAGATGAAAAAAAAAAAAAAAAAAAAAAAAGAACAATCTTCTTGATGGAAAACTTCCCTTAAGCCAAAATCTTATTAGAAAGCTCATTAAGCTTATTTAGACTCAGGGGTTCTGTTTGTGCTGCTTAGACTCTGCTGGTTTGCTATTTGTTGCAAAGAAATGATTTTTTCCTTAACCACACCACCTTGAAAAACTATTAATTTCCCTTGGACCTGTATACATCCACAAACGTCAATGTCCTGTATGCTGTTTAGGATTTATGTCTAAAACACATTAAGATAAAAAAAAAACAACAAAAGATTGGTTTTTAGATTGTTGTCTGACTGTATATTTTGGGGAACCTTTTCTGAGCTGCAGCCGTTTTGCAGCCTCTAGGAGGGTTTTTCTTCCATAATTGCCCTGCATTTAACCCCGTCATCTTTCTATCAACTGACCACCATATTTTCAGCATGAGCATGGTGTTTTTGTTTTTCCATCAGACTGAATGCTTTGCATGTTGATCCAAAGTTCATTGGTGAAATGTGACTGGAGAACCTTTTCCCAAATACTAGATTTCTTCAGAAACAGCTTTAGAGATTTGTGAAATGCTCAACCGATGGTTTCCTGTTGACAGATTCTCCTATAAGGGTTATGGATTTCTTCACCTCCCACAGAAGGACTCTTGACTGCTTTTTTGATCAAGTTTTTCTTTGCACAAGCTATAAGTTTCATGGTACAGCATTTTCTTGTTGGTTTGTTGTGCAATACCCTTTGCAACCTTGTAGGGTATTGATTTATAATTTGTGAGATTTCAAAATGTATTGTTTAGAAACCAACCTTGTTTTATATGGTAAATGGTAAATGGCCTGTACTTATATAGCGTTTTTTAAAGTCAGAAGACTTGACCAAAGCTCTTTACACTACATTAAGTCATTAACACACACGCATACACACTGATGGTGGTAAGCTACATTGTAGCCACAGCTGCCCTGGGGCTCACAGACAGAAGCGAGGCTGCCGTACACTGGTGCAACCAGTTCCTCCAACCGCCATCAGTAGGCAGTGCAGGGGAAGTGTCTTGCCCAAGGACACAATGACACTTAAAGTCGGAGTCGGGGTCGCACTGACAACCCATCCAGTTGCAGGGAACACTCCTGTACATCCGACATCACTGTCGCCCAACTTCTTTTCTGCTTTTTACCTGTCTGTTGTGTTATTTTTGTCTCTGCTATGTTATTTGTTCATCACTGTCCTCTAAGGCCTTTACAGAATACCTAGATTTGTGTTAAAATGAAATTGTACTGTTATTGGAGATTTTCAGATTAAAACCAATTGACCTGAAAGTAATTGCATCCAAAATAGTTTGTTGTTTTTTCTTCTCCTAAAAATTAAGTGAATGTACATTTTTTCTTTCCATGTAATAATGCAATGATAACTAGAGATGCACTGGTCCACAGTTTTTCACATTCAATATTTGAATTTGTATATCCATACATCCCAATCCTTTTCTCATACCAGAACTTTTCTTTAATGTTCTTACCATTATTGGTGATTTTGTGAGACACTGCCATTAGCTCATCTTTACATGCATGTATAATATGTACGAATGTACACATGGGTGTCCCAAAAGGTAACTTAGAGTCAAAAAGCATGTCATTAAAACAATAAATCATCTTAACAGGACAAAGTCCATCCTGAAAACCACTAGAGTTCAAATTTTCTGTACTTATGTCAAAGATAAATGCTCATTAGAAGGTAAACATTCTTGTTGTGTAAGATATTCTTAAACTAACTTAAATGTATTATAGATATAGACAGAATACCTTTGCCGCTATTATCAGGTCCATTTTCACCAATACCAAATAGTTTTACAGATATTAATGTTTACAGTGCATCTCTATTGGAAATAATTACATAAATTGAGAATTATGGTTTTAAGGAAGTATGAATACTTTTATAAGGTACTGTATGAAACTAAAAATGACACAGGGTTTACTTAATGCAACACCTAAACAGTGGGATTTGGCCCAAATAATTGTAGCAGACAAACAGAAATTCACAGATTTTGCTCCCTTTAAGGGAGTAATAATAAATACTTTCCCACTTGCACTACCTGTAGGATCAAACTCCCTCCCATATACTGTAAAGGTCTCCCCTGAGGGCCCTGAAGCTGCAATTTGTGCACAGTCTGGAGCTTAGTGATGCTAATCTAGTCAAAGTGCCGTTAGCTCCCTTATTTGACAGCCATTAGGGCACAGCAGTGGTAGAGGCATGCTTTAATGGTTAGTCTTTGGATATAAAATGACATCTGAATGGGAGTGATGATTCAACCTTTTTTCTTTGTAGTACATGGGTTGCATTGAGGTGCTGAAGTCAATGCGCTCCCTGGACTTTAATACACGGACTCAGGTGACAAGGTAAGCCAGCAACTATCTTTACTGAATATGGTGAGTCAGGAGAATTCAATCTAAGATGTAGAGGGTTTATTTACACGTCCATGGCTGTAATATTTAATAAGGCAAGTGGTTAGAGCCAAGTGCTAAATTTATTCTAAAAGCAAATACTTAAATATGCATACTAATGGTGGAGTTTTTTTTATGAATGTATATGTTACCTATTTTAATTACCATAACTGAAGTCATTTAGCTTTTGGCAGCTTCCCTTAAATATTCTGCATAAGCAAGAATCTACAAGAATACCAGACAAACAATCCCGAAGTATGAAACTATTTCAAAAAAGAATCCCTGTTTGGTGTCTGCCAGAGTTCAGAGACAACCGCCGCTGTTTTACTTATGAGGAGTTCAGACTTGAAACTCTTTGCATGTGAGTTTCATTCTGTTTTCCTGCATTGCATGTGATCTTGTTGTCATCCTCAACCTCAGAGAAGCAGCACCCCCCCCCCCTTCGCTCCTCCTCTCCTTCTGTCTCTCCTCCCCTACCTCTCTCTCCCTCCATCTCCCTTTCACAATCAATTGTTAGTAATCTGAGCCTACCATGCATCCAAAGCTTAAGTGCAATGGGAGAGGAGGAGAAGGAAGATGCATCAGAGATGGAGTGATAGAAAAAGGAGATCTATAATTGATGATGTTTGCTAATGACAGTGGAAAGCTGCAGTGGTCTCTGTGAACGCACCCTGTTGGATAATGTGTTTGGCTGCAAGTTTTTGAGAGACTGGAGGAGGTTAGAGGCGATCAAAACAAAGCAGCAAAGGAAAAGAAACTGACATGAACCATACTGCAGCTGTTCAGACTGCTTATAATTTTGTGCACCAATTCTAACTTCTGAGCTTTATTTCCCTTTTGTGTTGTTACTAAATGTAGTTGCTAAGATCAGCATAAATGAGTAAAACATTAAGTAAAAAAAATGCCTCCTTGATTCTGGCAGCACAGTGCCATGCAAAATAAATGTCACCTCTTTATCAACATTAGTAAATAAACAGCATCATGAGAAAGAGGGAAATAACCAGTCAGGTTGGAAATGAGCTGTGAAGGAGCTTGAAGCTGGATTAAGTTACAAGAAAGGGCGCTGTTTGTTTTCTTCCCATCATAACTTAAGAGAATGACAAAATGAAGAATTCATGGCCCACGCAATGATTAAATTAGCAGTCAAAAGATGACTTCATGTTAACTCTGGAGAGCTGCAGAGATTCACAGCTTGGGTAGAATAATATGATTACAGTACAGTAGTTTACAAGTACAGCAGCCTACAAGAAAAAACAATGTTTTTTAAAGTAAGGCATCAGCTTTTTTTGTGTGGCAAAAGTCAGGTTGGAGACATAAAATACCTAAATGCAGGTGTTTCGTCAGATAAAATACATTGAGACAAGCACTGTATGTCACAGTGAACACACCATCCTAAAACCGAATCATGGTAATGGCAATATTATGTGTTGGAGATGCTTTTTTTTTATTAGCAGCCACAAAAGAGTTGGTTAGAGTTGATAGGAAGAGAGTTCTAGATATACATGATCCTGAAAAAAAGTCTTTATGGCTGCAAAAGTCTTAAGACAGAGTATTTACTTTCAGCAGAACAAACTTAAACATAGAGCAAGACCTAAAATAAAAACAGTGTTTGAGTTACTAAGATAAACTCCAACAGTTAATTTAGCCGAGGGTCTGTGGAAAGACTTAAGATTTATCTTTACAGACAGCTTGAGATATAATGCAAATAGATCAGGGGAGAGAAAAACTAGATGTGCAAGACTGGAATAGAGAAGGAGCTTCTTATAGTGGAAAGTGGTTCTACAAAGTACTGACTACTGAGGGTGAACAGAAATATATGCAAGACATTCACTTTTTCCTCAGATTCACAATTATGCATGATGTTATGCATTTTTTGTATGTCAGTCAGATAAAAAGCTATAGTAGTGAGAAAATGTGCAAAGGTTTAATTAGTGTAAATGCTTATGCAATAAACTATGTTTGACCTATTTTCCCATCCACATAATTTTGACGTGATATTGATTATGTAGTGTAAAATATAGTGAAGCAATTCAAAAGTGTACTTTTCACTCTAAAACCTGTATTAGCTTATAAACAAGATATTTGTTTATTACAGCTTTTAAATTTGACGGAGTTGCCGTTTCCCTACAGGGCTTTCAGTCATGCTGTTTAAAATAACATTATTTATAACGCAGCTCAGCGTTTAGATACCAGGATGGACAGGAAAGACCAGGACTGCAGACAATAAGAACAACAGCGTGTCTCTCTTTCTCTCCCCCGCCTCCTCCCTCTGCTTTCATCAGCATGAGTCATTTGAATGTGGTGGTGTTTTTCAAAAATCCCTGAGAAGACCTTCACATGAGACCAGGCCCGGGACGCTGCTTTTTAAATATTTAAGCCACTGAATAGGGCCGTGCGGGCAGGTTGATTTCAGTCCCTGCTGTTCCCTCTCAGTTATATCGCAAACTCCAGCTTCCAAGCTACATTCTGCCTAATCCACACCATCGGAGACACATGGGATTTCTGGCTTTAAGTACCCCTTACAGGCTGCCATTCCCATAGGTTTTAGCTGTTCCACTGCAGGATTGATGCAATTCTGCAAAGACAGATTCCTTGTGCGAATATAAACATAGTTAGAATGTGCCTGCTGTGCATGACCTCATAGCAGTATTTTTTCTGTAATCCTACAAAGTCGTTAAAGACACACTCAGTTTGTGAACAACATAGCAGAAAAAAAAACGTTGACTGTTGAATTTTAACAGATCTGTGCAATTTGGAGTTAGGAAACAGACATGTCTACAAGTCATACCCTGCATTTCCTCATAATTTACAATTCAACAGTTCTCTTTACACTTGAAACACATTTCTTTGAGTTATGAATAGCTGGTGATCAATGGTCAGCATTGTCTTTAATGTGACCTGCATCCTTTCTCCTCATTCTTTTAATCAGGGAAGCCATCAACAGACTTTGTGAGGCAGTGCCTGGAGGAAAGGGGGCTTGGAGGAAAAAGGTCAGTGGTAAACAGTAATCTACCATAAATATGTATAGCAGTGTCATGTGCTTATGATAAGTAGTGTTTTAGATTGTTTTAACTACTTACTTAAAAGAATAAAATAATTGATGGAGGTAACGATCATTAGGAAGTCCAAACAAACGCCTACAGCTATATTTTATGTTTCACCAACATTTGCAGGTGAAACATAAAAAACAGCTAATGTGACAAACTGTATCATTTCAAGACATAATCCTTGTCTGGCCAAACCTTATTATTTTCCTTTTTTTTTTAGTAACTCTTTTGGCCAACTTTCACACCAGTTTGTATGAGATTTAATTCATAAATACCGATTAAAGAGTTCCAAATTTTTTTGACAAGACTGTAAGAAGTTATTCATAAAAGCAAGAAAACTTATATCTGAGGATCCAAGATTTCTGTCCAACAATAAAAAAAAATGTGTATGTTTTTTTTAACATTTAGGTACCAAGCAAAGCTCTGCAGTCAGTCATGGGAAAGAGTAACCTGCGATTTGCAGGCATGAGCATCGCTGTGAATATTTCTATAGATGGCCTTGGCCTGCTCATCCCAACTACACGACAGGTAAGATCCTCTATGATTAATACAAGCTTAAATCTGATAGTTGCTTTACTTTTGAAATGTTTTAAGATCTCTAGTGTGAATATTATCTCCGCTTTTTTAACCAAGGATGCAAAATGTGAACTACACAGAACCCTTTTTCATCTAGACCATGCTGGAAACCTGAACAGTGATTTTAGCCTGATGTTTAATGCCACACATCTGGAGAAACGAAAAACATAACCACACATTGCCCTATCTTAACACTTATATGGGTTCCAAATTTCTTTCCCAACTCAGACATACAGAATAGAATAGAATTCAACTTTATTGTCATTACACTGTCACAAGTACAAAACAACGAAATGTAGTTTGCATCTATCCAGAAGTGCTATACAGGATTAAAAATATTTATTTACATGTAGAGACATTGTATGCATGGACTATAAATGGTATATATAGAAAGAGAGTAATTGTAAGAGGCTATAAATAAATAAATATGGAAGCAATATACAGATTATGCTGGAAAAGTTAGCACATGTATTATATATATGTATATTATTGGTGTTATAATAAAGGATAAATAATAACAGATAATAGCAGATAAAAGATTTACAGATTATTTACAGCTATTGTTGAGAAGTATGTGTAAGTGGTGTTTGATCTGTAGGTTGTTTTCCATAGAACTCTATCACACTGAGCTCCAGAGTTCCTTAAAGTTCTGCATTTACTGTAGATCGTTGCTTTCTATCACTAGAAAAAATGTGGTTGTTGCATAATAATGTACACAACTGCACGAATACATTAGGAAGACATGATTGTTAAATTTGCTATCTTTACATCTTAAAGATATGTGTATGTTGTAGGTGATTGCGCACCATCCCATGCAGTCCATCTCATTTGCTTCTGGAGGAGACACAGTAAGTAAAGCAATTTTAACCCCCCCAAACGTCTCTGCTATTTGACATTTTTTTAATCTTTACAACAACATCAGTTATATTTCACTGCTTTCCAATCTTGTGACCAAAAAATCAATAAATCTGTTTAAAGACCTCTGATTTATGTTTGGTCTAATTGGACTTTCCATTTTCTTTGCTGCAGGACACACCAGATTATGTTGCATATGTAGCCAAAGACCCAGTAAATCAAAGAGGTAAGCTGTTTACATGTACTTTGCTATTTTGCTTTTATTTAATGGTATGAATCCTCACTGTTATCTTTGACATAGAGATGATAAGTTTATTTTGTTGTTATTTTCTGCATGGATTCATAATCTTTAGGATTTTTTTTTTACAGCATGTCACATCTTGGAGTGTTCGGATGGTTTGGCCCAAAGTGTCATCAGCACCATTGGCCAGGCTTTTGAGCTGCAGTTCAAACAGTATCTCCACAGTCCTCCTAAAACCATTTCATCTGCAGAGAGGTAACATAGTCAACTGTATGCATGAATGTATGAAAGAGAAAACAAATATTGAAAAAAGTAAAACAATAGACTTTGCAGGACTGCATGCTGCATAAAGTTGAAACTACTTTGGAATTTCCAGATGTACTTTTACATTTTGGTTTAATCTGTTAGTTCTTCCACTCTTGTGTTAGTTTAAAGTTATTTTAAAACTGAGAATTCTCAGATTATTTTTACGCCTTGGGGAAGCATTAAATTGAGTGATGTTTTTTCAGATGCATGAGTTTAATATGCATTTGATTGCAGGCCTATTCGGACAGAGGAGCCAGTGTGGGGTGAGGATGAAGATGCATCTGAGCACGACTACTACAACAGCATCCCTGGAAAGGAGCCTCCGGTTGGAGGAGTGGTGGACTCCAGGCTGAAGCCCAGCGGGGCCCTCCTGGGTCACATCCACACTCAGCCACAGAACAAGACAGGAACTCAGGTGAGATTCATGGCTGCGGAAACAGTATTCCACTGCTTTTGCAGAATTTAGGTACAGTTTTGTAATTATTTGTATATGCACTGAACAGTCAAACAATATGCTTGGATACAGCACTCTGTGAACAAACAGCTGTTTTAGAGATTAACTTATGAACTTTGGTCTTTTTTGATAAAGTTTAATTTTTTTGTATTCAGTATTTGATTGAAGCAGCCAGTAGTGTCACATTCTGTAATCTAATAGTTGCTCTATAAAGTACATCTGGACTTTATCATCTGGTCTATGATGACAATTTATTCAAGGAAGTCAGAGGGTGTCAGGCTTCGGATCTCTCAAACTAGAGACTAATGTGTTTGTCTGCTTCTTCCCCACAATATTCAGAGAGAATTACACCACCGCCTACCTAAATAAGCTATATAACCATCCTGATGTGCCTGCACCATAACTGTTAAAGACATGTATGATTACATTAAACCAGGAACCATTTAGTTCTCTATGCTGCTTGTTAATTGTATTTGGATGGGCCTTAGGGAATATTTCAGACTGTGTGCCTGATCACTGTAATACATGGTGAAGACATAGCAAGTTTTTTCTGATTTTACAAAGTAAATCTTCAAATGTGTTGTTTTATTGTGTTTGTCTTCACAGATGGGCTCACAGGGCAGGAGGGAGCAGGGATCCTACCCACCAGGTCAACTCTGTTATGAGCTTCACTGGGACACTGAGACCACCCGTAGCTCAGGTGAGACACCTTGTGGCAGAAAGTAGCTATTGCTGGTGAAGTTCTAGAAAACTTCCCTTTTTTATGTGTAGGCATGATGTTGTGATTTTTTTATTTTTATTTTTTTTTTACATTTTTCCCCATGTAGTTAGGGAGTATTTATTTGTTAAGGTCCGATGGAAAGCAGACCTGGGTTTGATATCTGAAAAATCAGCTTTCCATCAATATACAGTTGGTTTCAATGAATTCATTATCTATAGTGTCATTTTATATTTCTACAAAGCACCAGGTTGACTTAGATACATTTATCTTTCATCTGTAAAATCATCAATAAAAAAAAAGTTTTTAGTATTTGTTGTTTGCTATTAAGATTAGTTCTTAGGATCAGAGGCATTTAAAAGGTCAAAAGGAAAACAAAACAAAAAAAATAAAATAAAATTTGTGAAATCCTCTTTCATAATGCTATATGTCATTTTATTCTTATATTTTATATTTCATTTCTATGACAAAAAAAAAGGATTTGTTTGGATTTTAAGTTTTAAATATATAACATTTTTATGATGTCATCATTTTAAATGTGTATCAATAGAAATTGAGTTCGAATATTATGTATAAATAAAGATTTTAAAGCTTCGGCTTAGCTGGACTTTGTTTTACTGGTTTCCAACAGATGGTTACCTGTGTGCTGATGGTCAGCCTCCAGCCAGCAAGGACTATGATGAGCATCAGTATGTAAACACACAGAGCCTGGAAAACCTTGAATCACTAACACATGGAGCAGATGGACACAGAGGCGCCAGGGCACATGACAGTCCTAAAAAAGACCTCTTTGATATGAGTGAGTCTTTAGATCGATCTATGATAGATAAACCTAGGGATAAGCTAAGGTGGAGAATTTGAAGATGAATACCTGCTGTCACTCCATAGGGCCATTTGAAGATGCGCTGAAGCTCCATGAGGCTTGTGGAGGAGCTGCTGGCTCCAGTGTATCAGGAAGCTCTGGCTCACAAGCCGGAGGAGGGGGGGTTCGAAACTTTGAGGACCAGTGGCCCAGTCCACCAAGACGCAGGGCCCCTGTGGCCCCAAATGAGGAGCAACTCCGCAGGGAGACGTGGTACCACAGCCGCATGAGTCGGAGAGATGCAGAGAAACTGCTGGTTCGAGATGGAGATTTCCTCGTCCGGGAGAGCACCACTAATACTGGGCAGTATGTACTAACAGGCATGCACTGTGGCCTGCCCAAACACCTGCTGCTAGTGGATCCAGAAGGAGTGGTAAGTCTGTTTCAGTTCATGTCAGTCCAATCTGATTTAAATAAACCTAAAACCTGCTTATCTATACATAGGTCAGAACGAAAGACATGCTGTTTGACAGCATAAGCCACCTTATAACGTACCACCTGCGGAACGAGTTGCCAATTGTTGCAGCAGAAAGCGAGCTCCATCTTAAACAGGCTGTCCGGAGAAAACCATGAGCATCATGTGTTGGCGTGTGATGGTAAATAATAGTATGTGTTTAAAAGCTGAGATCATAATTTCATTTATTTTTCTTTATATACAGATATTAGCTGCTTGTTACTGACACTCTATTCATGTTTGACCGATCAGCTATTCAATTAGAGCAGCCGTTGCTTCATATACATTGTTTGTACACACAAAGATAGCCTTTAAAGATGCAAGGGAAAATAATCAGTCAAAATAAAAAGATAGCTCAGAAGCCCCAAAATAAGATTTTTTCAGTGCCTTGTTAAACTACTTATTTCCTCTGATTATTTGTTCACGTTTCAAACGCAGACTTGAATTTAGACTTGATATTCCACAAAAGTCATCAAAGGAGATGACAAATTTTTTGTTAAATATTAGACTATTGTTTGACACTTGTTTACTTTGGTGGAGAGTATCTCTATCCGGGCATATTAAGGTTTTGCCAACGATTTTCAGTTGTTTTTACTCTGGACTTCTTTCAACAGTTGGTTTTAATGCCACTATGGCATCATGGCCGGATCTAAGTCCTGCTTGGTGTTCACAATGCTATTTGTTTTCTAATGTTCAGCAAAAACAAAAGATCATAGCCTTGATAAAATAGCTGGATTAAAAAATCCAGCTAATTAGATGATTTCCCAGATGAAGTCATTTGCTGGAATTTCTTTGGTAATATCAGAGAAAAGGAACCAAATATAAATGCAATTCTTTGGTGGAGCGTTTACCTTTTTGTATTAAATTTAAATGTATTCTGTGCTTTTTTTTCTGTTGAATTTCTATAAAATATTTTTAGTAATCATCATCTATTTCTCTTCTTCATTCTCCACAGCTGAAGTCCTCTGCACCCATGGACACATTGAGCTTAAAAAACTGGGTGGGTTTTTATCCTGAAAGGACACATACTATCTTGCCTACGATGTACTTTAAATGAAAGCAAAGAATCAAGTCAAGTTGTTTCAGTCCTCTGGCTGCCAGGGTACACCACATTTTGGATTATCGAGATAAACTCCTCAGCATGCAGACCTTAAGCAAACCACAATGCAGAATACCAACACCTCATCAGTAAACGTCCATAACTAAAGAGAAGTGCTTCTAAAAATCCACAACTACGCTGTTAGTGGCCATTCCTTCTGCAAACCATGAACATCACCTGAACACAAACTGGAAGGGAGTTGCTGGTGCAGATATCAAATCAAGAGATGTCAGCTTTCAGATTGAAAAGTTAATTTCTATAAAGATGTCGGAAGGGACCGTTAGTTGGTGGATAATGAGAAGCAGATCAAGGAAAGTCTCTTTTTGGAACATAACAACTGTTATTTGTACATCGGTCTCCAGTATCTGAGAAGTCACTCAGATGCAAAGCTTTTGTATTTTCTCTTTTTGCCACCATATATAAAGAAAACATGAAGCTTTTCTACATTTTAAACTCCAGTTGATGTTCGTTGTCTCAGTTGCTGTTTGTAAGGAATATCGCCTCCAGAGAAGACTTTACTAAGTAATGAATCCTAAATCCAGGGTCAAAGCTAACATCTTTGTTTTTAACTGACTACTACATCTCAATAAATTATATTACCAGAAACAATTTAATTTCATATTACAATTATAAAAGTGAAACTCATATATTCCATAGATATATCATATCTGAGCATTTATTTAGTTGATTTTACTGAATAAACCTTACAGCTAAGGAAATTACCAGAGAAATGCAGGGACTCATACTACTAATAAATCAAAAGCAAGAAATGTTATGACCATGTTATGTCACGTGCAACGATAAGACAAGACCGCTGATCTACAGCTCGCCAGCAGATAGTTACTCCCCGCAAAGAGAATAGGGGATAAGAGTTTGTCTCTAAAGAAGCTAGTTGTTCACAGAGTGCTGTATCTAAGCATATTATTGGAAAATTCAGTGGAAGGAGAAAGTTTCATATTGTCTAGCCTCCTGAAAAAGAGACAAAGTTAGAAGCCTCCTCCTTGTGTTAAATGCGAGAATGACTGGACTGTTCTAATTGTAGGTCCCAGAGTCTGGAAGAAGAGTAAAGAGACAAAAGCTGCCTGAGGTCCAGTGCAAAGTTTCCACAGCCAATGACTTAGGGTGTCATGTAATTTACTTATGTTGGTGTACTCTGTTTTCTGAAGTCACTTGCCAATGTAGCCCTCTACCAGAAAATTTTAGAACACTCAATTGTTCCTCTTACTTAGCAGGAATTTTGTGCACACTGTGTAAAATGCCACACCAGACATTATTATAACTCTGAGCTTATTTGGGCAAAAGACAAAAAAACCCGAAAGAATTGATGAGAAATTGTCAAAAGACGTATGAGACACATAGGAAACAACATTGGGGATGTGGGCCTCCTGAACATCTCAGTAAAGTAAGACACAGAACACATCCATGCCACTTCACATGGATGCAGTAATTCATATTAAAGGTGCATGACTGGACTTTTCTGCAGGTCAGCATCTCTATTTTAAAACCGTTTTTGTTTTTATTCTTATGTAGATTTCAAATTTTCGGAGAAACATAATTTTAGGGTTTCTGTTAACTGCATGACTTTTAGATAATGAACAGGAATGAAAATTTCTAAATTTCGGAGTTAAATGAACCTTTCTGAGTTTTACTTTTTTTTTTTTTGAAATGAAATGAATGTTTCAAGTATTTGGTTTTTTGTTAGGAGGGACCTGCACATGTTTTTTTTTTTTCCCCAGTGCCTTAATAACTACACTGGCAGGCATTTGTCTCAGAGTGTATATAATGTGCAGTTCTGCCCTCATTGAAAAAGACTACATTTTCTTGCCATGCAAATAAAAAAAGAAAAGAAAGATGAGGATAATCAAGCTCATATGTTTGTTTGCAAACAGTGATGTAAGCTGTTCCAGTTTTCTGTTTGGTAATCACACTCTTTCCACTGTCTCGTTATTAATCTGTTTTGTGAGATCCTCAGAAAAGATGCCCTTTCCTTTTGTGTGTAACTGCTTGCTCTCCTCTGCTGTGATTAATGTTAAAATAGGGATATAGATGTGCAATTACTCATGTTGTCCCTGCTCAGGAAACTCATTAAATTGATAACCATGTTATTATTTCTATATTTAGGCTGTACACCTTTGTATTGCCTCCTCAGGCACACCAGGAAGTGGCTCAGCACCTTCCTATCCCTGTAGTACTTTAAGTTTTTCTGGTTGTTTGACAGATATATAAGGTAAACTACAGACTTTCATAGAGATCGGAAGTGAATAATTGTTTTCTTTTTCTCAGGAATTTCCCAGATTTTTTCCCCCCTTCTTTCTTAAGTTTAGTCAATAAATCAAATATGAAAGGGTATACATACAAGTGTGTGTTTTTAATTTTGAGCAGTTATCCCTGTCCCTTCACCGCATAACCCTTCACTATAACCCCCTAAAAAAGATGAGTAAAAAAAAAACATAAATAAATGCATCTTTTATTACAGAAGCATTATCTCAACTATTTTAAAAGATTTTCTGTTATAAAATTAAATAAAATATATATTTTTTTCATTTTGCTTTACAAAATACCTATTGTCACAGTTATTAGCTTACAGTTTAATAAGATAATTTAACCACAGCATTTTATAATAATCCCTTTTTCAACGTTTATAGGTGTCTAGATACATTTAATCTGACTTCCTTTTTTACTACTATAAATATTAGATGATGGCCTGTTCTTCATAATCAGACTATAAAATGAAAACGACAGGAGAACATACCATTTCAAATGTAGATGTGTGCTGATTTTCATAAATCATGAGATAATTGCAATAACCTAGGTCCTCCACATCTAGCAATGATTAAAAACAAGTCTAAAAGAACTTAATCAGGGTGTTGCATTTCAGCTACAAATGCTAGAGAAAATATTCTTCCCTCTGACAATTACAAGGGTAAAAATGTCGGCCTAGCTTTATACAACTGAGACTGATTTAGCAAGTTAGACTCAAATTAAGTGATAAACTCTCCAGCTAGTACCGATGTGAAAGAATGGGTTAATATAAGGATCAGAGCCTATGTCTGACTTTATGTACGTTAGTAGACCTCTACTGCTGGTTAATCTTACACTGAATGCCATTGTGTAATATTTAATAGCATGATATAAAAATCACTTTGCATGCCAGAAAAAAATAGACAAATTCAGAAAGGAAATGGTAATCCAACATTACGGTGCTTTGCGAAAGCATTTCAGCCCCCTTGAACTTTTTGACTTTTTGCCACATTTCAGTTTTCAAACATGAAGATATAAAATACTAATTTTTGTAAAGAAGTGGAATGAAATGTATTGGATATTTTTATAGGTTTTTTTTTAACAAATAACAAACTAAAGATTGGGCTCTAAAAATTAATCGGACTCTTTATCTTCAGTACAGCAAACTCTGCAGAAGATCAGTTTGGCTCTCTGAATGACTGATGATGATAAATAGAATACAGCTAAAGTATAAATGCACCTGCTCTGTGATAGTATCAGGGTTCTGTTTAAAGTGCAGAGAGCATAGTAAAGCACAAGAAAAACACCAGACAGGTCGAAGATACTGTTGTGCACAAGTTTATACCCAGATTTGGATACAAAAATGTTTCCCAAGCCCTAAACATCCCAAGGAGCACTGTACAAGGGATAATAGTGAAATGGAAGGAGACTGATCAGAAATACCGCCAAGAGGCCCATGATCACTCTGGATAAACTGCAGAGATCTACAGCTCATAACCCTGAACGCACAACAACCCAACTGTCAAACATGGTGGTGGCAGAATCATGGTTTGGGCCTTCTTTTCTTTAGGGACAGAGAAGATGGTTAAATTTGATGGGAAGATGGATGGAGCCAAATACTGGACTATTATGAAAGAAAACCTGACACCTGACACTGGGATGGAGATTTATCTTTCAACCAGCCAATATTTTGAAACATAAAGACAAATCTACAATAGAATGGTTCACAAATAAACATACCCTGGTGTGAGAATGGCCAATTAAAAGTCCAGACCGGAATCTAATTGAGAATCTGCGGAAAGAACTGCAAAACGTGTTTCACAAACGCTCTCCATACAAGCTGTCTTGCAAGGAAGAATGGGAAAAAGTCAGTCTTTTTATGTGAAGAACTACTGTAATAGAGACATAACCCAAGCAACTTGCAGCTGTAGTTGCAGCAAACGGTGGCGCTATAAAGTATTAACTCAAGGGGGCTGAATAATTTTGCATACCAAATTTTTCAGTTTTTTATTTGTACAAAAAGTTTACAATATCCAATGCATTTCGTTCTATTTTATGATTGTGTCCCACTTGTTGATTCTTCACAAAAAAGTAAAATTTTCTATCTTTATATTTGAAGCCTAAAAAGTGGCAAAAAAGTTGACAAGTTCAATGGGCTAAATACTTTCAAAAATCACAGCAACACAATGTGAATGCCCTGACCTTATGTAGATAAAATCCCATTTTGCAAAGCTTAACAATGGGATTACTGATAAATTCTACATCCCTGACTTAAAAAAAATGTACCTTTTTTAATGTTTTTTTTTTATTTATTATTTGATTGTTTTCATTTCTTTATGTAAGTTTATCCTTATAATTTAAAAGATTTTTTTTTTTTTATATCCAACCAAAATAGTTGGTTGTGATTTGATTTTGGGTGAAGAAAGAGCACAAAGTGTGACATGATTGTCTCTGTTTTTTTTTACATTTAAAAATAAAAAACTCTTGTTAAGCATATATACATGAATGTATTCAGCTTTCCTGCTGAATATTAAAAACAACCACACTTTGCTCTAACTACAGTTGGACTGTAGAGATATTCTCTGCCACTTATACCTGCGTAGATATAAACATTTTGGCAAGTTTTATGCAAAATGGGTAAGCTCCGATGGACTGAATGAAAGCTGCCTGTGAGCAGCAGTTTTTAGCTGTTAAAGCCACTGATCCTCAGTGGGATTTAAGTCTGACAGCATTTGACAGGGTTATTCTTACATAAGAATGTGGTTTGATCTGAACTATACTAGGGCTGTTGGATGGAAGTTAGATCTCTACTACATTTGGAGGCCTTTTGCAGGACAGGTTGTCATCCAGAATTACCCCGCATTAAGCTTCATCTTCTCGTCAGCTTTAAGGAGCTTTTACAGAGTTAAAGCTACAGTGTGTAATTTTCAGCGACATCTAGCGGTCAGACTGCAGCAACATGAACGTCTCCCCCCCACCGCTTCTCCCCCCCAACAGTACGGCGAGCGTTACGGGACAAAATGTCTTCCACGACGTCCGCATCACCTACCTTCTCAAGTGATGAGGTTTGTTTACATAGATAATTTTACAGATAGTATTTCATTAGTCTGTGTAGGGTATAGATTTCATGTAGACTTAAGATAATAAATATACCCGTTATTTTTTCTACGTCGTTGTGACGTTTTGGTGAGCTGCTTTGCATGGTGATATAAACAGACGAAGTAATTGTAGTCATTAGTTTAACAGCGAGATTGTGTTCGCTGGAAGAATATATATTCCCCGTTTACAGAGTCCAAGTCTTGTTTGTGGCACGGGGGTTACAAGGCAAGGAAGAGGGAAAGGAAGAGGGCAGAGAGGCCGGGGTGAGCGTGCAGCTGGGGCCAGGCGAGAGAGGGGAGCCAGCGGGGTGAGAGCAGAGGAGGAAAGGCTTGAAGATCTCCAAAGGAGCCGGAGAGAAGTAACCGAGGTATATATCCAGAAAATTATTTTACAGAAAATTACTGAATCATTACCTGTGAAACGTCAGGGCCGTTGCTGAATAAGTATACTGGAGAGTAACAGCATCATCACGCAGCATGTTATTGTTTTAGACAGGTCTGAGCATCCTGTACTCCAAAAACTGCAGTGATATTAGACAATTGTGTGTGTAGGATTAATTACCTGTCCAAGAGAAAACTGGCAACTTGAGCGTCACTTTGAAAACCTTTTTCCTCCATCAGTGACTTCCATCGTGTAAATGCCGTGCCAATGTTGATCCGTGTTTTTTGTCGTTTCTTGTCACTCTTGCGTTTATTCTCGTCGTGTTTCCGCTTCTTAGATGACGGGGGTTCGGTGTCCGCCGCTTTTCGTTGTGATACAGAGTAGGCATGATCCTCCATTCGTCTGATGTTTGGCCACACAGTGCCAAACAGTTTGCAAAGTCACTCACGCCTGCCGCCTTGTTTACCTTTCTTGTTACCGAGGCGCAGTATACCTGCTTCTTCTTCTTCTTTGGTTTCAGGCAGACTAAACGCTTCTCAGGCATAATACTGCCATCTACTGTTCAGTACCGTCTCAGTTCATCTCTCTCAACTTGCCGTAGTTATTTTCGAGCGTCATGGGAGATCTCGCAATCGCTAGTTTGTTGCCTCTGCGCTGCCGTAGCGCAAAGATGTCAGCCTCCATGGCTGCGAGACCCGCTCCTATGTAATTATAAATAACGAATTCTAAGGCAACGCAAATGTTATGGTTAAAAGGCTGAGCTCATAGGTGATGATAAATAACATAGTTATGTATAATATATTAAATTTCTGAATTTATATGCCTGTAATTATTACACACTGTAGCTTTAACATACATGACTGCTGTTGGCTGATATTCTAGAGCCTTAAGAAAATACATGATTTTTGAATAAAACATATTACAAGAAGAGCAATTGTTTTCCTTTTTAATTATAACAACTTTGTGTAAAATCTTGTCACACAATCATCATCAAAATACCCACTCTGTATCTACATTTCTTCTATCAACAAACCATACAGATAAAAAAAAGGCAACACTTTTACTTCCCTTGACATTTGCTTTTCATGCAGTCATTAAATCTTGTTTAGGTTTTATATTATACACATGCAGCAATGTCCAACCACAGATTGGCTGTGTTTGGCTTTGTGATTGAGGTTTCTGTTATCTTGATTCTATGGATTAAAGCAATAGCGCTGCGGATGTGTTGTAGGGATGTGCAGAGACTTCAGTGCTCCTGCTGTGTCATCTTCAGGATTTGAAGCAGGAGACGTTGCACCTCTTCATCCATGCGACCCTGTTCATTACAGTGGCAATGCCCATAACAAGTGAAACGTTATAATGTATACAAATCTCTGATTCAGTTACCTAATATCTCACTCTTAGCTGAAGATATTGTGCTTTTTTAACCTCTACTGTATGTTATAGCCTATATTATGAGCAACATTAAATTATGAAAATGTAGGTGCCCTACCCTGTTGATTTCTAAATGTATTATTTAGGATACTGTTGTTCAACCATGGCGGTACATCGACATATTATATATGTCAGTTAAAAACTAAAAAACTAAATCAACTCAGGTCATTTTGAGAGAAGACCAGGGAGTGGTTTACTAATCTTTTAAGCATAAATGGTAACACACCAAAACATCAAAACAATAAACTGATCTCTTGAGCCTGTCATTTTATTTCTTTTATTTTAAAAAGCTTTTTTTTTCAAATTGTAAGTCAACAATCCTTGTTCTTAGGGTTTTCTATATAAACATTGAATTATTATTTATCAATCCAACAAAGAATAAATGTGATGCAACCATAACTCAAATCAAAGAAGAAAACTAGATCTGTCCAACTTAAAATATAAGAGTGAGCCATCTTTTATTGTATCTTGTGTGTACACATGTGTGTTCTCAACTGACCTGTACAGCTGCTAGTAAATGGGAGCGGTACACCGCCACAACCTGTTTGTGCTTTCTTTCCCAATCCTGCAAAATAGAACAGTGTTTTTGATCATTAATATACTGATAAGGCTGATGTTTTGTTTATTATTTGTGTCTACCAAATCTCTCCAAAGCAGTTTATGCAGCATAATCCAAATTGTATCTTTGCATGTATATTTTTTATAAATGTTATGCCATCAAAAGATTTTAATGACCCTACGAGTCTGGATTGTATGTAAAAGAAACATGTTGTGCACCATCCAAACACCTTATAGTCGAAGAGAAAGTCCACTGTTTACAACAATTCCTACGTATGTCTGGGATTTATTAAAGGTCATAGCTGCAATTTTTTTAAATCAATGGGCGAAAGGATGGGTAAACCCTGGACATGTCGCCAGTCTGATGCAGGGTAACACAGAGACACACAGAGACATGCAACCGTGCACATCCACACACTAAAACCGAAGGACAATTTAGATTTGCCAATGTTTTTACTGTGGAAGGAGTACCTTGAAAAAACCCACACATGCAGAGGGAGAACATACAAAGCCCATGCAGAAAGACCCCAGGCCGGGAATTGAACATTTTACTGAAAAACAATAACATGTAAATAATAGTTTTATACATTTTGATATGTCCCAAAAAAATTTTTATATCTACTGCTGGTTACAATGCCAATGTCAACACGAAAGCAATTATAAGAATAGTAGCTGGACGTCATAAGGGCTGGAGCTTAGGTACTGCCAGATGCTAGTAGCTCTGTGATAAAAATGGCTTCTTCTCAGCATTACATTTCTCAAATTCAAGCAGATCAAAAAAGAAGCAAAACAAGGGCGTAAACTGGTCAAGCTGTTGAGTGTTGGCCCAGGTTTAAGGAAGCAGAGGGGCTTCAAGCAATATAGAGCATGGGTACTCAAGTCTAGTCCTCAAGAGTTAAATTGTGTAACTTTTAGATACATTTCTTCACTAACACACCTGGATCTAAAGGCTCAATCCCCTATTTTTGGCTCAGCAGAGGCATGGTAACGAGCCACTCATTTGATTCAGGTGTGTTAAAAATGTGGTCTATCAACACGTTGCAGGAAAATAGCTCTTGATGACTGGACTTGAGCATTCCTGATGTACAGTAGAGGTTTCAACTTTACTTCTCAACAGCTAAGTTAAATGTTTGATGAACCTGGTAACCGACGCGCAAACAGTACAATTGAAAGCTGGAAGGTTAGCAGGAAGACTATATCTTTGTCAAAGTTCTAGAGTCTAGTTTACATCTATACATCCTCTTTGCCTTGTCCTGGGGATGCAAGTCATTGTATATAGCAATTCACACTCTTTTCTTGAATTAATTTGAAGGTCTCTTGCTACTGACCGTGTAGACAGTTGATGGCATCTGCACATTATGTGCCTCAGTATCTGCTGATCACGCTCTGTGCAGTATCACTTCAAATCTAATTTGTTGACATTTTATACCTTGATAGGATTTTTAGCATTCCTTTTTTTGTTGTTGTTGTTGATTCTATTTCCATGGAGCTGACATTGGAACGTGGTCATTATGGAGGTAAGTGAATACATTTACAAAGGTTGTCCTGCAAAAACACCTACTGAAACAAACATTATATTAAGCATGCATAACATGTTTATTGATTAAAAAAACAACACATTTAAATGATTATAAACAGATAAATTAACAAATATCTATAAACTAATTATTGGCCATATATAAGAAGTGCCGTACTGTAAGCCAAACACTGTGCCTAAGCTCCTCATGTAAGACCACATCTGTCACATCCTCACTCACCTGAAGCTGTTGGGTGAGAATGCCAATCCTGTTCTGCAGTGCCACCTGCTGCCCTGGATTACCATGTTGAGTAGAGGAGGATGAAGAGGATGATGATATACCAAGAGGAGGTGAAAGGGCTCCCAATGCCTCTTTGAGTCTGAACACTTCTTTGGAAAGCTCTGTTATCTAACCACCCAAGAAACAAAACAAGTTTGTGAGGAAGTTTGAGACCTCACCACCTCAATAGTGATTATTGTTGGTAAAACTGGAGCGGTAGGCTCTTACCTTACGATCCTTCTCTTTGACAAGACCCTGGGACTCTTGGATGTCTTTGTGGAGCTCTTGGATGTGTCTGGACTGAGCTTGAAGTTCAGAGAGCTGCTTCTGTACTGTGATCACCTGGGACTCTGCTGCTTGTCTCTCACTCTTGTGAAATAGCGCCTCCCTCTGCACCTGGAACACCTACAGTAGGATGACCACATGTCATGAAAAAGTTCACAAATCCAAACATTACAGATGAAGGATTGTTTCACGCTGTCAAGCCAAAGACATGAATGTGGTTTTTTGATTTTGGTTATATTCTTTAAGATTACGACCACAGTCTGAAAATATACTTTCTGGAGATTGTACGCGAAAGACACAATTGCTAAATGGAAGAGAAAGAATACATGCTTTACAGTGTTACATGCATCTATGTACATGCATTCATATGCATCTAGGTACACATATTAAGCACCCCTGATTTGATATTTTGTAGCACAACCTTTAAGTACAAGATTTTTGCATATTTTTGTATCCAAACATACACAATAAAATACTGAAATTCTTTCATGTCCTTTGAAAAATAACTTAAGCTCTAAAATATGTTGTGTAAAAACTTCTATTAATTGTCATTTCCTAATCGAATAACACCACAGATTCTCAGCTCTACTTAAGTATAACTTTAACAAAGCCATTCTAACAGAATACTATCCATCCATCCATCCATCCATCCATCCATCCATCCATCCATCCATCCATCCATCCATCCATCCATCCATCCATCCATCCATTTTCTCTAGCTTAGGGCTTGTCAGGGTCGCAGTTGCTCGGTTTCTATCTCGGGTAGTCTATGGGTAAGAGGCAGGGTACACCCTGGACAGGTCGCCAGTGTGTCACAGGGCATAACAGATTACTATTCTTGATTAAAAATGTTGCTGCCCTTCATCTTCACAGGACATCAGGAATTACAGTATGGGTTTAAGACTCAGTCATATAAGGAACTCTATCTCAAATAACCATTTATACTAGAACAACAAAGCCCAAGATGAAGTAAAACTACGGTTAGTGTGATAAAGAGTTCAGGCTGCTAAATTCCACTCTACTTCAGAACATAATGATATACAGAGGCATCATAGTGACAATGGCAGGTAATGTGGAGAAACCAATACATGAATGATATAAAGGCTAAACAGAAGCCTCAAAAGGCGATGTAACTTAGTATGCCACAGAAACAATACCATCTTCTTAGGCTTTAGAGGGCACTGAAGAGGACTGATGACTGACCCAATAACATGCTGCACAAACCTCTGTGCATGTCTTCTCATGTTTCCTGGTGAGGTCATTGAAGCCTGCCGTGATGGCATTGATCTCTGCCTGCAGAGAAAGTCGCAAGGCCTCGTGGTCTTCCTTGGATATCAGACCGTGTTCTGCAGCTTTCTGGGACTTCAGCTCTCTGAGCTCCATTTCCTTTTCACTGAGAGCCTCTTGTGCGGCTGCTGCACTCTTTTCACTGGCCTGCAGGGTGCGCTGGAGCTCTTCCTTTCAAACATGAAAACACAGGTTAGAGCTGACATTTTCTAAAGATCAGTGTGGGCAAAAATTTCATAGCTTAGGAGTTTTCATTGCTTTCTTCTATCCACTGACCTTGACCTTCTCGTGCTCCTCTTTAGGAATGGCATCCTGTTTGGCTTGTAGTTCTGCCTGTAGCTTAGCAGTCTGCTCCTCAGCATTAACTCGTAGAGTTTTCTCCTCTTGAAGCTCCTGAAGAGTTTGAGAAAGCTGCTCTGACACTACAGACAGTGCCTCTTTATGCTTTGAAAGGGGCACAGCGTCTTTTAACTGCAGGGCGTCCTGTGCCCTGCTCTCCCGCTCTGCACAAAGACAATCCAGAGCTTGGGCTGCTTCCTGCCTCGCCACCTCCAATTCCTCCCTCACTGCTGCTAAAGTTTGCTTAGATCGATCTGGACAAAGGTGGAATACAATCAAAATCAAGCTGTCAGTAAACACAAGTATATCTAACATAGAAAAGGAGTAAACCTGAAATGAAAGAGGGCTCTGAGCTCTCCGAATGCTCCTCCTCTTCCTGCTCCTCATCATCTCCATGTTGAGGTCTAAGTCTCTCCAGCCCCAGAAGGGCATCATTGAGCCGTCGAGCCACGTCTGCCCTCTCCCGGGCAAGCTGTTCACACTGAAGTCCAAGGGTCACCTGCACCTCCTCCAGCTCTGAGCGTGGGACACACTTCCTCAGCTCTCCCTCCAGTTCAGCCAAACGCTCCTGAAGACGTCGGACCCGATCCCCATCTCCGGCTGTTGCTCCTTCTTTCCCCAATGTCCTGCTCTCAGCCAGGACTGCTTCCAGTTCGATAACTCTATCACGAAGGGACTTCACTGTTTCTGCCTCTGTCTCTTCTCTTTTGCCTTTGTCTTCTTCCTTTATCACAGACTCTTTCTTGGTCAGAGCAGCTTGGAGTTCCTTCACTTTCTCTGTCAGCTGTTTGATTGTCTCATTGTCCTGGCTGCTCTGACCCTGAGCCTCGCCCTGCCTCCCTGCAAGTTTCTCTTCCAACTCTGTCACCCTGGCCCTCAGCTGCTGCAATTCCTGGCTTGCACCTCCTGCAGCCTGAGCGTCTGCTGTGCTAATGTTTCCTTCAGCACACTCCACAGAGAGCACCCCAAGACGCATTTGCTCCTTGAGCTCCTCCAGCTCAGACTGGGAGGAGGCCAGCTGCTCTTCCAACCCACAAAGCTTTTCTTTTAGAGCTGCTGTGCTTTCTGGATCTTCACTTCCATTCTGGGAGCTGCTTCTACAAGACATGACAACTTAAACTTGAAAAGAAAGCAACATAAACACATGTTAAGTCACACAAAAATAGATTAAAAGCCTGTTTCTAACCTTGCAATATTTTTACTTTTAAATTTATCAGTGAATCCAGTAAATCTATCTCAATATCATACTTGAGAATTAAGGATTACCAGCTGAGTAAAGTGTGGAAACTAACTGCTTGTGGTATGTAAGAAAATAAAAGCATCTCACTGCTCGTCAGAAACACTGCAGGCTTCCAATGACATCTGTGCTTGAGAAAACCGCTCCTGAAGGGCTTCAAACTCCTTCCTTAAAATCTCATACTGAGTTATAGGGACTGAGTCTGGACTGATGGTCTGCATGTCGGTATCATCTTTCTCAAACATCTCCAGCATCTGTAATCAACATAAAACTATCATAGAACAGTGTGATTTACATGTTATATTAAAAGAAAAAAAAAAAATATTTGCTTTGTGTGTTCTAAATGTATGATGTGAGGGACTTTCAGCATTGGACTCTTGTTTGCTCAGGTGTTAAATAATGTTGGAAAAGTATTAATAAATTATTATGAAGGTAATATTAAAAGCTTAAATGTAATAACTATAATGACAAGAATTTAATTGTAACTGTCTGGCTTTAAGTTGTGTATTTATTAAATAATGAATTAAAAAGGCAACCATACATTTGTGTTTAAATCTATTGTGAACCACAGTGCCTGTATTATTGGACCTTAGTGCAGCATTAGATACTGTTGATCACTCCATTTTATTTCATCAGCTGGAACAAGACCTCCACCCTTCTGGCACAGTCACTGGTTTGAATGATTTATCAGCAAAATATGTTACAGATCTGCTGTTAGTGTATCGACCACCCACATTTCTCAGGTCTTTTGGTTCTAATCAACTCTGTATACCTGAAAGCAGAGATAAACTTGGAGAAGCAGTTTTCAGTACTTATGCTCTAATCATCTGGAAGTAACTCCCATGAAACTGAAAAGTACTTAAACCCTCAGTTGCTTTAAATCAAGATTAAAAGCTTATTAATTTTGGCAGTTTGTTGTGTTTGCTTCGTTGCTGTGTGAATGAAATCATAGCTTCAGCCAAGCTCCTGTAATAAGCTGTAATATGTTACACCTTCAACAGCCACAATTTCATAGTGCACCTGGGAGGAGCAATATACACTACAAAAAAAAATTAAGGGAACACATAAACAAAATAAAAATATAACTTAAATCAAACCAAAGCTCTAAATCAGACTGCCCGCTTAGGATGCAATACTGAATGACATTCAATTTTACATGTGGTTGTGCATATGGAATAGAAAACAGGTGAAAATCTTTGGCAATTAGCAAGACACATTGAATAAAGGAGTGAATCTGCAGGTGGGGACCAGAGACCACTTGTTTGTACCCATGCTTTCTGTCTGATGTTTTGGTCACTTTTGAATGTTGGTGGTACTTTCACTCATGGTAGCATGAGATAGACTCTACAACCCACACAAGTGGCTCAGGTAGTGCAGCTCATCCAGGATGGCACATCAACGTGAACTTTGGCAAGAAGGTTTGCTGTTTCTTTCAGGTTAGTGTCCAGAGGCTGGAGGTAGTACCAGGAGACATACCAGTAAACCAGGGACATGGAGGCTGTTGGAGGGCAACAACCCAGCTACAGGACTGCTACCTCTGCCTTTGTGCAAGGAGGAAAAGGAGGAGCACTGTTAGAGCCCTGCATGCCACAAATGTGCATGTCTCTGCAGAAACGGTTAGAAACCGACTCCATGGAGATGGTATGAGGGCCCAACATCCACAGACCTTGTAGAACACTTGGCATTTGCCAGAGAACACCAGGATTGGCAAATTCACCGCTAGCACCCTGAGGGCCCACAGCCCTCCATGTGCTCACCAAGAGGGAGCATGACTGAAATTAGGTACCAAGATGAGATCTTCAGACCCCTTTTGAGACCATATGCTGGTATGGTTTACCCTGGGTTCCTCCTAATGCAGGATAATATTACACCTCACGTGGCTGGAGTGTGTCAGCAGTTCCTGCAAGATAAAGGCCTTGAAGCTATGGACTTGCACCTCCCATTCCTCAGATCTGAATCACATTGAGCACCTCTGGGACATTATAGAGTTATCCATCCACCAACTACACATTGCACCACAGACGGTCAAGGAGTTTGCTGATGCTTTAGTACAGATCTGGGAGGATATCCCTCAGGAGACCATCTGCCACCTCATGCCCAGGAATTGTAGCAAGGTCATACAGACTTGTGGAGGCGACACACAATACTGAGCCTTATGTTGACCAGTTTAAAGGAACTTACATCAAAGTTGGATTATCAAGTGGTGTGTTTTTCCACTTTAACTTTGTGTGTGACTCCAGATCCAGGCCTCGATTGATTAATACATTTGTTTTCCATTGACGATTTAAGGGTGATGTTGTTTTTAGCACTTTCAGTCAGCAGTATCTATTTCTAGCTCTTCCAGTGGCGTACTGCCCTATTTCCGAAAGCCATCCAAATGGGTTTTCATCTCCAGTCTGAATGTCATAAAGAGAGAATGAACAAAGAAGTCGAGACATAGATACGTACTCTGTGTGGTCAAGAACCTGTCAAGTGGTCACACAATCTCCATTGGGTCATAAATTCCATCAACTCTAAGCCCTTATGTCTTATCTGTTTTGACCAACCACCAGTATTCTTTATGCAAAAAGGAAATAAAGACCAAGGACCCATCTAAACTTGCCTCAGCTCTGAGATATGAACAGGATCCTGCTTACTAGCTTGGCCAGAGTGTTTAGTTGTTCACTAAAGACTTGCCCCTCCATGTAAATTGCAGAAAGCAGGCTCCCTTCTTCATGCATCCATTCGCCATTGCCAAAGTAATCAACTCTCTTGCTGTTCACCTGCAGCTTACTTGCACCATGAGGATTCATCCCATGTCTGCAGTGTCATGAATCAAGCCATTATAGCCTGCCCTAGGCACTCTTCTTAGCACCCCGCTCCTTGTTGGGGATTGGGGTCATACTGTTTGTCACACAAATGGCTTCCAGACTGAGAGATCATGGCACACAGCACCTGGTGGACTGGGAGGGTTATGGACCTCAGGAGAGATCTTTGATACCTGGTTGCTTCATTGTTGATAAGTCATCAGTGAGTTCCACAGATTGCACCCTGATAAATCTAGAGGTCCATCAGGCTCCAGACCTTGGGGGAGGGATACTGAAAAGTCAAAGCCTGTGGATGTGTGTTGTGTTTGCTCTGCTGTTGGAGCTACTCAGCCAAGCTCCTGTAATTAGGTCTGAGTGGCTACACCTGCAGCAGCTCAGGTTACTGGTGTTACTGCACCTGGGAGGAGCACTATATATATTTCTGACTCTTCCAGTGGCTTAACCATGTGCCAGTCAGTTTCCAGCCCCTCAGAACATGTTGCTTAAATAAAACTCTAAAATTGCTTCTTGTGTATTGGCTGAATTGTCATTTCCAAGTCTTTATTCATTACACTGTGCTATCAACGTAATCATCTCAGTTATCTTATCTTAAGAAGTATAAACTTTTATTCTCTCTAAATAATTGTATTGTATCTATGCCACTGCAATGTACTTTTATTATTTATTTCCTGCACTTGAATTTTCAGCCACTGAAATATACTATACAAATAAACTTGGCTTATTTGGCCTTTGAATGCCTTTAATTTAAAATTTTAAGGAAAGACTCAAATATACACAAACACCCCAACTTATATCTGCATCAGTGTTCAGAAATAGGTTACAGAGAATTTATGCATAACGGATCTGTCCTTTAACTTAGTCTCTAAAAATGGATCCATTCTGAAAAAACAGTCTAACAACCTATGATCTAACCACAGATACTTCGGCAACCCACCTTCAGCAACCCACCCATGTCTGCTGTTTGCTTATGTTTGCTTATCAGTCTTGTTACGCCCACCAAGGACACAACATATTTGAGGACACGAGACAAAAATGAGGGTTCAAAAAAAGATATTTTATTAATAAATTCTCTCCGTTTTAGTTGTTCTTGGTTCGGCTTCTTCAGATGTTCTGCGAAGAGAAAAATAGTTAACGGCCCCTCAAATCCCGTGCCCCAAAAAAAGAAAAAAAAGAAACCCAAAGTAACAACAGAAAGTTGGACCTGGCAGGCCGATCAAACAGAATAAAACGGTACAGCAGGGGGCCAACCCTATACAGGGCCGTCGAAGCCCCTACTGGTACCGGACTAAAGGCAAAAAATAACCTAAGCGAAAGACAAAATCGAAAACAGGACTACCGGTCCCGCCAGGCCAAAAACCTCAAGAAAAAAGTAAGAAAAAGGTAACAAAAATACCACATGGCAGGCTGGAACGTCCGCTGCAGGCCGCAGCGACAAGACAAGTGCGCACCGCGCACGATGGAGCAAATGAAGCAGGTGGGAAGTGGCGTCCAAACGAGGTAGGAAAAGGAACGCGCAAGGAACGCGCTAACGTGCTGAAGGCCAGCCTATTTATAGGCGGACGACAGCACCACAAATTAACATAATTAACTTGCTAAAAGAATCCCAAAATATATTGACAAAAGATCCTTCAACTAAAGTTTATAAGAAACAAAGAAAAGAAATGGACAAAAATCATAATGTGCCCGAAGCACATAACACCCCCACCCAAAGACTCTGAATGGGGTCTGAAGTAAAAAAAAAACCCATTCAGAGAAAAAAAAAAGGAAAGCGGGACTACAGTCGTGAGTGTGCGTCGGCCACTACATTGTCTTATCTTCACATAATAAAAACACGTTAAAAGGAAAGCGGGACTAGAGTCAGGAGAGTGCGTCAGCCACTACGTTGTCCCCTCTTCCTACAATAAAAACGCGTCACATAGCTTTCACATCCAAGACATGATCTAATGCGCTCTCAATGCCACCAAGCGCACAAACACAGCCGATCCACCAACTCCAGTCTGCGTTCTTCCAAAAACAGCTCCTTTTCCATCAAAGCCAGCTGTCCTAATTCGATCTGAAGTTCCTCTAAACGACACGGATCAGCTGCAAGTGAGGTTTTATTCGGCGATTCATCAAGACTCTGTGCTAAAACTGCAGCAGGAAAAATATCCTTCGTGCACTCACTAAAGACATCTAATGTGGCTCCTCGAGCACTCATCCAGGTCAGACTCCATGTCCACCCCTGGAATCTAGCCACACTAAACAGGAACACTCCATCCAATGTAGGCTCTCGAGCAAACTCATCCAGGTCAGACTCCATGTCCACCCCTGGAATCTAGCCACACAAACTGTCAAGCACACATACAAAGCCACAAAAAACACCAGAGCCAAATCGTCCAATCCACAATAACCTCAAAATGCTCGGCTTCCCGTGCATCTGCAGCTGCCCCGACACCTGCGTCATCTCGTTCACTGGAAACACAACTGATAGAGTTATGCAGAGCGGGCGCACGTTCAGCAACAGATCCTTTGTGCATTTCTGCAAAGTGTCCAATGTGGGCCCTCGAACAAACTCATCCAGGTCAAACTCCATGTCTACCCCTGGAATCAAGCCACACCAAATCAGGAACACCTCTGCACAAATGAAGCTACAGCACCACCAGAACCGAATGCTCTAACTAATCAGCGCAACGCGCGTCAGCTGCGCAAAAATACACACAAACCCAGCACAACCGCCAACAAACAAGAACCAACCGTAGGACCCGACCTGTCTCCAAAAGGCACACTTTGTTTAAACAAGCCCCCAAAAATATGTTACGCCCACCAAGGACACAACATATTTGAGGACACGAGACAAAAATGAGGGTTCAAAAAAAGATATTTTATTAATAAATTCTCTCCGTTTTAGTTGTTCTTGGTTCGGCTTCTTCAGATGTTCTGCGAAGAGAAAAATAGTTAACGGCCCTCAAATCCCGTGCCCCAAAAAAAGAAAAAAAAGAAACCCAAAGTAACAACAGAAAGTTGGACCTGGCAGGCCGATCAAACAGAATAAAACGGTACAGCAGGGGGCCAACCCTATACAGGGCCGTCGAAGCCCCTACTGGTACCGGACTAAAGGCAAAAAATAACCTAAGCGAAAGAAAAATCGAAAACAGGACTACCGGTCCCGCCAGGCCAAAAACCTCAAGAAAAAAGTAAGAAAAAGGTAACAAAAATACCACATGGCAGGCTGGAACGTCCGCTGCAGGCCGCAGCGACAAGACAAGTGCGCACCGCGCACGATGGAGCAAATGAAGCAGGTGGGAAGTGGCGTCCAAACGAGGTAGGAAAAGGAACGCGCAAGGAACGCGCTAACGTGCTGAAGGCCAGCCTATTTATAGGCGGACGACAGCACCACAAATTAACATAATTAACTTGCTAAAAGAATCCCAAAATATATTGACAAAAGATCCTTCAACTAAAGTTTATAAGAAACAAAGAAAAGAAATGGACAAAAATCATAATGTGCCCGAAGCACATAACAGTCTCTAGAAGAGATTTTTGTTTCTTATTTTTCTAACAATCATTAAAGACTCTATTCTTGAATGTTGCCTTACCCCTGACATCTGATGGGTCTTTTGTGATACAGCAAGGCTAATCCGCAACTTGATCACTAAGGGTCACATTAGCAGTCGCAAATGCACAACAAATATTACCTAAATACAAAGTAACTCAGGTAAATCTACTGCAACCAGACAAATCAAGATCTAAGCTGACAGAAATTCCATCTGCATTCCATCTGATGCAGATTTGTTATATTTAAATCTGTGTACTCCCTCTGTTAACTAGTCCAAGAGAGTGCACCTCATGACTAGTGACGTAGTGGTCATCACATGATGAGTCAGGAACATTCAGCTAATCACTCAGGTGATCATTCTATACCAACTGTTGTATTTGATTCGCTTCTTTGAAGATCTTAGTTAGGTTAACCTGAGGATAATTATGTTTGTGCTTTCTGTGTCAGAATTAATGCATTATCAGCTTCTTATAATTTGCTTTTGTGGCTTACCTGCACTTTAAGTACAAGCTCAGAGTTCTGTGAAATTAGATCCTCTATTTGTTTCTGCAATTCAGCAACTGATCGTGGGTCTGGAGGAGCAGGAGAAGGGCCAGTGGCGTCTGTCTCCGTTTGTGAAGAGGCTTCATCTTGGGCAGGGGATGCTCTGGAGCGTTTTGAAAGCAGCTTCTCTGTGGAGAGACCACCACAAAAGAACATTGCTGAACCACCTGGCAGGGCTGATGCAAGGAGGCATGCTGGGAAGTCTCTCTGTGTTCCAGCTCTAGAAGAAGAATGTTCTATGGACTGTATACCAGGGAAGTCCAGCATTTCATCTAAATCCTCTGAGTCACTGGTGCCAGTCCCATGGGCCCCCTTCAGCTCCTCTAGCAGTTTATCCCTTTCAGCCTCTGCCTCCTTCAGATGCTGCTTTAGTTGGGACAGCTATTGCACACACATGGGTAACTGGTAATCAGAGCTATTCCTTTATTATTGAAGTTAATGTTAGCATTGACTGTTTTGAAAAGGAAGAAGAAACAAATATTTTTTTTCTAAAAATCTGTACCTCTTCTAAGGCAGATAGGGCACTTTGCTGCTGCTGCTCCAGGGCCTTAATCTTCTGAAGCAGCCGGCCTCTTTCAAGCCGCAGCCGTCGGATCTCCTCAAAAACCTCCTCATCCTCTGCCTAATCGAGGCAGAAAACCACAGAAATCAAGTAAAAATATATATGTTATGCAGTGTAATGAAAAAGCAGTCAGAATTAAGAAAAACATGAAAAACCGGAATGTTTTACCTGAGAAGATTGCTGAGTTTCAGGAGGCTGGGGAGATGGAGATTGGGATTTCTGTGGCTCAGGTGACTTGGTACGGGGGGCTGGACTTGGAGATTTGGCAGGTCCAGGTGAGAGGTCCTGGATCTTTTAAATTAGAATACAAATAAAACAGAAAAAATTATACTACCAATCAATTGTCAAAGATAACAATGTTCTCTACCACAGGAAACTGCTCATTGTTTTATGGATTGATATATATATATATTTTAATTTACTGTAATTTCAATGTTAAGCTTGTTATATACAGGGCTCTCCATATTTGTGACTAAAGACAGAAACCAGCTAAAGCTAAATTTGCTGCGAAGCATCTAATTTATTAATGTTTTTCTTGCAAATGTCCATGTGTAATAAACTAATAAATCAGAACTAAACAACACGAAACTATCCTCTTCTCCAGTAGTGCAATCTCACACAGAAAATGTGAGATTTTTCGCTGCAAAAGAAAAAATCTGTATATGGAAGGATTTTCATTTTTTAAATAAACTCCCTTTGTTTCAGTTATTTAGACACCTAACAGCCCTTATAAAATAAACGCAACTGAAGAGGTTTAGTAATTGTATACTTTTATTGTATTTAATGGCTTCCTATTATTAAAAGGTATAAAACTGATTTTACAAAGAGCCCAGTGACTTTAAAAACTATTCAAAACAGGAATGGCAAACTGACAACCATTCCAAGTGAGGCAAAGGTGTAATTATCTTCATAATTTAGACAATGACATCAAGAGTGTTGCTGTTCACCTTAATTTGTTGACATCTAAAGTCAGCCCTGTATTTATCTTTCCCACCAGCCACTGTGAGGAGGCTGATGGAAATTGTAATTGAAAGTCTTCAAAGCTGTCTGGGTAAGATCAGCGACATCTTGGGCAGAGGTGTCAAGTAACAAAGTACAAATACTTTGTTACCATACTTAAGTAATTATTTTTAGAAAACATTTTACTTTTACCCCTTACATTTATTTTTTGCAATTATCTCTACTTTCTTCTTACATTTAAAAAGAAAGACATGTTAGTTTTGTTTCATTTAAGCAAATTTTCATTATGGCCTGTTAGTATTTAAAAAATCAAAATGTGGCACCAAAGTAATTTGTTTCATCTGGACAATTAATTTCCTTTTGTTTGGACTCGGTACTGCACCAACTTGTTGCTCGACTCACAAAAAAAAAGTTTTTCAAGATAATGCAAATTTTTTAAATTTTCATCCAGAATATATCTTTTTTTTTCGTTAATAGTGTAGTGCAGTAAAGCAGCTATCTTTAACATTTTTCATGCATTACTTTTAGTTTTATACTTTAAAATTTGGTACTTTTACACTTTTACTTGAGTAGAAGGCTTAAATTGATACTCAACTTCTATAAAATCGTTTTTAAATCATAATATTTATACTTATACTTGTGTAATAAACATGAATACCTTTGACACCTCTGATCTTGGGTTCATAAACTCTATAGATAACTATTGAAAGCTACTGTACCTGTAACCAGATTGGTTGTTTGGGAAGCATATCATCAGCAAAAAATAATTTTTGTTCCTAACATTCTCAATTTTAACACATGGAGTTGTGAACTGCTGCTGGGATTCTAGCTGCAAATCTGTGCTTATTACAAGAAAGACTAATCTGTCGGGAAAGCACCATGCCCATTGTTAAGCATGGTGGAGACTCTGTGATGCTGTGAGATTGTTTCTCTTACAAAGGTCATAAGGACCTTGTTGGCTTGTTGCCATGGCTTCAATGCCATGGCTTCATTGGCTGTCTAAAATACCAGGGTATTCATGTGAAAACCTGCTGGTCTATGCTAGACAACAGAAAATTGATCATCGTTGGTAACTCAACAGAATTATAATCCAAAATATAATACCAAATCTACAGAGAAATGGTTTACCAAGCACAAAATCAGCTATTTGTTGCGGTGGTTTAAGTCACAGACCTAAATCCTGTACACACATTGGTAAAGCTAAAGAGTATTTGGACTGTGGGTTATCTAGAGAGATTGTGTCATGATGAATAGTCAAATATGAAAAATGTTGTGAAATGGAGAAGACTAAGGGCTGTTCTATCAGCAAAACAGTGCATACTACCACCAGGGAAGCCAATAATTAAGGTACACATGATTTGATTATTTTAAAGAATAGATTTTTTAACTGTATAAAAGAGCAGTTAATTTAAAGACCATCTAAAGATCTCTACTAAGGTCCCATAATAGTGGATGGCATGCTAATATGATACATATAGCCTAAAGTTGAGCATTTGATAAAACACAAAAGATGTTTGCTTCCTGCTGAAATGATTTCTACAGTACCTGAAGAGCAGAGCGAGGCGGTGGAGGAGCTTTCCGTTTTCGGGGGGTGGTCCCCCCTTGCACTGATGAAGCGCCTGAGGGGATTTGAATGGGCTGTGTGTGGGGGTGAGAGGGGGATCACTGACATACAGGGGTCAAGCTTAACTTGAAACAAAACACAAAAAAGGAAGAAAACCAAGATGAAAGAAGAGGTCAGCAACAAAGAAGAGAGACAGCTAAGAGAATAGAAGCAGCACACTAAAAAAATGACCTCATATTGGAAGCCATGCACAATATGATGAGCCAAGATGAGTCATAATCTCATAGATGGAAGCAATGAATCAACATTCAACTATGTAATGTTACCTCCTCGCCTGTGCCCTCAGAAGCTATGTGAGCAACGGGGAAAAAAGATAATGAGCTAAAAGCATTTAAACACATTCAAATGGTAAAGTTTCTTTTCCACAGGTTTCATTCATGAATCTAACAGCAAATCTCTAATACTGAAACAAAATTTTGATAACTGAATTTGGAGCTTTGGCTTGATTTACATATCAGATATTCTGCATCATCTTGTTTTACAAACCATACATCTGTTTTTATATGTAAGCATGTCTCACTGAGCAAAACTATTTCCCCATACCATTATTTTAGTCCACTCTGCAAACATTCGGTTTTCCAGCTACTTTATCTATTGCATCTGCTCTCTGGGAATGGAGTATGTCATATTAATTAATGGCTTAATCTAGAGGCTTTGTGTGAAAGAAGAGGCTTTCCAGTAGAAGCAAACTTCCAAAATAGCCAACACAAAAGGCCCAAGGGCCTTGTACTGTACCTGGAGGTACTCCATCCTGCAACATACGAACAATGCCTTGGTTGCCCGTAGTTGTGGCAAAGTCAACTGCTTTGTGCCCGAGTTGGTCAACCAGCTGAGTACTTGCGCCACCTCTCAGCAGAGCCGCTACAGTCTCAACACTGTCGCTTTCACAGGCCAGCATCAATGCAGACCTTTCCTCCCAGAAACAGTTACAATACACAACAATGAGAGACAAACTGAATGAAAAGGTACAAAACATAAAACATTATAGATATATACACCAGTTAGGACAGGGGTTTCCAAATATCTAACTTGCCTAAATTAGACATCATCATGATCATAAGAAACTGCCCCAACAATAGTTTCAGTGTTATCCATTTAGGATCATTGTTTTTGCTGTGCAAATATAAAAAAATCTGGCATATAAATTTGACTAACAATCATTTTAAACTTAAAATTGATAACTAAGGATCACTTTATAGAACATCTGCTTGGAGTTTCTTCTCACAGTGGGATGGGTTATCCTTGTGTTTATTTTTTAGGGGACTTTTTTCAAGTTATTGACTTCTTTTTGAGAAACATCAAAAGCATTAGTTGAGTGCATAATATACACTCAACTAGTTCATCTAGCTTCTAAATGCTTATAGAATAAATGTAAAGTGGGATTTCACTTATCAATACCGCAACAAAAGTGTAAAAAATGTGGACAATAGCTGAGTACCTCCCCTGGTTGTCTTGTATGTTTGCATTGGCACCTCGACCCAATAGAAAGACACACAGCTCCACTCTGCTCATCTGGGCCGCTAGGATCAGTGCCGTGGCCCCGTCCTAAAAAAAGACAACAATTAATCAGAAGCTGGAGGATTAAATCCTTAAGATACAAAATGGAAGGAGTCATAAACCAAGAAACCAAACAAAAAAATGTAGCAACAGTCATCAAGCTTACACTGTCCTGGACATCCAGATTTGCTTTAAAATCCCACAGTGTCTCGGTGGACGACAAGCAGCCACTGATTGCTTTGGGATCCAATTAAAAACCAAAACAACAAACATAAAAATAGCTAAGAAATAAAAAATAGCTTTTACCTAAACAACAAGACATCATATGATTTTAATAACTGCTATTAAAGTCTCCTTACACTAAGATGTGACATGTCAATATCAGAGGCTCTAAGAGGAATCTGATTTATGCAGATAAAGTTGTTGATACCTGCATGATGCAGTGGGGTCCTGCCAATACTGTCAGTGCAATCTACTGCCAGTCTCTCCTAATGTGGCACACAGCACAGAAGTTATCCATTTTCCATATACTTCTGGCATGGTTTGGAGAATTTGTACAGTGGTTATGGCATTGCTGAGCTTACCTGCAACAGTCTCTTTAAACACTCAGGCTGGCTGTTTTTGGCAGCAAGGTGAAGTGCGCTGAAACCTGGAGTCAGTCGGTCATAAACAGAAAGCAAAATAAATATAATAAATAAATATATTATATAAATATACTAAATAAGTACATTGCTATATTGGGGATTGGGGTTGTTTATTTATAGTTTATAGCTTATAATATCATATAAACCGCTTCCAATAACAAAATATCATACCTGCTCCATCAGTGACACTGACGTCTGCTCCATGGGATATGATTACCTCCAGGCAATCTAGTCTGCCTCTAGATGCACAAAGGTGGAACCTGGCAGAAAGTGCAAACAAAAGAATATCCATGCAAAAATATTGTTAACATTTATGTATCTTCCATTTTTCTTAATCATTATTATTTTGGACCTAACAGCTTTAATTTTAAAATAAGGACATATTTTAGTCTTTCCATTATATGTGAAATTATATATTTAAATTGAAAGATTAAAATGTATGACAAAAATTAAAGGTCTCTTTATGACTCCTGGGAAAACAATAGGTGTTTTAAGTGTTTAAATCGCAGATGAAATACTGTATATAAGATTTACAGTTCATATAAATGTGTTTTATATACCTTGAGCTTTTTTTTCTACAGTTTTTATCTGTTAAATTGCACACATGCAAACTTTAAATGCTAATTAGGGGACATCTGAAGTCAGCTGTTAGCAATGGATTCTGTTTTGGGGTATCAGAGAAAAGTTAAAAAATTTTTTTAGAAGTTATTAAAACATTTGTAAACCATGTATTGTTTTCTGCAGTATATCTTGTTGTTCTACCACATACAATACCAATAAAAAAAAACAATATACGTTAAAGTTTTCATACAACAAAAAATGGGGAAATGTTTTACACTTTTATGTAAATTCCATCTGGGATTAAAAAAGAATGTTTACATTTATTTTAATTGTTGAACTTTTGAAGCTACTGTTTACAGTGAAATAACTACTGATAAACAAGAAACTTCATGTCCAAGTTTATATTCCTAGAGATAATGTGTGTCCTTAGCAGCTTGAAAGCAAAAATGTATTGGGTTTTCTTTTTAGAAGATGATTTGTGCTCAGATAATTATGTTTTTGGTTTTGTTTTCTTTTATTTATTTATTTTTTCTCACCCAGAAGAATAACATTTTGCTTTAACTATCTACAGTACAGATTATATGAAAAGAATGCTATAATAGGTTAGGTTTAAGTAAATAGATACCAATAAGTCTGGAAACTTTCCCCATTTCTATGAGGCAAACATCAAGTGTCAAACTTACGCTGACTTGCCCTCTGCATCCAGTTTGGTTGGACAAAGACCTTTTTTGACAATGAGGGCAGCGACTTTGTCAGGTTCATTCTGCTCCACAGCCTGCAGCAGCCTTTCATCGCTCTTGCTCCAGTCCTGACTCTTAAGGGGGTGAAATAAAAAAAAAAAGAATTAACCACCCTCTATGTCAGTACTGCCCTAATAAAAACTAATATTATGCTTTATACAATAACAGTTGGATGTTTACATACACTCATTAAATTGCATAAATGTCAAAAGTTTAAAGTTGGTCTACTGTCTCCATTTAAAAGCAATTATCATGTGTGGATCATTGTCCTATTAGAATACCTGATTTAGTACAGATTTCACTCACCTGACCAAACCTACCACCTAAAATGAAAGGATATGGGTCAAAATTATTAAAACGAAAGACTGTACCCCATAGTTCTAGAGCTGATTCGCATATGACTAAAATTTGCAGTTGCCCACCTGAAGATCTGATTATCTTCAGTGGTAGTTTTTTACAGTCCAATGAGAAAATTATGTTGCTATTTGTAAATAATGACAAGAAATATGATTAGAAAAGTCAATGTAAGGCTTTGAGGTTTCAGAATTCAGTACTCACTGTTAAGCATGGTAGTGGTAACATCATAGTGAGGGTCTGTGTTGTTGAAGGTGCTACTAATTTATTGTGCAAATTTGATGCAAGCTTTGAAACAAGAGGGGAGTCCAAAAAAAGGACCCCAAACTAAAACGGATTGACCAAGGAGATAAAGATATGTCACTGTAAGAGTCCTAAAGTAAACTAAATGAGCTCTTGCATGTCTGAACAGAGGACCTCCAAGTTTACAGGCAATATTATAGCAATTTCAATGGCTACAAACAGGCATGGTTAAGGTTCAAATGAATCAACAACAATAAACCACACATTGATAGGACATTTATGATTTTTTTTCCCCTTTTGAAGTTAAAGAAAAACATTGGTATATCAAAAAATGATTATAATATTAGTAATGTCTAATTTTAAAAATAACCATAACCAGTTTCTTGCATGGCTGTTTAACACAGAAAAAAAGATACATTCAAACAATTGTTTAAAGACCAAAAATACTCTGACAATTATGCTAATGGGTGTATACCGCAGAGCAGCACTGTATATACTGACATCCAATGCATTGTTTAAGAACTGTTGATGTAAAATTCTGCCAGATGAAAGATGAAGAAGGAGTCATTTTGCTGATAATTTTTAGAAATAAAGACAGAGGATACCTACTGGCAGCGGCAGCAGGCTGAGACAAGGACAGAACCGCTTCATTAGGCTAAAAACAGGCTGCTGGGGATCCATATTGCTATCTTGGAGTCAAACACAGCTACGTATATACTGCTAGAGCACTAATTTCCTCCTACATGCCTAAAATATGTTACATTTCAGATTATCTCAGGAAAATCAATGAGTTTCTGGGAAAGAACCTTCCAAAGGTCAGAACAACATCCCAACAGAGCAGAAAATGTATCCTATTTCTAAATCCTACCTCTGATGATGTATAAACTGTCACATACACACAATACTCTCCCTCCCTGTCACATCCCGAAACAGCATCCTGTCCGCTTTTGCAAAAATCCTCCTTTCGTCTTGCTCTCTCTGCATGCACTGGAACAGCCAATCTTTCCACAGCACCTCCCCTCCCTCCTGTTCTCATTTCTGGTAAATTTCCCTGCTGCCTTCTTCTTAGTAGCTGTCCCCATCTTCGCTCTCATTAGTTTTTGTCAAGTCTTGCATGGTACCCCACCTCCCAATCCCTGCTCCCCTCCTGCAGCATAGTGAGATCCGTTTCACTGCAGCTGCAGGGCCAGGCCTGTGTGAAGTGAGGACTCAGCAAAAAGGGGGGGTGGGGTGGAGGGTGATAGGGGGGTAAGGCTGCACATTGTCCAGCCTGAGTCTAACCATTTACCAAACTCACACTTTCTTTTCTTTTTGTCAGTGGTTGTGATCCACATTTACTGGTATGCCACTTGGTTTCTATAAAAGCATCAGTAAGAAGAAAATATCCAGACACATCAAACAAGCCATCTAAAGGAACTATCCCTTTAAACTTTGGGGCGTGTTGATTTATCAGCCTGTATAGAGGCCAAGCAGCAGTCTCACATCAACAGTTTATAGCTAAATGCTATATGTGTATTTTTTCTGTCATCTGTCGCTATTATTCAAAGTTGCCCTTAAGATTAGAAAAAAAGAATGACAGACATGTCAGGACCTCCTTGTGTGTGTCAGTCAGTGTGTCTGCATGGCTTATGTGTTAATAATTGAAGGCTACCTGAGATCATTGTTACAGCAGCAGTCTGGTGGCGGTCCTGCTCTCCTGCTGTTCAGCAACACTAAATCCTAATACCTTCCCCTCAGCTTATATACAATAATTGAAGAAAGCAAACTATGATGTTGAAACTTGAAAGAAAAATAACTTTCAGGGAAAGAGATAACTTCTTTCATAGTTCAATCACTATTAATCCTCCAAACTCATCATAATAGATGCTTCTTACCTCATTCTTTTTAAACTTTGCTTTGAGACTTTTCATCCTTTGGGTGGAATGCTGTAAAAATGTCACTTTTTAACAATTGATATGTCATTGTTATAATACATTAAAACTGAATTACACCAGACTATCATCAACACATAAAGGCCATTAACATATAAAAAACATAAGGTACTAATAAAAATCAGGCTAAATATTTAACTCTAATGCTGCCAATGTATTAAGTTATATCTACATATTAAGCTTGCAGGAAGCAGCCTACCTGTGGCAGACAGTGGAGTTCCAGTGGGGGGGTTTCACTGGCACATCAGCTGCTCTCTGTAAAATACTGAATCCACTGCTGCCTGACTGATAAAGAAACCCCGCCCCCAGTCCCCAAACAACCAATGAGAAGCTCCAGATGGACAGTTGATTGTTGATGATGGACTGCAGTGTGCACATTAAAGAACGACTCATGTCGTTTTATTTGTTTTTAACCAGATAATGACAAACTATTATGCTGTTCATCACTGCTTGAAAATTATATGTTTTTTTTTTTTAAGTTTAAAACCTTTATTAGCTTAGAGTTCCACATATAGTGTTGGGGAAGTTCCTTGTTTTTTTTTATTGCAAAACAACATGAACAATATAGAACATTAATAATTAGAAACATACACAACAACAAAGGGTTTTACAGAACAGAACTATTATTTTAAAATGTCGAAATCAAATCTAATCTATGCTTGAGGGTCATAATTCTTTAAGGGCATTATAATTTGCATGGCTGTGGCATTTGAACCCAATTTTAAGGATTCTATATAGATATTAATATAATTTAACAAAATTTGGAAATTAGGTTTTTGTTGAAAATATTTTAAGATTTTTTTGATGAAATAAATTGACATATCTCTCCAGGATATTTTGGTATAATTACAATCCCAAAAAAAGATGAATAAGCTTTTCTTCATTATTTTTACAAAATGTACACATTGGGTCGAAATCCTATTTATATCTTTTTATCAAAAATGCTTTAACGGGATAAACAGTAGGAATAATTTTATAAGAAATTTCACTTACTTTATTGTTTATTAAGTATTTTTTAAGGAGCAACCAAGTTCACTTCCAATTTATATTTTCAAAAGTGTTGGACCAATAAAATATACAAGCTGGTGAAAAGACACATCTCGTGGAATATTTCTTAACTTTTTGTTGGTTGTTTTCTTACTTATAGAAGGACAATCATAATCAATTTAAATGGAGTTTATAAATGGAGTAAATTTGACGTGTGGGTAAAGATGATAAAAGCTTTAATGACCCACTAGGGAATACTGTACTTTTGGGTATACTGTACTTTTGGGTATACTGTACTTTTGGGTATACTGTAATTGCATTTAAGAAGAAAGGACAATCCTCCAATTTTGTCAAAGTTGTAAATGGGAATAGCATTCCATATAGAGTTTGGATTTTTTTAGAAGATTTTTAAATACTTAATTTTGAATGAATTATTTAAAGATGTGAAGTCAAGGGCTTCAATTCCTCCTTTTTCAACTTTATTTGGAAGTTCCTTGGTTCCGAGATGTTTGGAGGTCTCCACAAAGTCACAGTGAGTTTGACCAATAATGCCAGGAAAACAGAAGGACCAGTGATGCTGGAATGTGAGGTTGGTGAAAATATAGAATAATATAAAATAAAGTTGACTTTAAATTAAACATAGCGTTTCTTAGTCTTAACATGTATAGCAGAAAATAAATTTGGTTTGGGACACACAATTTCTTAAGGCAGCAACCGGGTGGGTACATATGGGATTATACCTGTCCCACACAACTCAGATGTTAAAATGTAATAAAAATATTTATTTCAAAATACATAATGAGCTTCTATTTTTATGCTGGGGCTATTTTCTTCATTAGCTGGAAAGTAAGTGATATATAGTTGGATACAGATATAGGAGGAACTGAATCTTAAGATTTTGTTATGGATGGATATCCCATAAATTACACACTTTTCACGTTTTAGTGAATAAGTGGTGTATTACAAAAGGGCTACACAATGTTTTTCATATTTTAAAAGCACAGATGTCACTGCTAGTAAAGATTCTCAATCATCAAGGTCATAGTCATTCCCAAAAAAAAAAAACAATCCAATGGACTTTGTTTCCAAGTTTAAAGACGTTTTGCTTCCCATCCAGGAAGCTTTTTCAATTCAAGTCCCACAGGTTTGCGTACATATAAAACTCCCATATGTATATGACATTTTCTGACATTTTGAATTGAAAACGCTTCCTGGATGGGAAACAAAACATCTTCAAACTTGAAAACAAAGTTCAGTGGATAGTAAATAATGTTGTTTACCTGAGACTAATCTAATTTCCCTTTAAAATACTGCTGGCCTCAGAGGTTTAGGGGGATATCCTAAGTTTAAACATTCCACAGATCACTATGGTTATCATAAAAAAGTAAATGTAAAAAACTCAAAAGTGTGTGAATACCATTAAAAGATTAATTCAGGAGAAAGGCATTTCTGAGTTTTTTGTCATAAATATGCTTACATAGATTTTGAAATTGCAGTTTAAATGGGGCAAAAGACTTAAAGATAGAGAGCTGTAATTAGTTGTAGTTGGATGAACAATTGACAGAGTGCACATACCTTATATACATATTCACAGAAACCAAAATATGGCTTTTTTTTTGTTTTGTTTTTATGTGTTTTTTTCCGCAGTCCTTCTGGACAAGAATGCCACATAATTGCAATACAAATAATTTATGCTGCCCCTAGTTAATGAAAAGGTATGTCGAGACAGCAAAGAGTCTCGACAGTCCTACTTAATACAATTTATATGTATATGTATTTTTAGTATGAAATAAGTTATGCCGTAAAAGTAATATATCTTTAGTCATCAGATTAATGTATGACAAATATTACAATTTAAATTCAATTCAATTTTTGAAAGAACACTGGTACTTCACATTAGCCACCAAGAGAGGGCAGTAAGTACCAGGCAGATGAAATTATAGAGATAAATTATTTCCTCAGGTTTCCTTTTTAAGCAGCACAAAGGATTTCATTAAATTTAAAGCTTTGCAAAGCAGCCATTGTTTATGCATTATTAGGTAATTATTATCTACTTTCCACTGAACCAAGGAGAAAAACTGGGAATGTTGATAATTGTATAAATGATACTGAAACACCAGCCTGAACATCATGGGTAATGACACTTCCAAATTTGGCCTTTTATAATGAGTCAGTGTTATTACTTCTCAGATATATTCTATAGCAGACTCTTGTTGTTGCCTTTTTAACATTTTAATTAGACTGTGCCAGTGTCTGTGTTTTATTTTTTATTTTTTCATTTTTGTGATAAAACTCTAATTAAAAAGACAAAAAAAATACCAACCTTATTGCAGAGAATTCTAAGTCTCACTATTTCTCTTTAGGAGTTTCTCATTTACATTTTTCCTTGAAATGCAACAACCTCTCCTTTTCTTTTCTTTTCTTTTCTTTTCTTTTCTTTTCTTTTCTTTTCACTGTTTTGGTTAGTGTCAGGCTCCTCATTCTCAAACTTTGGGATTTCCCATTTGCCAGGGCAGAAAGATAAATTAAACCATCAGTTTTGTCCTCTGTTGAGAGGATATTTAAAGAAAGTACTGGACAGATCGGATTGTGTGGATCAAAGAATAAGAATTTCTCATGCAGCCAAGGGACAATAAAGTAACAATCACTGCAAAATGCAAATACAGGACATATGCAATAAAAAATCTTCTATGGCAGAGAGAATGCGAGAGTGGGATAAAGGAATTTAAGGAATTTGTTGCCATGAGAGCTTGTTGGTATATGGGGAATAATTTAAAGCTGGCTTTTTTTGTGTGATGAAGTTTCTAGAAAGATATGTGTTTGTGGAAGAGATTTAACACAAGAATATACATTTTATGAATCCGTTGATTTTATTCTTTTACCATCATGACACATTAAAATGATAGACACTCATAACAGAACATATATTTTCAACACTTTTGATTTTCTTTTAAGTTGGTTCTCCCACTGTAAAATGTAAATGCATCTCAAGGGGCACCGCTGTAATATACCTCTTAAAATAGTACAACAGGATTTGGAAAAAGTCAAAGGATTTTTATATGTGTTATGGTTTAACTTTTTATCACAAAGTCATCCTGTCTTCAAGCTTAAATGTCAAATAATTAAGAGAAAAGTCCCAATAAGTGGACAACATCATTTGAACAAAAAAAAAAAAACATAACTGTATATGTATAAAAAGCAGTTATATACATTAGTATTTGTAGCAGTCATTGGTAACATTCTTCAGCATCATAACTTGATAAATTGGATTCAAATGTTTTTTTGTTTTTTATCTGAAACTGCAGCAAAATCTATTTAGACTCAATAAATAAATCAATCAATCCCACATCGACGGTAAGTTCCAATTTCAAATGATCTACTGTCTTCAGTGACAGATGTTAAAATGTGTGAAATGGCTAACCACCCAGGGTGGCACAGTCTAGGGATAACACCATAACATGAGACTTTTTTTTTATTTTTTACATGTCTTGTTGATTAAGGAATGGTTGTCCTCAGTCTTGTGAAGGTGAGTAAATATGGTCTTATAGGTGGCTTAGAAAAACTGGTATCTGAATAAAGGCTTTACCCTCTGTTGAAAAGGATTTTTTTCATACTTACTGGTTTTGAAGTAAGTATACACACTATATTGAAGTGTTTTATTTTCAATAATGAACCTCATCAGTAGAGTGCATGTTTTAGGTTGAAGAGTGACCCAAAAAGAGATGCTTTCTGGCCAAGTTGCACCACCACTGTCTCTGGACTTCATCAAATATACCCTGCAAATAACTGATATCCAATTTCCTTCTAAGAGTCTCTAAAAGCAGCCAAAGTACTGAGGTTCTCACTCATACATATTAAAACTAAGTCACTTAGGACAGTAAAGTGGTACTTGTAGAGTTTTTGAATCACTGATCTAGAAAATGAAAGAAGACAACTTAGAGAACAGAAGTGTTCAAACTAACCACAATGAGATTGGCTGCAGGGATTTGAAAATCTGTTCCTTTAGAGCCACTGTTTCTGAGTGATTAGGGCTGAATTTGATGTAAAAAGTCTAGATGTTACAATGCTGATGAATTTGGTAAAGGCAACAGTGGGGGTGGACTCTGGCTTGATGACCTCATCTATAGTCACCCGCCTCCTGAGTGAAAGTGAGCTCACAAGAGTCGTAAAGAAAAAGACATTTACGATCCTTTAAGAGACTGACTCAGAGTTGCATACAGGCTGGACAAAGGATAATGTGACAAGTGGGAGAAGATAATGTAAAACATCTAAAAATCAAAATGAATGGTTTTGTCATGTTATTCTGTTTTCTATGCCAAATTTTCAATCATTGTGCATTTTGCTTGAATTGATCTATTTTGCACAGTCCTCCATGCACGTTTATCTTAAAAACCACTTTACAATAAAATTAAATGATGCTCTAACATGAAAACCTGCCAGTGATGTCATGCAAATGAATAATTTACACCTTAGGAGCGTGCTTCTGCAGGTAGACTAGTTTTTATTTTTTTTCGTTTGTTCACCACTTGCAGCTCTGTTAAAAAAAAAAAAAAGAGGATCTATTTCTTGTTGCATGACGCGTACAGCCATCTGAATGAATGAAGGCTCGGTTGATTGCAAAAGGCAGCAGGAGGATATTCCCCTGGGAATGAAGCGCCTCCCCTTTAATCGCTCGCTTGAGTTGCGCCTCTCTCGGAGCTGTCGTCGCTCTCCTCACTCACACATTTTCCAAGAGGAACTCCTGATGCGCTCGAGTTGCTGAAGAAAGGATCTCGAATCTTGCTTTATTTTTCATCCATCGGGGCTTTAACTAGGTTTTAAGACGCGGATTACAGCCTCTGTTGTGTTGTTTTAATCGGCAGGAACATGAAGAAGCTCGGACTTTTGCGTCCGAAGTGGCTGAGGGACTGAATTGGCGTGGTAGGTGGTTGCGCGTGCGGGAGCGCAGCTTTCTCTCGCCTTTAAATCATTTGGTTTGTTAGTTTGTTTAACAGAAGTTTTTCTTACCTTGTTTAAAGCCAGTTTTTCATATTAAAAACAGTTTAATCAAACGTTTATAAAATGGTATCACAAAGTTCAGAAGTTGAAACGCTTTCTTTGTTGATTATTATCTTCCTATGTTTTGTTGTTGCGTTTTTTATGGTTTTGGTATTTGTCTATGGTTACACCCCCGCGATATCCCCGGACTTTTATTGCAGAGGTGTGTGCAATTTAAGCCTTTGGGCAAAGTCCAGTCGCCAGACGCTCAGCTCCCATGGCTAAAACAAAAGGAGCGCATGGAGCCCAGCTGTCTCTGTAGGTTAATATGACATGGAGACATGTAGCAGCATACATACTGTTGCTCTGTGATTAGAAGGAGGCAGATCTGTTCAAACGGCATGAAAGGATCAGTATCTCTGGATTATTGTGTCTGCTTCTATATTGAAATCAGTTTTTTTTAATCATCAGACCTTCCATAGAGCAGTTTTTATCTAATGTCTAAATAAGATCAAGCAATAACCTTGCATCTGTCCTCTTGACCTTTTTTTGCATACAGTTGTCTAGCCAGCACCGAGATTGGAAGCTGAACTGCCATGGCCAAGTGGCTGAAGGACTACCTAAGCTTTGGCAGAAAGGTACCCCCACAACCACCCACACCGGACTACACAGAAAGTGAGTTTCTCAAAGCGTACCGCCTCCAGAGAGACCTGGACTTTGAAGATCCATATGAGGATGCTGAGAACAGATCCAGAGAGGAATCTGGGAATTTTGAGCCGTCCACACCGGTGTACGGATCTCCTATGAAGTCTTCCAGTTTGGACATGAAGTCTCCTAAACACAGGCTGATCAAGGTGGACTCCCAGGAGCTTGGACGCACCAAAATTCTCCTCAGCTCCATCTCTTTGGAAGACCAACAAGAGCCTGTAAGACCTACAGATTCTTGCCTTTGATTCAAGAGATGCAGAAATGTTTTAGATCTCCAGATTTCTTCTCCTGATTTTTTTCTTTCATATCTATATTTAAGAACTTAGAAAAATGATCTTGCTTTTCTTTCATGAAATTTGGAGCATATTTAACATTCCACCGTGTGTGTGTGTGTTTAAGGGGGAGAGTTGGTCTGAAGCAAAGTTTAGATATTTTTAAATCCTAACAAGGTCAACAAATTGACATACTTTCTTTAGCGACTGGTATTAGAAACACAATTAGCATGGTTAGCATTATAAGAACAGTGGTTTGTATGTATTTAATAATGTTGACCTTTATACTGAATCCTAGTTTAAAAAAAAAACATATGAAGATTTTTTTTCCAAAATAGAATAAGTTTTAATAGATAAAACAGATCGATTCCCCTGTTGCTGATGGGAGCTATGGGTATAATCATTTTCCATTTGGCTGAAATGTTCCCAGTTTCAGTACAAACTGACTGTTGTGTTTTGCATACTGTGCCTTTTTTCCTCTCAAATAATCACGTGGCAAATAAACAAAACTGATGACAAAGCAGGCTGAATTAACAGCAGTCATTCCTCCTTAGAGAACATGCTCTTCTTTAGAATTGGTCCTTACACTTTTTTTTGTTTCTCTAATGTAATTTTCAGAGCTTCCAAGTGGTTGGTCACCTCTAAGGAAATAGTCCGGTTCTGCTGACTTTTCTGTGCCTCTAAGTTCTTTGCAGATGTGCAAAGAACAGAGGAGATGATGTCAGATGAGATCTTTCACCTGGTAAACTAAGTTGGCTGGAGACATAAAGACAAGTCAACCAAAAGACATTAAAACTCCCACTTCTTTCATCCCATTTCCATCCCCCTGCAGCTTTAATGATCAGACCCAATCAACAACTTCTCCGGATGTGTGTCAGAAGATGTATATTGTTTATATAAATCACCCATCATATTAATTTACTACCATGGGCGGAGGAAGAAATGGATAGCTTGAGCGGACCATAGAGTAGGAGGGGGACCACGGTCCCCTGAGTTTATGTTCGTCCATAAATAATAGATGAGGTTTGGTTTCGCAAGCTGAGAGGGACCATCACACGTGCACATGTTGCAGGCCCATGTTCATTAAACTGCCGTGTGATCTATCAAGAGCCGGAAGGAGGTATATTTCAAGCCAAGAGCTGTTTTTGTCATCAGGAATGTAGTGTGTTCCTCACTCTGCACTGTATGTATGATAAATTATAAACTCACACAACACTTGTTTGACATTAGGAAAGATGTGTAAAGAACAAGAAGAACAATGTGCAAAAGTAAGGGCTTTGCAAGGACATTGTTTACAGGAGAACTCAAAAACACTGAGCAAGTTGGAAAGAATCTCACAGTTTTCATAGCAGTTTAATCTATGAACAAGCACGTGAAAAATGCTAGAAAGAAATCCTGAATTGGAAGGAATTAATACTAGTCAATAGCTCCCCTTTCTGCCCTTCTTTCTTCAATGCATGTTAATTTCCCATGATCTGTGAGAACATCCACGTTCTAATTAATATAAAAGATTCATGTGCATCCCTGGATAACCTGTTAAACAATCAGCAAGAGATTAGGAGGTCTTTTCACCACAATGTGTTTAGGAGGATTTTTTTTCATAAATTTTTTTTTGGAACTAGGATTTTCTGCATTGATTCCTTTGTGAGGAAATGGGAGATACTAAGGATGTACACGCTTCTAGACTGGCCCTCACGTGTTTTTGCATATGCATGTGTTTGTGCAACCATATGTTGGCTGTGTTGTTGTCAGGCTGCCAGGTGACCACTGTTTTTTCCTCCTGTGCTTGCATGGAGTAACAAATGCTACCACCTGCTTATCTGTCTTTTATCTCTGTCCGCTCCTTGTGAAAGTAAAAGAAAACGATAAGATGGTGTCTCCACCAATACTGTGGGCTTCAATAACTATTGGGAGATACAGAGTATACAGTAGATTGTTGTAGAGTAAAGAAACTGTTTATTGTCTGTTTCTAGCTAAATGAAAGTTTAATGTAATTTTCTTGAGATCTTACTGTCATTCATCCTAGATTTACCACCTTGAGGTTATAAGATCCTATTTTATGTGTAGGGATAATTTCTTTAGCTCTAACAGCCAGACTGAAATTTCTTAATCATCCTTAAAAAAATGCTTCAAAAATCTTTAGCACATTCTCATGCAAGCCCCGATAGTCAAGCTGTAACAAGTTAAACTCATTAGAGCCAGAATAGAATTTTAGCTTGTTTTGTCGTTTCTAGAATGATTTGAATTCATTATACTGAGTCAGCTTTTTCTTCCTTTTCCCTCCTCAGGGGTGCACTAGCATTACCTAAGGGAGTGCCATTTTTTTCTTTTTTTTTTTTTATCTTTCAGGTGGTGCCATCAGCCCCGCTGGCAGGGGACACAGATTATTCCGATCCATTCGATGCTCGAACGGAACACAGAACGGATCCAGATCTTGGTCCTGTACCCTGCGAAAATAACGGCTACATGGAACCATATGAAGCTCAAAGGGTCATAACAGGTCAGTGGATTTATAAAGGTAGAGAAGACCTTTGAGCAATGAAAGTGGACACACAGTGGTGTTACTGTATTATTTTTTCCTACAGATACTTTTTAATGTTATTTTCCTATTTTTCTCTATACCGCCCATTTCCTAACCTCTCTGACCTTAATCCACTTGACAAAGCAGAACATGACTATTAGTAGATAATTAAATGCAGAGTGAATTCACTACATTTTAAACTTTAATTTGCAAAATAATGGTATTAGTATTTTGTAATAAAATAGAACAGGTTAAAAAGATCTTTGGATTAATAAAGTTATTCTCTGCACACTGTATGGCTGTAAGCCTGTTGTCTGAATTGGAGTTACACAACAGATATGTTTTTTTTTTAAAACTGAAAACACTGAAATGTTTTTCACAGCTGACAGGAGAGAGAAACAGACTGGAGGGAATTATTTGTGGAATCTGGCAAAGAAAAAATGAGAGGTTACCTCACATTTTAAGATTCAGTTTTTACTGATTTTAGTCTCAGCTTTTACACTTTTATAAACTTGTGTTTATTTTTCTTATTTGGACTACTCTATCATGTTGAGAGGACAATTCAGTTGTCCTACTATCCCATTTTCAATGTAGATTGGAATTGTAGAAAAATAAGCTAGACAAATAATAGAAAACCAAATCTCCTTTCACTAGAAAACATGTCAAACTAATAATGCTTTATGCATTTTTATGGTTATTGTATAAGTTAAAGTTTAATGACGGCTGCCCAATAGATGTTCTGTTGCTGTTGCATCTTAGTTTGAGCAGACGTTGATCAAAAATCAAAGAAAGATCAAAGTTATCTTAATGTGCAGACGGTTGAACGCTCCAGTTCAGGACATTTAGGCCTTTATATTAAATCTCCCCACATTAGTTCATAGGTAACATGTGGACCTACTCAATAATCTAGATCTGTGCTGTTTCAGCAGTTTCTGTAATGAGCAAAAGAAGAAATGTCGATTTTGTCCTCCTACCTTTGAGGAGGACTGAAAAGAGTGGCTTTGTAATATTTGGTTGGTGACTGTTTGCCACTAAAGTGTTAATGCACCTCTAATGGATTTTTGTCAACCACAGCTGAGTAAGCTTTCAGCATCATGAAGTTTTTATCCCCCGTTTTTTTTTTTTTTGCACCCGCAATTTGCTCCAAAGCATCATCTATCACAGAGACATCGTTTTCTGTTTCTCCCTCTCTCTGCAACATCTCTTTCTGACCCCCCCACCCCCCCAGTGCTCTCTCTGGTCTGTCCCTGTCACTTAGTGTAAAGGCTTGTCCCCCCACCACTACTCCTCTCCATTACTACATTTCTCCATCTCGAGGGCTCTCCTCTGCTCCCAGTGGGAACTCTTTGGTTGCCTCTTTAATCTCTCCTTTAGTGAACGTCCTCTGTATATATTCTTCCATCTCATCGCTGTCTCTCTTTCCCCATTTAGTAGAGAAATACACAAAATTAGGAATAAAAGGATCCAGCCGAATCTGTGTCAGCCTTAAGGCAAACATTTTTTTGCATCACCTGGATGGAGCCATCTAAGAAATGGATTTGGAGTGGTTTGTCAGAGCTCCCTTATTGGTTTTGCACTGAGCCTGTCACTTTGGAGCCATTTTTTCTGTATCTCTGCCTGGTTCTTTCTCATTGGAAGTCATCAAAGCAGCAGCCAAATGTGACAGTGAAATAATATTTATCACTCACACAGTATGTGGTTTTTAAAGTTGCTTTAATTTTACATTTTATTCACTTCTTCAGGATTCATGATTCTTTTGTATAAAATGCTGTTCCCCCCCGCTGACACACGTCTGCATGCCTAAACACTCTCCCCTTCCCTGCCATCATTTGCCTCAATCTTCAGTCCCTGTCAGATTGTCTTCTCACCCTTCCCACCGTCTCAAACCCCTGACTGTGTTTTTTTTTCCCCCTCCATCGTTTCTCCTTTGAATTTATCATTCTGATTTCCACAAGTCTTGTTTTTATCTCCCAACCTTCATCTCCTCTCCGTCACCAGGCTGCAGTGACACCACGAGCTCCCCGGTGCAGGTAGAGCAGCTTTCAGCCCTGTTGTGCTGCTGTCTTCACGTGTTAACATCAAAGGCTGACAGACCACAATCCTCTGCCCTCCTCAATCTCTCATGCCATCTCTCTCTTAGTTCCTGTTTCTTCCGCTGGTTTCACTACGGCTCCCATTTTCTCTTTTTACATCCTCTGCTCTTGCATCTACCATGTCCTTTCCTCCCCCCATGACCTTGCTCCTCCTTTCTCTCCAGTTTACCTTCAACCCCTCATTTTATAACCTCAGGCGTTCTCTCTCAATGGCTTTCCACTTTGGTCACCATGGTAATACCTGGCCACTTGAAAGCACCGTTTTATCATGGTAAACTATATTTGGTCCTTTTCCATTTTTATGCCCAAAAAACAAAAACATGGTTAATAACAATAATTCCAGTTCACTCTATTTTCTTTTTCCTAATGGAACATTTTTGTATAAAATCAAATACTATTTGAGGTTTTGGGCCTCCTGTTGCTTAGGGATTCTCGTGGGAGCATTTAGAACCAGCGGTAATCGTACAGCCTTTTATCTCATGGCCATGTTTGACTCCACAAAGCAGATGCAGGTGCTGAGAACATTTGTTGTTTGGACCCCACTGAGAAATTGATGAAAATGTTAGCAAGGAGACACAAATGCTGCTGTGAGCCACGCTGGAAATCTGCTGGCAGAGGTGCAAAGATGGATGCGGGGAGAGAAAGTATTATTTTCCCACTCTGTGTCTGACCCAGTTCCTTGTTAAGGCCCAGCACATTGGTCGCTGAACCTACTGCAAGCTGTGCAAACATAATTATTTAAATTTCTCTAATTCAAGGCACGTTCGAGATCAACAAGCTTTCTATTTATTTTATCATTTGAATGAAGAGCAGTGTTTTGAGAACTAACATGGGTTCTCACTGCTATTTTTCTTGCAAATGGGTTAAACATCCTGCATTAAAGAATAATTTAACTATATTTATCCATATTTTTTTTTTCCCTCATGTGCATGTACATTGACAGAACTGCAGCGAAACACTGGAGGAGGACGTATGCGGGGAGGGTTGCAGCTTTATGACACTCCATATGAAGATGAGCGAGGACAGCGCCTTGGTTATGTGTTCGGAGAACTTCATGAGGAGGGCAAGGAGACCAGCAGGCTGCCGCAAGATGACGAGAGACCAGCTGATGAGTACGACCAACCCTGGGAATGGAAAAAGGATCACATCTCCAAAGCATTTGCAGGTAAGAAGATGAGACTGTAATAAAAAAGCTATTATTTCTATGACAAAGCCAAAAAATTATCACTTTAAATACAGTTGTCTGCCCTTTGCAGCTGCTCTGTAAATATTAACGTTTAAATGCGAAACCTTCTGCCCCAACAATCCCGCCCCCTTGATAATCGACCAATCGCATTCACTTTATCCACTCGTGTAAAGTTGGGCTCCACTCAGGAGAATTTGGAACTGCATCCGTTGGTACAACTTCTTCCCTACGACTTTAAGACACTGCATTGTTTTTAGTATTGTGAGCCTTAAGGAAGCTCAGCATTCACCCTAGTTTAAAGTAGATATAGACTGATACATCAGTTGGTTGATGTTCTTGGTTTATTTTAATATTTATTTTCCTTGTTTCTGTCTAGGCTAATACACACATGCGTTTGCTAATTCATTAGTTCATTTAGGCATGCCTTGGGTTTACACAAAGCACATGCATTGCCACTTCCTCCATTTGGTACCCATTGTTAATCCATCCATCCATCCATCCATCCATTATCTGACACATTTAATTCCAAGCAGGGTCGCAAGGGGTGCTGGTGCCTATCTCAAGCTGTCTACGGGCAAGAGGCGGGGTACACCCTGGAGAGGTCACTAGTCCATTGCAGGGCAGCACAGAGACAAACAGGACAAACAACCATTCACACACACACTCACACCTAAGGAGAATTTAGAGAAACCTTTAATCAACCTAACAGTCATGTTTTTGGACTTTGGGAGGAAGCCGGAGTACCCGGAGAGAACCCATGCATGCTCAGGGAGAACATGCAAACCCAGAACCTGCTTGCTGCAAGGCAGTGGTGCTACCCACTGCGCCACTGAGCAGCCCTCCATTGTTAATGTTTTCTTTAAAAATTTTAAAGACATATATAATTTTTATCTGAACTGGAACTTATGACATTTATACCACATTAATGGAGGAAATTAAGGCATTATCAGCTTCAAAAATCGGCCCAAAAGAATGGCAGCACAAAACTGGGGTTTGGTTAGACTGATGTCAAATTAATGTAATGGCATCGACCTTAGGAAACTTGTATCTGTCGATCAAGTTGCATACTGTAAATATTTTCCTTTGTTAGTTTTTTCTTTTCTTTTCTAAACATCTTTCCATCAGCCTTAAGCCGGGCATACACTGTGTGTTTTTTTTTTTTTTATCGTTGCACGCAGCTGCTGCTCTCACTGTACGGCTAATCGCAGGATTTAGTCGTACAGTGTGAGTTCACAGCTCACGAGTTATGTTCGGCCCGACGCTCTCATGCGATCTACCTGCTCACACTGTACGACTAAAACCCACGTCAAACGCAGCTCCGCAGTGAAATGGAGCTGCTCTGTAGCTCTCTATCCTGACGCCAAACAAATAGAAGGGGGATATTGAGCTCACTATATTGAAATGAGCTGCCTTGTCAATTTGTGCAGTTTTCTGCTAAAAGTCCTCAAAAGGAAAGGCGACAACGTAGTTGGAAAAAAAAGACATTGCTGAGCAAATATGTCTACTACAGTCTATCAATTTTACAGACAAAACTGCATTTCACTCATTACATCCCTGCAACGCTTCTGTGTTTACAGAAGAATCCTTGTTTGCTCATGTGCCCTAAACGATTTGCCCACGACGGTCAGGAGAAAATCAGACATGTTTGATATTCTCCCGACCTCAATTCCTGATCGGGAGGTGGTCGTGAGAGGCTGATCGCCCCTTGAAACCCCCTCTACACTACACAACGCACAATCAGGCTGAAAGTCGGGCCGATCTAAAGATTCTCGCACGACTGGAAAATCGCCCCGAAAATCACACAGAGTACACCCGGCTTTAGAGGAGCTTCTTAATCCCTGCTAAAGAAAAGCAAAAGTTGCCGTCATATTGTTTTCAGGGCGATGTGCAGCTTTCATATGACATGGTTTCAACCATTTTTTATTTACACCTTTTTAATGGCAGATTTTTTAGAAGCGCTCAACTAGTTGTTCAATTCTTCTAATTCACAGCAAATCTCGTCTCAAGGCGCTTAATAAGTGGACCTGATTTACTTACAGAAAAACAGATGCTTCAGTGCAATCCGTGTATCAATTGTTAATTTCTTTTTCAATTTGAAAACAACAATAAAAAAAAAAAAACAAGTAACCAAATTAATTTTTTTATTCTTTCATAAAAATGGCCAATATAAATGGATTCAAAGGCCATAAGTGTTTTTGGGTGTTTTTTCACCTGCTTCACTGGTTTCATTTGCTCAAGCTTGATCAATACTTAGTTTTTCTTACAAAAACCTCTTCTACATTTATTGACAACCTCCTTTGTAATTGTGTGTCTAGGGGTACAAAACAAAATCCCTACGAACCAAAGACGAGGGCAGCTTTAGATGAGTGAAAATATGACGATATGAGAAAATATGTCTTTGAAGGGACTGATTGTTGAATGGTTAAAACCTGCCTCAATATGAGCATTTTTAAAGGTCAGAACCTTCGTTTGAGCTCACACACTGCCTTTCTGCTGATAGCACATGGTAAAAATAATATTCTAACTGTCCTGACCTTTAAAAAAAATGTAACTACCACCCCCCAATCATTACATCTCTACAGCCTTTTTAACTAGAAATGGAGTGCTGTGACCTTCACTGTCTGAGCTCAGATGACATTTATTTCTCTCTTTTTAGATTTGAACTCTTTCTGGAAGACTATTGATTTCTTGCGCTCAGACATGGGGCTGAACAGGCTTTGAGATGATCATCAAGACTGACAACTGGCTTTTTATAATGTTAACTGTATAACAGCAGTGTTTGGAAGGGAGGGAGATGGTAGACAACCCGGGGAAATTATGTGCAGTATTTCTAAAGAAATGGTATGGTGCAAGCAAACCTAATAAATCATTAGGAAGGGGATGTAGGTGTAAAGAATGTCAGGCCAGGTCCACTTAATTGAGCTGTATCTCCAAGTCACCAAGGTCAAGGTGATGGGATAATACATCAACCTAGACACATCCTCGCTCACCTCCATCCCTGCTCCCCTCCACTCAGTTAATTACATGCCTACATGTGTGTGACTGATGTAGTAATGGGAAAGTCACGGTCAGCACAGCATAGTCCGAACACCGACGGGTATACACAGAAATCCATTCTCATCGCATTAAAACCCAAATAAGCCTAAGCAGCAGAGGGGCAAAGAGGCGCCGTAACTTACCGGAGAGAAGAGACCATTTTAAATAAAGATGCATGGTTATTAATATGAGAGAGAGTCAACTCTCACTGGATTTGCACGCCCTCCTGATGCATCCGTATGTTTTCTCCTTGTTTTAAGTATCTTCTTTGTGACATTTACATCATGCACCGCCCCTGGGTAGTACGGTACTCGTACCATACCAGTGGACCGTGAACTGCAGGAAAGCGCTCATGCAGCCTGTGTTACCTGACCCTTTGTTTTGGGTTTTTCATCCCATTCGGACTCTGTTCTCAGAGTATAGTTGCTGTCTGTCTAGGTGCACAGAGGTACTGAAGTGTAAACACACAAACAGTCTCATTTAATTCATATTGCCCTGGTCTAACTTGCTTTGCAAAGCTCAGCCCACGTTATCAGGGCGGGAAGCGATGGAATGGACTGTATAGAGAAGGGAAGAATGGAAAAGTTGGAACCAAGGGATGAGTATAGTGAAGATAGAGTGATGCAAATAGGAAGAGATGGGGGAAAGCATAGAGAGATGACTTATGGAAATAAAAAGGGACATCCAGTGTTATGTGGCAGCTAAGTGAATGTTTGTGGTTGCCTGGTGTTTCAGTGAGGAGGAGTATTTATAGTCGGGAGCTGTGGTGCGGTGAGGTAAGCAGCCAGAAAGGTGGGATTCAAGGCTATTGTGGCAGGGCACAATCAGTCATCCCCTAACACAGGCACACTTTCTCACACATGCACGCCATCGCTTCAGAGGTGACAGGGCCGTCCCCTCTCTCCTGCCCTCCCTGCTGATGTGACATACTCACTCAGATAACCTGCCGCGGGTGGGCAAATGGTGGGGGTTGGTGGAGGGGATCTCACAGTCTGCCAGCAGCCCCTCATCAACACTTGCTCTCAGGAACATGCATGCATGTGTAGGTTTCCAACTTGTCTTTTTTACAGCTTTGATTATCCCCATGTACTTTATTCATGGGTGAAAGGAGCGCGTGTGCAAGCTGGTGCAAGTAAAGACGTGTGTGTATGAGGGGGTTATATGCACTTTATTTGTGTCTCTCACAGAATCACTTTGATTAGAATTCTCAGATTATCCATGCAAAAATAAAATCGCTGAAGTGAAAATTGAACTCTTTGGCTATTTGATGTCTATAGATCAGAATAAACCAACTTTCTTTCCTTGTATAATTTGTTATTCAATCCACTTCCAGATGTTCTGTTTTGGCATGTATAAGGTTTTTAATTACTAAGAAAAGGTGTGACCATGGAGCTCAAATTACAGCAGTCATTAATTCCCGTACATTAATAATGTTCCTGCATTAAACCATCAGCCCTTCAGCCATTCTGCGTTATTAGCGATCTAATGAGGGAGACCATCTTATTACTTCCCTGATGGCTGCACCTAATGAACCACTGAGTGGGTGTTTCAGGTGATTTTAATGTCTTTCAGTTTTATAGACCACAAAAAAAGCTTTAAACCAGTGGGTGTAAGTATTGGCAAAGTGGAAGCCATGATGTAGAGCCCAAAACCAGCTGGATAGAGGAGGAGAAGGAATAACATTGCCACCCCTTGCAATTACTGGTATGTTACTGTTGAGGAAAGCACTTATCCTCCACTTGTTCCACTGCAGCTGCTCCTTAGTCAACAGCAAAAGAGCAGGACTATTCATAGAAACTCTGCAATATGTTACAAGTGTCTGCCATAAAAGTCGGGTTTAGACAAAATTACTCGCAGATTCAGAATAGTTTTTGCAACAAATGGGGGGGGGGAGAAGAAAATAAATTAAAATAGTGATAGCATTTTTTATTATTGAATTGGTG